TTGAATTAATTATAGACATGCGAAGTTGTTGATTTTGTATGGGAAATGGGTGGCCCCCACTAGGGTGGCCCCAGTAAGGGTGGTTTGACTTATATACATCTTGAGATAGTCTTTCGCAACTAATACTCCACAACTACTTTGATTGTGATTGATCAAATCCAAGTATATAACTACTATCACTATATGATAGCTTCTAGGAGTTTGGTTTATGTATATATGAATGACCGTAGCGGCTGCAAGTTGAAAGAAAAATAAATACAATATAAAACCAAGACGTACAAGTCTAAATCTCCATGTCTCAATAACATAATACCACCAGAACAATCATGATGGCGGAAGGAGATAATCAGTAGGCTACTTGCACTTCTGGAAGTAATCCTCCCCCCTGAAGCCATCGCCCTCTTGAACGACCTTGGAGTGTGTCATCACGCCGCAAACCTTTAACCTTTTCTCATGAGTACCGTTATCCTGGATATACACCACGCGGATCGGGGTCTTTGTCTGACCGCTGCTTTTTTGGTCCTTCTTCCACGCTTTCGTCTTCCCGTTCTCTTTCATGCCCTCCCAATAGATGGGGTCTATTCGACGGAACTTTTAGCAAAGGCTTCTTAGGGTACACTTGGGGGGGGTGGGGGGGGGTTATATGGAGGGTTATATGGGAGAGGGATCACTTGTAGAGGAATCTATAAATTACGTACATTCCCATAACTCAGCATTCTTCACACCGCATTCATCGACGTCCCATTGGATATCATCCCCGTTGCCGTAGCGGTGCGGGTCTCCACTTTTGCCAGTAACGAAGCTGGCGACTTTGGCTTGGGCTTCCGCGTAGTTCATGCTGACCTTGAAAGACTGATTGGTTGGGTTGTTCTTAGGTTTGCATGTAACCTGTGTATCCGCGCGGGCTTCAAGGTATTGGCCCTCGGAGGCAATGCCATTTTCATCAACGGGTATAGCAGTGATAGATACGGCTGCAAGTGCGAGAGCGAGGGTGGCCTTGGAGAAATGCATCTTGGTGAATAGAGGGGGCTTCGTAGAGTCGGTGTGAAAAGTCAATGAAGTTTTGGCCTGTCAAAGAGCAGATTCCAAGTCCTCGACGGGATGAAGAGCCCCTTTTGTATTCTGCTGTATATATCGAGAGGCTTCATTTTCAATGGGTTCGATCATATTGCATCGAATAATACTGGGTCATTACCTTTCAGCTCCTTCATTTAGAAAGAGGCTGGCTGATACTGTAGGATTATGTATAGGGCCAAATGATACCAAACTAGGAAGTAAACCTAGCCATAGACTTCAGCTACAGCAATGACAGTACTTGGGAAAGTTGTACGAGAATCATTTTGCTATTTTTGTACTTATAGAAAACGGATAAACACACAGTATTTCCAATATAGGTAGGGTAGTTGTCATGTCGTGTTACTCTATAATATTGCAAGATGGTCATAGTTTTATATTAATAGCGATTATTTGCGGACCTCATCGAAAAGTGGCTTGCATGTATTTAAGGAGCGGGAATGAGTTCATAGACAGTGACCTAATATCTTCGAAGCGTATGGTACCTATTCCTATATTATTTCTCTCCAAGAAGCAAATCTGGCTTATACCTATGTACCGTATTTCTTGCCTACCTCTCCTTTAGCCAACTAGAAGAGCTTTAAGTCGCTCCTACAAGTCATTAGATGCTGTTCTAAGGAGTATTAGGACGTAACCTGCTCTTCGACTGCATTCATCTTTTCAACGGCTGTGGCAGCCATCGCACGAGCCCGTGTATCAACCCTCTCGTCGCCAGCAGCAAGTTCGAATTGCGCTTTCCATATTCTCCAATTTTGCATGCTCCATGTGTCTCGAGGATTCTCCGTATCTACCCTCTCTTTCTTCTTGCACTGCTCATAGACGTAGCGTAACTCGTCAGGCCATATGACCCACTGTGCCGCGCCTTGAATATGACCCCCAATTTGTTCAGGCTTGGAGGTTAAGCGGACGTTGAAGCTGGGGCATTTTTTGCCGTAGGGCACAATATCCCGCAGCGCGCTATTGAATCCGCAATCGCTAAAGCCCGTCGCGGCGATGCGCGCTAGAGCAGACTGGTAGTTACGCCAGCGGGCCTCTGTCTCGCTCCCTGGAGTGTCAATTCCCGAGTCTGGGTATCTGATAGCTGTATGCTACGTATTAACGGTGAAATTCGGTAGAATAGTCAAGTAAGCACGAACCATCTGCTCCGATACGAAGTTCCTCTGTTGAGTAACCCTTGTCTGACCACAGCGACATCATCTGGACATCCTTGAGCGCATCATCGTCTGAAAAGTAATCAGGGGCCTGGTGTTCGGGCATGGCCATCAAGGCTTCAAGAAACTGAACAATTCTGGTTTGCCCTTCATGATACGGCGGGAAAACAGAACACAAATTGGGGAAAAATTGGAAAAAGCGATCAACGTATCCGCTAGCATTCGGCGTACTATGGCGGAGTACACGACCGGTATCATCTGTCTCTATGAAGCCCGGTCGCTCCCGGAGTACTTGCAGCTTGCGCGAGGATTCCTGCACAACCCAGGTATCAAGCTCGGTGGCGACCCACAATGGGGTTTGGGAACCGTCAACCAGAGTTCTCAACAAGCCCGCGCAAAATCTATCTTCGACATCTTCATGGTCGTACAAGTCTAAGATGAGGGGCAGTGGCTCGTTCTGTTCGACATCCATAGCTGGTACAGCGAAGAATGTTTCCTCGGGCAATAATAATTAGAATCTCACAAGATCAATGGGGTCCTATATCATTTGACTTGAACAATTATGAATGAAATTAGAGTGATCCACTACGATGCAATGTTGGTGAGTAGTTGGTAGAATGCGTTCCGGTCATTTAATATAAACAAAACTGCCTAAAAGAGTTATAACATGACAGAATTAGTCCTAGACGAAGAGATGTCATCTTGCGAAAAAGTAATGCTTACATCTTACATTGAATAGGTACCTAAGATAGGCAGGTTGGCGTAATATTGAAAATCGCGGCCTTTACTCGGAAGCCACAAGAAGGAGGAGAAGAAAAGCCCAACTGAATTTGATGAATTAATGCTGTTCCTCCTTGTGTAATGTGCAACTAGGGTTTTTAAGCATAGGTAGGTACCTAACCAAGCTGACCGTCAGAAGCGTCTAAGAATATAAGCTGTACCTACGGTAACACCGATCCAATATGGATCCCGAGTATTTTACAGGTTACATACCTCATTGAGCCTCTTAGGTCTCATATGTTAAGATTTAAACGCCACATTGAATTAGGTACTCTTAGTGATATGTAGCCATACCCCATCTTCCTTGAAATGGGCCTGAGCAATGCCCAATTATATGCACAGGATATCCAATAGACGCCCAAACAGCCTTACTGACAGATTATTGCGTCGGGATTTGGAGTAAGGCTTCAAAGGACGCCTCGTGTGAACAATTTCTTATCATGGTACTTGTTAGGACGTATACTGACCTGGAGACTCGGGGCTGTTGCATTGGTGATTATATTTACCGCTGATCTTACAGCATATTTGTGCCATGATTGGGTCCGCGTATACAGAGGTCCAGCCATATGCGCATACTTCAATCTATGTAATCATTCCAATCATTTCATCCCCACGCAGGTACCTATGACCACCTGAACCTAGACGCCGTGTATGATCATATACACAGGTATACATATATTATCGAAACGGTAGCCTTACTACGTGATTACGTTAACAAGTCATTCCTTCTAGATAACAAGAGAGATCCCATCTAGAACCATAAGTATTCAAGTGTTAAATTGCTCCTTGAACCCACTTCGCTTAATCGCAGTCATTTTACAAGGTCGTTGGAAATCAAAAATGGTGCGATATTCTCAACGAATGCTTCTCCAACAATATGGTCGTTTCTCCCGCGTTCTTCGAGTCTCACTCAATGTGTGGCTCTTTTCGTCGAATATAACACGACGCTGGAACCAGAACTTAATTCTCCTTTTCAGGCTCTGTTTCCACTTCCTACTTGTTAAAACTCTAGATCATGTAGATGAAGACCAGAGGCGTAGGTTTTGCTAACTTGCCACGTAGCATTTGGACTAACAACCTCGTACTATAATATATACCATATATACCTTAATCCAGGCGATTTATGTTAAAGAAGTCCCACGCCTCTGCGTCCCCGCATGGTTCGCTTACTGACTGTTCTGGAGATAACCACAGCAGCAAGGCAACAACAGCGGCGGAGGCCGGGTGCGGGCATCTACATTCGTAGGTATTGGGAATCGGACAAAGAGGAAGGGGTGAGCTTACCGTAGCCCGATGCAGAGACGATGGAAGAGTAGAACTTGTTACGAGGTGGGACTAAAAGGCATAGAAACAATTGTGTTGTTCCACAAGGAACGCTGTACTACCTAGGTAGCTATGGAAATCTATTAGGTAGGTACCTTAGGTAGTTATGCAACTTCTAAAGCAATGTACACATATCAAACTAAATTACAATGTCAAATCCAGCCTGGCTGCCTGCCCCCGTTACTATCTATCCTACTATGTATCCCCCGTTCAACTTGTTATATGCGTTAGGAAAAAGTTCAGTTCGAGTCTTTAGGTCTCCATTTTTCCCTCTCGATATTCCAGGGCTTAGAAGCTCCCGAATATTGTGTGACAATCTGGCCATGTCTACGTGTTTACTCTCTCTGATCGCCGTGTTTGGCTTGTTTAACCTGTTTAGCTTGACGATTTCTGGGCTCTTAGCTCCGTAGAGTTATAACACTTTATTACGACGTTGTTCTGATGCAGAAGATGCCTCTAAATTCTTGGGTGTTGAAGGCGCGAGAGTTTCCGAAAGTATCGCTGTGGTAGTCTCTGAGTATTGAGAGGGTGATCCGGTTGGTAGTTTGCGTGTGTCTATTATTGGTATAGTATAAAGTGACAAATGAAGGGACGGATGTATTCCAATGGCCGGACTGCTGATTTGGGGCGGGGTCGGTATTTTATTAGAATAAGTCGAGGAGATCCCAACAGCGTATGTAGTTTTCCCCCGGTCGGCTCGTACTTGATGCCGGCTCTGCTGCTGAGAAGACTTCCCAGGTCTTCTTGCCCATCCCACTCCACCTCGCTCCTGGCGACCAATTCGCGAGCACTGAACTTGACTGGGCGGAGAGTGTCGCCGGGCGCCGCTAGTTTGTGACAATGGTTCACAAGATAGAATTTGGTGCTGGTGAAGAACGTCTCAACGATAGTCGAGCAGGAAAGCATTTCGGCGAAGGATATATTTTTTTATCTATATCCAGCTTCTCCCAGGAAAGTCTGGATATACCAGAGCGATAAATTCCCCGGCCACGTGCATGTTCACGTCCATGTCACGCCCGAAATCGTGCCACACACACATCTGGTTAGGGGTGACTCGGGCTTGTCGTCTCCGTATTGGAAATAACCGCGAAGCATACATAGAACGAGTGCCAGCAACACTGTCATCACGGGGAATCTGACTTCAGTCATCTCCTTCCGCTCCTCTTGTGTTGTATCCGCTTCAGCGAAGAGCCTGTCGGGGAGAATGACCTTGTTTAAGTGTACCTGTTATATCGATAAGATCTTTGTTATAGGCTATTTGTTGACAGTGATGAGTTCCATGTCTAAAGGAAGAAAGTAATGATGATGTTATGTTATAAACTATTAGGCTAAGAATAGACCGGTGAGGTATAGGCAAAGATAGAGGGCAGATGAGGAGAATCCACGAGACACGCGGAGCACGGAAAATTGGAGGACTTGCAGCTTGCGACGAGGGGGTTGATTCCCGGGCTCTTGCGACGGCTGCCATGGCTATTGAAAAGAGAAAAGATGAATGTAACCTGTAATCGAAGAGTAGGGCACGTGCTAATATTCCTTATAACACTCAACTCAATACACTCGTCTTCAGTGACCTCATATCAAACGCAGAGTGAATGTTAGAAGCAACACAGAGGCTGCTGCACAGTGCCATGTAGTAGTATGAATCCCCCTTTAGCCATAGTAGTACCCGTAGTCGCATCCCGGCATAGGGAAAGATTCCTGGACGCAGCCTTCCAGATGCGGCTGGAAAGCAAGGGTATTACCACACAGCCAACGAGCACCGGTCAGTGTATAATAGACATGATTTGCCAGCTCATATTAAATAAACCTGGTGTCAGCCGCTTTCCAGATGAGGAGTCGACAGGTGACGATATGAAAAACATAATGCAAAACGGGCTCTTCTTGAAGTCTGGGAACATCGAGCAGCCGTAAGCCACCCCGTGAGTATTTAACCCGAGCTCTACGAAGCCCCTAACATTCGCCGATATGCACTTCTTGGAAGCCGTCCTCCCCCTTGCCCCTCGCGGCCGGGTCTATCGAAAATCGAAATGTAATCGTCTCCGGCTTGAGCTACGGGGAAACCTAAACCAAGACCGCCGGCATCCCTACCCACCGCACCGGAAACGGAAGAGGGGGATAATATGAGACGGGGATGCAACTCAGCTGTTACCCTAAGAAGCCGCTGCTGAAAGCTTTGTAGAACAGACCCTAGCTGTCAGGAGATGAAAGGCTATGAAAGGGACTAAGAGCCTGCTCTGCGTGCTGCTCTACCGCGCGTACGAGACGCACGGGTCCGGGACTTATCTCATAGCTCAAAACGGCCTGGAACCCGGCTCCGCCTGATCAACCGGTATATCCCAATCCGCTCGTGCCGGCCGCGGGTAACATGCATGGCAAGCCTCTTGCGTACTACTCCCCCTCCAAGTTCACAATCTGTCTGGGGCAGGAGAGGGGATGAGGTAGAACTTCGCGAAGATGCCCCTGCGGGCGGGGCGTCTCCTCTCCGGACGAGAAGCTCTCAGCGGTTTGCTCGACAGCCGCAAAACATCCGAACGAACCAAGGGCCAAGCAGCCGACCGTTGTCCCTGCATCCCCTGTGACCTCGGATGGTCGTCATCTTCGGGCAGCGAGTTCCACAAGTCATGTCGGGTTAGCTAGTCGTATTGTTAATAAAGTACCAAATTCGAATAGATATCCCAAAAAGAAGATCTACCTAAGCTAAGTCAGGCCAAGCACAAATCAGGTCAAGCTCTTATCTGACTTGTGGAACTCGCTGATTGGTGATATGGGGAGATTCGAGTGTGTTTCTGAGGATGCAAAGGAAACTTGATCAATGATACATATCGCGATGTGCCACCCGGTCCAGAATGGGAGTTCTAAGGAGCGAGTTGTTGTCGACCTCACGACTCTTGGCGGCCAATAGATTCCGCCAGCGCTACGACGACCAGTTCAGAGCCCAGAAGGACAGCACTGTCTGAGTAAAACGCGTTGCTACAAGCCCGACTTTAGCTTAGTGGTAAACGGCGAGACTTAAAATTAGTTGCTTTCGGGGTTCGGATGTCCTACATAATATATTGGGACTACTCGTTGGAAGCTAGCTACTAGATCCTCGAGGACTTGAGTGTTGAGATGGAATTAGGTATAAATAATTGACGATCGTAATGGGGACCTATTACTTATTACCTTGCTGATTTTAGGGTGGGTGCTCTGAGTTCGGCTCCTACTAAATACGTAGTTGACCCAACAATCCATATCCTCGTGTCCTAGTTCGTGGTCTGCTGTCGAGTTACGATACCCGTCTTGCATTGCTCTACTTTGTGATGCGAGCCGCCATTATCGGCTATAAGTTAGGATGGCCTAAATCATACAATATAAAAAATTACACGGCGCCAAGAGTAGAAGAAGGCGACGATAGGTTACGGCAACCACCCGCAAATCACATCGTAGCTCACGCATATCCGTACAGAAGTCAGTTGCAGAGTGCAAGGGCTGGGAAATGACGGTGCGGAGCGACCACCTAGACGTGGGACGTTTATAGATAGGGCTTACGGAGAAGGGTAGAGAGGTTGCATAACAGGTCGGAAGTAAGGCGTCCGGGTTTCAAACGGTCACGGAAGGCTGCTACGGGAGGCTGATAGCTGACACGAGGCTGACCATCCGCTATTATATACAAAGGTTATGAGAGGGTGATTCAAGTTCTCTTTAGAGAACAAAGCTAGCATACCTCATAACAGGTAGCTCGCTAATTGGACTGTCCTCTTCACATTAACCCTTTCGTTGATGTCTTGTCCTGATTGAAACGTAGCGTATCTAGCATGCTAGATGGCATTGTGGCGCGAGGCCGACGAAAATGTAAGCTCGCATCCTCAACTCTTTAGGACACAGCAGCACTATAACGAAATCTAACTCGGGCTGCCAGCTCTCAACCACACTTAGCCTCTTCCGCTTCGCACGCGCGAGCTTCAAAGAAGCATCATCTCAGCCTCGATCCTCCCTTAGACAGACCGATGCTCTCCGAGTACCTAAATATAGCACCCCTCGAGACATAATAGATTGAATAACCTGTCCGTAAGTTGAGCAACACCACAGGTTTCCAGCCACGTGGTGAGCTGGTGCCACTTCTGGGTCACGCTATTAGACTGCAGGTTGGCAAGTTGGTAACGCTGCAGTCAGCCCACTCTATACGTGCTTCTCCTATAGAGTGCCTAATGTACATAGGCTCTTTGAATTGACCATTTCTACAGTTCTAAAGACGCTCGAGTCATTTCACAGATGTAACGTGTCAGTGCTCACTTATACCAATCCTACTATTGCTATAGATGGGGACCTAGGACTAAAATAAACAAGTTATACGACCAGTACGAGGCGGCTGCTGATGGCTGCTGATCTGCGGCTGAGGTGACTTGACGCCTCGTCGTATTACCCTAGCGACGTATATCCGGCCAATGAGATTGCGATGGAAGTCCCTAAAAGGTAACTTGGCGGCGGCGATCCTAACTGCGCCTCTATAAGATCTCTTGCCAGCATGTTTATTGTGGGGTTCTAAACAACATCTCCGGTCGAAGAATCGCGAAGTTATAGAATTCGACGAAGATAAATAGATGTTCGTCTGCTATTTAGATATCATAACCATCAACTTCAGTAACATCCTGAATTTCATCAACATTCGCAACTTCATCTACCTCCTCGACTTTATTAATACCCTTCACTTTATCGACATTCTCGACTTCACCAACTTTGCCATATTACATCCATCAAGATGAAGTCCTTCACCGTTGCTACCATTGCCGCCGCCCTCGTCTCCTCCGCCGCGGCTCTGCCCAAGGAACCTTCATTCGCCAAGGTCAACCTAGTCGCAATTAACCGCCCCATCAGCGGCGAGTGGTCCGAGAAGCGAGTCACCGTCGACCTCGCGACTCTCAGCCACCAGGAGAACCTTCCAATCACCGGCCTGGCAATCGAGAGCGTCTATATCACTGCGCCCCCGGCCCCGGGCCTGTCCGCCATCGGCGTAGCTGATATCACCTGCCAGCGCTACAAGGACCAGTTCGGAGTCCAGCGGGGCAGCGCCGCCTTCACCAGCTCGGTGAACGCATCCATCAGCACCAACTCTGTCGACTTCGGCTATGTTCTTTGCTACGCAAATCCCACCGCCTAGTTTGGAGGTTGATCAATTAGGAGAAGACGTGCAGACATAGGTCCGACTCCAGCCTTGGGGGTAAACGGAAGGGTATAATGTTAATGGGTTATTATCGCATCTGGGTTTAGTGAGGCACGTTCCTTACGGTTTGCATAGTTATAGAAAAGAGCTGCTTTTGAGGCTCGGGCCTCTTGCGTAATATATAAATGTTTAAATCCTCCATGAGATCTTCCGGAAGGGGGTATCGCGTTCGTCGTGAGACTACACAATACCTTCATTCCTTATGCTATAACAAATCTGTGCCTGCAATCAAAATCAGCTTCACTTACGAGTCCCAATTCTGTAAAATGCTCTCGTTGTTATCGGTAAAACCTGGCGCTGCTTCTTTTGAATAATAAGCATCTTTTTCGCGCAGTTCTTTCACCGTCTCGGGTTCTGGGCCCAGCTTCCCAGTTCCGAAGAGAAAAATAGAGGCCTTGATAGTTCAGTTGGTTAGAATATTAGTCTCATGGATTCCATGTGACATCTAAGGGTCGTGAGTTCGAATCTCACTCAGGGCAATACTTCTTCTACTTTTTTCTTTTTCTTTTTGAGATATTCAAAGGCCGTGAGTTCAAGGTTGGTATTCCATATTCGGAGTCAATGACGACTTGAAACTAACATATCAACAGCCTCACCCAGGACAGCTATTTTTTAATTCCCCGGAATACTTTTTAGTTCCTCTCCTATTCGTCTAATCGAACACTTATAACCTGTACGCTTTAGCCTCAGCCAGCAAGTGTCGATCACCGTAGTGTCGGTATCGTAAAGGGCGTGACGACGAACTAGAAATGGCGTGGGGCCACGGCTTTTGCGCGGCACAGGCGTTCCAATTGAGCGGTGATTGGTCAATGGAACGACATTTGCTTACATCATAAGGTGTGCCTCTCTCTTTTCTTTTGGTACATCAAATCCGAATTTCTATCGAGCATGCTCGGGTAGATTGGGCATACGATGGACGACATCACGCATGTTAAGCCTGCTAGTATAAATACTGGCAGTCCGGCAGAGCCGGCTCCTATCGATGAACAGGACGTAGAGCCGCTCGACGTTCTCGAACCTCCGAAAGTCCGCACAAAGCTGCGTATCTACACCCTCCTAGTCGCGCTCTACGTATAGGCTCCCATTTAAAAGGACGGGCGCGCGGTTGTTAGCTGACGATATCTCTAGCTCACCCTTTTTGTTGCGGCGTTGGACCAGACCATCGTAGCAACGTCCATCCCCTCGATCTCCGCCGCCTTGCACTCCGCTTCCGGCTACGTCTGGATCGGCGGCGCGTATGTGCTAGCCAACGTGGCCGCGGGGCCGATCTGGGCGAAATGCAGCGACATCTGGGGCCGCAAACCTGCCCTCTTAGGGGCTGTCGGCGTCTTCGCCGTCGCTAGCATCATTGCGGCGTTAAGCACGAACGTGCAGATGCTAATTGCCGCTCGAGCGCTGCAGGGCGCCGCTGGTGGAGGGCTGCTCCAGCTGGTGACTATTACCATCTCGGACCTCTTCGACATGCGGAGCCGAGCCTTGTATCTGGGCTTCCTCGGCGTGATGTGGGCGCTCGCCGGATGCGCCGGACCGCTGATTGGAGGGGCGTTCACCCAGCTCGTAAGCTGGCGGTGGTGCTTCTGGATTAATCTGCCGGTCTGCGGCGCTTCGTTCTTGCTCTTGCTGCTCTTCTTGGACGTCCACGATCCTCATACTAAGCTGCGCGACGGCTTGGTGGCTATCGACTGGTTCGGCACCTTCTCCATTTTGGGAGTTACTCTCCTACTTCTCCTCGGGCTAGACTTCGGCGGCGCGATCTTCCCGTGGGACAGCCCGAAAGTCATCTGCTTGATTGTATTTGGGATCGCGATGATCGGCTTCTTCATCCTAAGCGAGCAGCACCTAGCCAAGTATCCCCTGATTCCGCTAGGAATATTCAAGGATTGGTCTAATATCGCGACCTTCCTTCTCGCCTTCGCGCATAGCATGGTCGCTATCGGCGCGGAGTATTATCTACCGTTGTATTTCCAAAGCGCAAAGCAGGCATCGCCCGTCCGCAGCGGTCTTCTAATACTGCCGATGATGATAACGGAATCGGCTGTAGACGTATTGGTCGGCGTCTTGATCCATCGCACGGGCCGCTACAGGGAAATCATATGGGCCGGGGCAACGCTCATGACGTTGGGGACGGGGCTGTATATTAATTTCCGGTCGGATACGTCTCTCGGAGAAATCATCGGGTACCAAATCGTCAGCGGCGTCGGCACTGCACTTCTGTTCCAAGCACCCATGATCGCCATTCAAAACACTGTCAGCCAGGCTGATACCGCGTCGGCTACGTCGGCCTTAGGCTTCATCCGCAACTTAGCGACATCGTTATCCATCGTTATCGGCGGCGTGGTATTCCAGAACAGCATGGCTAATCGCCAATCGTCCCTCGCGGCGGCTGGTCTCGGCGGGTCTATTCTAGAGGCTCTATCGGGCGATCAAGCAGCAGCAAACGTCGAGATCGTCCAGGCCATCCAAGATGCAGCTCAGCGCCAGGCGGTGCTAGATGCCTTCTCGTGGAGTATAAGGAACATGTTCATACTATATACCAGCGTATCCGCCCTTACGGTGGTGGCGAGCGTTTTCGTTAAACATCGACAGCTGAGGACGGGGCACACGGAGACGAAGACGGGGATCCAAGAGTTGACGGAGCGGAAGACCTGAGTGTTAAAGTCACTCCTAACGGGAATTATCACCTTATGGGTACGCTAGAATCAGTACTCCTTCTCCCGTCTCCCTGAAGCTGATTCGGGTCATATCATCTTTCACAGCTCAAGACGAGAAAGGTAGAAGGTAGCGATAGGCGCCAATGACTTTCATAGGCTTGGTCGTGGCTATCTTCTATTAGAGCAATATGGATACACTTTAACATAAGGCTTCGGCGCCAGAAATTCAAATCAAGTCGAGTCTTCTAAGGGTCCCTAGGTAGTTATAGCTAAGCTGCCAGGGATGAACGCTTCTGGACGGCATTGACTTTGCTCAGGCTGCTTCGTGAGTATCTCACTCATATTATCGGTTACTTTCCTCCATCCCTTTTTTCGTTTTCTATAAACGAATCATTTTAATTTTGCTATCTTGCATTTAGCCTACCCTATCAAAACATGGGGAAAGCCTAGGGTTTCTCCCTGGACGCTGGGTTAACATATTTTCCCCTGAATAGTAGGCAGAAAGGGGCGTTTATGTTTTTATAACAATACCCATCTAAGAACTGCCGACTACTCATCTTAAACTACCAAAGACCAATAATTCCGCGATGCTTTGAAAGTATGAGAATACCTTCATCCACTTAGGTTAGACAAATCTACTTCTCTCGCTTACTCTAAATAATGTAAGAGCATAAATCGCTATGGGTTTGTCGACCGTCCAGTCGGACGTAAGTCGTTGTCGACTCCCGGGGCTGCTTTGGGCTTTGGGGACCTTTTAGCTCCGTTGTATAGTGCTCGAACGCTTCCGGGGTTTGCAAACATGGGCCAACGGCCACCGAGGGGTGGCATGCCAAAACGAGAGTCCGAGACGTGCAACCTCCAAGCTTTATCTCCTTTAGTAACACGTTAGCAATAGCTCCTCCCTCGGCTATATCGGTGAGTCCCAGCCCTCGAAACATGTCGGGCTCGTGGGGAAAGAGTTGCCCTATTCTACGTACCCGGAGAACCCTTAGTCCCCATATCCTGCCACGTGTGTACCGTGATGTGATCTTTGTGCACGGCAATTTTGAAGTCGGTAGCGCAAAGATTACAGCCAGCTATGTATGTTTCTATGCCGTTGAGTAAGATAGCACGCTTAATCTCTTGCAAGATGTCTAATTGGTGAACTTCCATACGTCTCATATCGCCTAGTAACGCTAGGTGTGGGCATAGCTTGATGTCTCCCACCGTTACCAACGATATCTCCATGGAATCTTTTCGGAAGTGCCAAACGGACCGCAGCATGTACCTGAGATTTTCGTGCTGGTCCCTTACGACTCTAGGAGTAACGGTGTATGTAACTTTGAGTACGTTCTGCCGATTGTACGGGTAGGGGTGGGTAGGGAATTCGTCGTCACGATGATTCGCTAACAACGTGTGGAGGTGACGTCGGGACCAATGATCTTGCAGGCGTGTATACTTGAGCGCGAGCTGGACGTGACGATGGTCGACAGAGAGGTAGCGGTTATCGAGCCGGGATTGCTGGCCGTACACCTCATGGCACCACCGATCCCAGCGCAAGGGACACGTCATTCTCCACGGGGTTAGAGGTGTATCGCCTAGAGAGACAGGGTGTAGCTTGAAGCAAGCTTCGCACACCCACCGGTCTGGAAGATCGCGAGCGACTCTTACGTGGTATCTGAGGTACTGCGCAGTAGAAAGGTTGTGTGCGTCGGATTTGCCCAAGATTAAACGCAGCGAGCGACATGTCAAAGAAGCTACAGCTCGATCGATCGGTGGAATTAATTCCAATATTCCGTTGACCAGTTCGACTGGTAGTTTAAGAAGGAAGCTATCGTTATTCTGCTGCTCCATCTTTGCCTACTTCGCCAACCGCCTCGACGGTGCTGCCTCAGTGTTGTGCGCGGATATAAAGAAAATAAAAAAATGTATTTCAAGTATAAACGGGCGAAATAGCTGAATATAGCGAGAGACGACTTGTAGTTGTATTATTATAAGAGTCTAAGTCGAAGGTCCTGCTGCTGTAGTTTGAGAGACCTCTCATGATATTCTTCGTACCTGCCTTCGTCACGGCCTCTATCACTCTCTCCTCATTAATATATACGGGTAGATATAGTAGTGCTTGCTTAGTACGTTTCGTCGCATACTTTGGCCGTTGCGCCCTACATGATATATAGTGATAGCTAGGTACTCCTTATTGAGTAAACCCCTTTTAGCTAGAATTAAGTATATTTCAATGTTGTTGAAATTCTATAGATTTTACTATTCGAATCGTAATCTTGAGGTTATTGCCATCTCTATTGGCTTGAATACGAAAAACTACCCGACAGTTGCTTTCTCTCTTCTCTATCACGTTGACGTTGGTTCCACCCTCTTTAAATCGACTCTAGTGAACAAGGTGAACTCGAGTTATCCAAAAGGACTATAGCTGGAATAAATACGTGCGTAGTACAATTATTGGAATGGTGTCATTGGCTCGAGGTTACGAACTCGTCACTGGCTTGTGCGGCGATACCGACGAATTCCTTGATAGCTTCGCTGAATTGATGTAGATATTAATTATTAATTCTATAATTGGGCTTCTTGGCTGCTAGGCCAAGCGACATTGACGCCTACGCGATCGTCATTCCCTGATATTACGATGCACTAATTGAACCAAAACATGCAGAACACCGATAAGGAGACAGCCCGTGAGCCGCCCCGCCAATTTGTTGCGAATTATTAACTTACATTTGATGTGACCTTAGCCTTGATTGACTTTGGAATCCCAACAGGTTTACGGCATCGTGCTTATTTTAGTGCAGCGGGCCGCGTCGTATTGGGAAGAACTCGATAAAACTTGATTAAGTCAACTTTCTCGTCGACTCGATACAGACGCCGAAGCTGATTCACACGAGCTTAGCGGGATTGTCATGTAATGGTTAGACGATGTTATGACTTATACCCCTCTCTCATTCGGGTAGCATTGCCATCTTGTATGCTTCAAATACACATATGTTCCACGTGTGACACTTGGCTGCGAAGAAACGGCCGGTTATTCGGCGGCTTAAGAAACAATGAATCGGCAGGGGTTTGCCATGGGAGCGTCATCCGGCGTGTAATACTGCTCTGGAACGTCGCGCGCATGCCCAGGACCTAACCTAGGTACTACTACGCCATCTCGTTTGTATGACGCTTCTGTAATAAAATAAAATAAACCGATGAACGAGCAACTATGCAATGCATGCAATTGCGCACGTAGGAATGACTCTCCTCGGCACCGAAACCAAACTCTATAGCTACTATAGAACATTCGAGCGGTGACCAGTCCACGCGAGCTGAAACGCCGTTTGAGCGGCCCGTGGCGCGGATACCGACACGTCCATGGTAAGAGAAGAGCCTTCTGCATAGGTATATGGCTGCATTTATCGATGTAGGTTGTCGTTGGCCGGTGGTGGCGGTGCCGCTTATCCTGATCTGCTAGCCATTCCAAGGATTAGCAAGCGTTCGGGAACAGCGATGCTATTATTGTTGCTATCCGTAGCCGTAGCGTCGCGTTTTTATGCGGGATAGTCAAACTGGAAGGGATCAGCTGGAATTTTTAAGTCCCCGGAACAGATCGATGTGACGATCATCCAGCTCGGAGCGATACATTAAATGGCAGGATGGTACGGTACGGACTGGCTAGCAATTGCGTGACTAGCATATTCTACTTCGGTCTAGATACGAGGTCGATATATGACATTGGTAATTATTGAGTCTTGAGCGCGGTCGAGAATTGTTGGACAGCATCGAATTGAACGATTCGCAAATCAAGGTTTGACAATCTGTCAGTCAACCTAATATTGGGAAAGCTGCATTTGACTATTAAAGATACCTACCTACCTATGTAAATAGCCATGTAAATAGCCAACCCTGTATCCCAGGTGTTGTAAGGGTTGTAGGGGTTGTAGGGAGGAAACCTAGGTATTCTACATTTGTGCTGCGCTACCTGAAATTGCTAAATCCCATTGGCTTGGTTCGGCGCGCTAGCGATGCACTAGGCGATAAGATCCCTGCTGAAATTACGTAGTTTGGAGCCACATGGGGCCACGAATCTGGGAACATCTGGGAAGACAGCTGTGAAGTAGCCAAGCCCGTAACTTCCAATCACTTCCAATCGTAGTACCCATTTAAACTTTGAGAGAGCGAGGCGCTGCGTGGCTTTTCTTTAATTGCTAAGCTTATTTTCATGACTATCGCCAACTTCGACTACTTCTTGGCCCGGTTACCTCTGCTTTTCCCTCTTTTCTTCTTATTTGTCATTTCTTCTCCCCCTTTCCGTCAGCTTTTAAGGTACGGCAGCTCGCAATTGGAAGCAGCAGGCCCGTGAACTATCACTAGCTTACCCGTTAACCTCGCATCTCCTTACTTACATGCATCACTAATAGCCACTTAGAATCGCTAGTTGCCCTTTAGCTGCATCGCCGTTGCCCACCTCCTGTAGACGGCTTAATATCAAATCTACGTACCTTTGCGTTGCGAGTTCTACGTTCATTTAGCTCGGCTCGGTCTCCTTGTCAGAATCTGTCCTGCCCCCCCTCCGTAACCTCACCCTGCGACTCCCTATGCTCTGTTACACACCGATCGGCTACTTATTCTTCCCCCGCGTTTGAGCCGCCCCAACAGCCGCCATAGCAGCATTCGACCGTCGATATGGCTACCCAACGGGAAGTCAGCGAGCTCAAGCAGCAAGGGGCTCTTGAGGCTTCTCGTGATCCCGAATCCAACGTTACTGCGGATGACGCCCAGAGGAAGCTAGTCGAGGAGAGCAAAAATGCGGGCGTGGCTGCTTTCACATTCGATCCGGATGCGAGTACAGAAGAGAAGAAAGCTCAGGCTAGGGCTGTGTGTTCTCTAAGCTTCTCTCCGTCGAAGACGCCAGCTAATCGAGCTAACTTAGGCTATACCCAACGATCCTCGCCGTCCGCGAAAGCCGAAAGGCGTGGCTATTGCTACTGATGTCGACGACGGCACGAAGGCCAATTACGATCTTCCGACTCCCTCGAAGGCTGGAGCCTTTGAAATTCCCAAGGACAAGGATGGTAGGCCGATCGTAGACGGAAATACCCCCGAAGAAGAGGAAGATCTGGCTGCCAAGGTTGGTTGGACTCAGCGGTTCGGTTGGCCTGTCGACAGTGTTGCGGAAGGCGAAAGTCTATTAGATCACTCTACTTGGCTGGAAGAGAGGCTTCCCGACCAGTATTTTGGAGGTTAGTCTACCCGATTCCGATGCCCTCCGGTCATAGGTTGCTAACGTTGGTCGCTCTATAGAATGGTACCATAACGCCGGAGTGATCATCTTCGCCTGCCTCGCCTCGTGGCTGGTTGCCTTGCTTGGGGGTGGGCTGGCTTGGGTCATGATCGTTATGGCCTGCTGCTCGACGTACTATCGAACATCGATCAGACGAGTGCGAAGAAACTTCCGCGACGATATTACCAGGGAGATGGCGCTGAAGAAGTTAGAAACGGATCACGAATCTCTCGAGTGGATAAACTCGTTTCTGGTCAAGTTCTGGCCCATCTACCAACCTGTTCTCGCCCAGACCGTTATTAATTCCGTCGACCAAGTTTTAAGCTCTGCGACTCCTTCCTTTCTCGACAGTCTCCGCCTGAAGACCTTTACTCTCGGGTCCAAACCTCCTAGAATGGAGCACGTGAAGACTTACCCAAAGGCGGAAGATGACATTATCCTAATGGACTGGAAGTTTAGTTTCACGCCAAACGACGACGAGGACATGACGGCTCGGCAGGTCCGCAACAAGATTAATCCCAAGGTAGTCCTCGAAATCCGCATCGGCAAGGCTATGATTAGCAAAGGTCTCGACGTCATCGTAGAAAATATGTCTTTCTCCGGTATCATGCGCCTGAAGATTAAGCTCCAATTTCCTTTCCCTCACATCGAGAAGATTGAGATGTGTTTCCTCGAGCGCCCGGAGCTCGGTTATGCTTGCAAGCCTCTCGGTGGTGAAACCTTCGGTTTCGATATCAACTTTATTCCGGGTCTAGAAAGCTTCATCCAGGAGCAGATCCACGGAAACCTAGCCCCGATGATGTATGCCCCGAACGTCTTCCCGATCGAGGTAGCCAAGATGCTTGCTGGTTCTCCCGTCGACCAAGCTATCGGCGTGATCGCAGTAACGCTTCACGGAGCCCAGGGCCTCAAGAACCCCGATAACTTTGCTGGCAATCCCGACCCGTACGCCGTGTTTACCCTGAACAAGAGGGCACCCCTAGCTCAGACCAAGGTTGTCAAGGACACTCCGAACCCCAGGTGGAACGAAACGCACTATGTTATCGTTACGTCCTTTAACGACTCCCTCGATCTCATCATTTACGACTATAATGATTTCCGCAAGGACAAGGAACTCGGTGTCGCCTCTTTCCCGCTCGAACGGATGGAGGAGATTGGCGTGTACGAAAACGAGCGTCTAGAAGTCGTCGCTCACGGCAAGGCCCGGGGTGTGGTCAGCGCCGATTTCCGCTTCTTCCCTGTTCTGGAGGCTATGGAGCATGATGGTGTGCAAGAACCGCCGCCGGACTCTAATACGGGTATTCTACGATACACTGTCGAGCAAGCGAAGGATCTCGACGGCACCAAGAGCTTAGTTGGCTTGCTTAATCCGTATGCTGTTCTATTACTTAACGGCAAGGAAGTTCACCACACCAAAACCCTCAAGCGCACCAACAATCCTATCTGGGATAACGGTTCCAAAGAGATTCTTATCACTGACCGAAAGAATGCCAAATTGGGTCTTGCTCTCAAGGACGACCGTGACATTGCCGGCGACCAGCTGATTGGCACGTACCAGATCAAGCTTGACGATATGTTGGAGATGATGGAAAAGGGACACGACTGGTACAATTTATCAGGGGTCAAGAGCGGACGAGCGAAGCTGACTGCGCAGTGGAAACCTGTTGCCCTATCCGGCGTGCTGGCAGGTACCGGAGGCTACCAAACCCCCATCGGCGTAATGCGTCTCCATTTCAAGAGCGCCCGCGACCTGCGGAATTTCGAGACTATGGGTAAATCGGATCCTTACGTCCGCGTGCTCCTCTCCGGTATCGAGAAAGGTCGAACAGTAACCCACCGTAACACCCTGAAGCCCGAGTGGGATGAAGTCATCTATGTGCCAATGCATTCGTCGAGGGACCGTCTAGCGCTGGAAGTCATGGACGCTGAGAAGATGGGCAAGGACCGTAGCTTGGGTTTGGTTGAGATATTTGCAGGCGACTACATTTCGGAAGATGATAACGGCGAGTATCTCGTCCACGATGCGAAGAAGGTACAAGAGACCGGGCTCCGACTACATGGAAAGGGCATCGCAAAGGGAACACTTACCTATACCGTCTCGTTTTATCCGTGCATAAATGTTGCAGACCCCGAGGAAGAAGAGGAGAAGGAGAAGGAAAAGGAAAAGGAAAAGGAAACAAGCTCCGATGCTCCAAAGCCATCTCTCGACGTTCCCCGGTCCTCGGATGCCGGAAAGATTTCCGCCCTCGAGAGGAAAGAAAGCATCCCGACTACCCCGACCACGCCAACCGTTCCCAAATCCCCGGTTTCTCCCAGATCAACCACGTCGGAACGAAAGTCGCGCGAAGCGCCACGGGAACGTCCCAAGGTTCACCTTACTCCGGAAGAGCTGCTCAAATACGAATCCGGGTTCCTTATCTTCAAACTGCTCGAAGGAGAAATGCCAAAGAGCGGAACGCATCTTGAAATATACGTCGACGACATGCTATACCCTAGCTACATCTCGGGCACGGCCAAAAGTAAAGTCTTCAAATTCGACGAGATTGGCGACTGCTTCATCCGCGAGCTAGACTTCTCGCGGCTGACTCTCAAGGTGAGAGAAAAACGCGAGAAGCCAGGCGAAGAACGTGATGAGGACCACACGGTAGCTCGCCTAACAGGCAATACTCTAGATACCCTCAAACAATGTCTAGTAAGTTGCTACGATCCGCAGAAATTGCGATGCATTGCTAACAGTTGCAGAATAACCCGACGGTTTTAAGGCTCAAGGATGAAGAGAACAGAGCGGCCACGATCAAGGTCAGCTTGAAATACATCCCCGTAAAGATGCACCTAGACCCCAGCGAGAGCATCAACAACATGGGTAATCTTCGCGTCGACGTATTGGACGCGGCAGATCTACCTGCCGCCGACTCCAACGGCAAGAGTGATCCCTACTGCAAGTTTGAGCTGAACGGGCAGGATGTGTTCAAGACCAAGACGCAGAAGAAGACTCTTAACCCCGCGTGGAATGAATTCTTCGAGGTTGCCATACCGTCGAGGACCGCCGCCAAGTTCACTTGTAAAGTCTACGATTACGACTTCGCGGACAAGCCCGATTTCTTAGGCGGGGCCGATATCAATCTTGAGCAGCTCGACCCATTCAGGGCGCAGGAGCTCAAGCTGCTACTCGATGGAAAGTCGGGTTCGATTAGGCTGCGACTGCTCTTCAAACCCGACTACGTCACACGCACTCGACTAGGCACCGGCACGTTTTCGGGCACGTTCGGCGGTCCTGGCAGGATTGTGACCGGTGTTGTTGGTGCTCCGGTTAAAGGTGGCGTCGCAGTAGTCGGCGCGGTGGGCCACGGCGTTGGTAAGGGTGCGAGTTTTATCAAGCGCGGCTTTCGAGGCAAGAAGGACGAGGAAGGTAACGGCCTAATATTGGCACCGAGCAACTCCGAGATCCCCACGATCGTAACGAATGGACCAGATGCTCCCGCAGCTGGCTCCGGGCTCAGACGGGCCACGGGCTTGAGTGTCGATGGCGACGCCGCCCGTCCCGTGACGCCCAACGGCGGCTCGAAGACGCACGTGCGTAACTCTAGCATGGGCGGCGTCTCTATTTACAGTCTGGCCCCGGGTACTGCCGGCGCTGGTACCGCTACTTTCACTGTGGTCTCCGCATCAGGGTTCCCAGAGTCGGCAAATATTTACGTCGTAATCAAACAGCTCGGTCCCAAAGAGAGGACTATCGGCAAAACAAAGCATCACGAAGCTCCCGGGACGGTACGGTTCGACGAGACATTCAAGCACACGTGTACCGCTGATACCCAGTTCCGTATCGAGGTCAAAAACCACCACACCTTTGGGAGCGATGACGACTTGGGCGAAACGTTATATTTCGTGGACGAAAGTGGCAGCGGCGAAAAGGAGATCAAGGTCGGTACCGGAGCGGTGGTCATGAAGAGCACATTTGCGGAGTCGAGTATAGAAAACAATAGCCCGAGTCCAAGTTCGAAAAGCGGAAACGGTGGTTTGCGAAGGAGTTTCTTGAGCAAGAAAGAGACCAGACCAAAAAGCCGCGAGGGGCCGCCTATCTAATCACAAAACATGTGTTCAGTAGTTAGGCGTTTAGGGGGCTAAAGGTATATTGTGAGAATTGGTTTGGTTAGGGGACGATTCCACCAACGGAGTTTTCATAATCAAAAATACAAGTTAGTTACTAATGATGAGGATTTTGCCTTACCATAGCGGACATAGCGGCCATAGCGGCAGAACGTTGGGAGGCTAACACGATGGTTGAAATCATTTTAGCCTCTACTAATATATGTTATTGAGTTTATCTCCAGGTGCTAATTCACCCCCTCCAAGCGCCGTTGTTCAGAATAACTACCTAAGGTACAGTGAAGTTATTGTCCTGCTCCCCACCCAACCGAAGGGGTTGTCAAGGCTTCAGCCACCATACGCATACGCTCGCATTAGGGGGTTATCAATTAGCGTTGGCCTCACCACCAGAAACAATTTCTTTAAGTTCGATATGTATCAGTAACTATGATGCATAACAGCTGAGCTGTGCAGGGATTTACTAGCTACTCAAAGCAACTGTACAGAGCTAATACACAATAAACCGACGATTGCAATATAGTATAATGGTTGTTATACGACAGAATAACTGTTCGGTGCTGCTTGAGAAGCTATTTATGTATGCTCCTGATCGATCAGTAGCTAGACTCTAGCATCCAAGTTGGTGATAACCATACTCGTAATCCACCAAGTGACTATTTGATTTCCATTCGACAGCACACGTCATGTCTACTATTACCCGAGGCGGAATCCCCATCGAGCCCTTCAGGGACGAAAACGGTAGGAATGTGTATCACTTTGATTATCCTCAATATGCCCCCTTCGATCCTTACTACCGCATCGCGCTCCATAGGCGAGCGTACAGACCTCGCGAGATTCTAAACGCCACTATCAGGGCCTTCTACAACCGGCAGGACTTTGAATTGAGCCCGCGGCAGACCGCAGCGCGCGAGAATTTCTGCGCCAAGTACGTGCTACAGAGCCCGTCGTACGGGAGGCAGCTCGGGCCCAGAGAGGCGTACGAGTACGTAGATAGCGACGTTAAGTTCTGGGCCCAACAGCTTGACGATTTCTTTTTCTTTGGGCTGCTCGGACGCTATATTATGATACAGACTGGCTTTGACGTGGTCGGTGAGGATCCGTTGCAGCTCGAGGAAAGGATCGATGGAGAAACGACCATGGTCGCGAACGAAGAGGGAGGTAGATACGTGCGCATCTTGCTTAACACCGGCCGCGGCAATGCGATATACGATATTAATGATATTATAGGTCAGCTTATGCACGAGATGGTGCACGCCTATCTCCAAATCTTCTCGTGCGACTGTCTGAAGTGCGAAAGGGCTCTCCTGAACACCACTGGCATCCCAGGAGATGAACACGGACCTATCTTCCTGATGCTCCACCGCCTCATCTTGAGCGAGATCAGGCGGTGGGGTAACACTGGCGATAACGACTTGGCTGAGCTGCTCTGGGAGGACTGCCCGGAGTTGTGTATTAGCTTGAACTCGAACTGGCGAGCTAGGATGGTCATCGATAGCCTCACGCGGGAGGAGAGAAAGCAATTTAGCAGAGTCCGCAAATACGAGTCCAGCGCCAGGCATCTCGTGCGAATCACACACACTGGTGCCGTTGCGGTCCAACCGAATATCAAGCACCGGCAGATCCAGCTTGAGAACCAGCTTAAGGACAAGCGCATCCGGGCGGACGAGTTTAGAGTCGACCTGCTCGACCACTGGCTCGCGTACGAGGATGAGGAAGACGAAGAGGACAGTGAACAGTCCCAGAGCGATGATGAGGTAACCCGGCTGAGCAGCGAGACTCCCGAAAGCGAAAACTAAGGTTTAGTCGAATCCCTGACCTATTAGATGTCTTATTCGCGAGGCCAAAGCGCTCGTGGGATGATTCGCTTTGTAAGATAGAACCGCCGTCGAGACCAAGCACGGATATGACGATATTGTTATAATCCTAAATGTATAGTTCTAATGTAGTTAATTGAATATTAATGTGTGAAGCCAATTCGTATTGACTTTGTAGTGATACCGGCTCCTCTATGCCGAGAGAACTGTAGTTTAACTCGTCCAAGCCCATGAAACGATAGCGGCTGTTCGTCATGTTGGTCCAGTAGAGTTGTTGCGGTTTTCGATCCTGTTGGGCGATCTAGACGGTATCACCAACGACGGCGTGTCTCGATCGTGAGTATATATCTCGCCCTTCCCTCGCTCTCGTCGTGGATTCGTTTCTTCTCCTGTCAGACATTCATTTCTCTTCGTGGTCCTACCTTTAACAAAAGGAAAAGCAGCAAGCCTCTCGACCTTCGCCGACAACATCATCGACAATGAAGTTCACCCAGATCCTTCTCAGCGCCGCCAGTGTCATTAGCGCCGCCAACGCCGCCTCCTCCCCGGTCAACTCGTACATGGACCTTTCCAACGGAAGTAAGTCGATCCCAAATACCCCCTCCTCGATCGACTCCTATTCGGAGCGAAGAACGGATCTGGACGCTGACGCCCTCTCCTAACAGTGTACACCATCCCCATGGTCGAAGGTAGCCTCGACTTCGGCAACGCCGTGCGCGACTGGGACGGCGTCGCCGCTCTCAACAGCACCAGCAACAACACCGAGATAGTCGCCCGCGCTCTCGCCGAGCGCCGCCCTCCCGGACAATGCGTGCCCCAGTTCCCCACGCGCAAGACCCTCTGCCGCTCTCGCGTGATCCGGCGCTCCGAGTACCTCCGCGCGTACGCCAAGTTCCTCGACTGGATCGAATCGGGGCCCGACGAGGGCTGGATTCCCAAGGAGAGCTGCAAGTCTCTGCTCTGGGGCAACGTCGTCGTCAGCGCCTGCTCGTCCGGCGGCATCAACCCTACCTGCCGCGAGGAGCTGATCGAGGCCATGCGCGAGCTCGACGCCTTCTGCGCCGAGAACCAGGGCGGCGACATCGCCATCCACCACTGGGCCAAGAGCTACGGCCGCCACAACATCCGCGACGGCGACGACCTCGACGGAGGCAAGTACAAGCTTCCTACCGGCAAGCCGCCCAAGGATGACAGCGACTACTAAATGCTGGTCGTCGCCGGTATATGGGATGCGAGCCCGCTGCTAATTCAAGATCCCCCAAGCTGATCGATCGCGTGGCTGGGGTGGCGGCTCGACCTATGAATACTGATGATACGGGGAGAGATTAGGTACGCGTGAGAGATTGATGATTGATTTTGGAAAAAGTTCGGAACCTTTGAGGGTTATATGGAAGTACCTAATCTAACTTAGTAATAAATGAATAAAAAGTTTGTTTTCTTAATCCTTAGTCCGCCATGTATTGGAGATTCGCACAATAAGTTGCCAAGCCTCCCTTACCCCTATTTCCGCTATAGTCATAATGGTGAAAAAAGGGTCATGGTCCATCGCATTTGCTTCTTTGCCTTGGAGATTAATCCAATACATACTCTTTAATCTCTCCGTCGTGATATTGCATTTAATAGAGTAACTAAGTAAACAAGGCTCTCTACAATGTAACTGTATGCAAAACTATTACTAGTCTAAGCTCCTATGTTCTACCGTTATCGCCTAAACTACATCTATCCATCTAAAATGTCTCTATCAGCTCGATAAGTCTACCTTGGCTAATTCGACAACGGGGAGATGCGCCATATGTATCTTAGCGCTTCCGAACGGTACGAAGCGTGCGCTGAAAGGCTTTCCGCTGATCTTTGGCTCGAGAGGAGGATCTGCCGCAGTGTCGAATTCGAGAGGCCAGTCTATCTCGACAGCGGCTACGCGAAGTTCAACCGGGGGCGCACCGAGGTCCCAGATCGGATCCGCCAAAGTTGACACATCCGCTTGCACCACCTTTATCTGCGACGGATCGATAGCGATATTCCATATGCTTGCAGGCTCGATAACATGGTCGTGCGTATGATATGTAGTGCTTGTACTTGGTATCGCATCGCCGCCGAACGCGACTACCGGTACATCCGATACGTTAGCATCGATGTGGAGACTATAGAGCAGCGATCCGTAGTATATTGCCGCGGTATTGTTGGGCCTCGTGACTACGCGCGGCTCCGTCTCGAGATTAACATTAATAAAGCTGAAGCCTTTGCTGACTTCGATCTTCTGCAGCCCCTTATCCGATGGGGAAATCTGACTCGACTTGCCGGAAGGTCCTACGATGGTACTCGATTTGTCTGCCCAGCCCGGAATTCGAACGTAGAACGTAAAATCAGATGCTGCCGTGATCGAGTATTTGATACCCATGCCGAAGGGGTAGTTAGTGTCGGCCTGGATGGTTACTCGATTATGACCCAACGAGGTACTGATGCTTCCGGGGATGAGTAGAACATGAGCAATTCCTCCGTCGGTAAGCGTGAAAGAATTGGCAAGAAACTTGGGATACGCCTGAGGGTGATTAACCGTGCAGCAGGGCTACCAGATGGTTAGCAGCTATTGCTTTAAACAGTAGGCAATAGGTATAACTAACGTAGTTGGGTTCCAAGCCAAACACGTTACCGTGAACTCCAACATTTACCCACATATCGGGATTCACCGACAGAGTACGCGACCACGGCTGCAAACCCATAATTAGTCTACATCCAAGACTTCGGAGTTGTCAGCTCACCTGATTTTCCTGCTGTACATATTGGTGAGACCACCAATCTGGGAAGATGGATCCGGGCACGGCATTGAACGCAACTTGCTCTGCCCAGTCTGCCAAGTCGTTATCGCCGAGATACTGGTAAATATACGCCATAGAAAATGTCAACTCTGCAGCGGTGCAGAGTTCTGCCCCTCTTATCGGGTTGAGATCTGTGATGAATTCATCGCCGACGATCGTTCCGGCTAAAGACTTGTGATATTGCGCTAACAAATCTACCGCAGTTCTCGTCTGCGTCTTCAATGTTTCGTCGTGCGTCATTCGGTATATCGATAATGGGTATCGAAGGCCTAATCGTATCAGTAAGCCTCTGCTCGGACGTTAATATTGCACTTAAGCTATACCTTCTGCCATATTAACGCCATGGTTGAATAGGTCTTTAAAGGGTTCGTTCCTAGGAGTATATGTGACTTCTGGGTATACTCCCTTGACCCAATAAGTTCTCCAATCGCTACTGGCTTCGGCGCTTCCTTCGATCATCAGCTCCATGGTTTCCCATATTATCTGCGAGTTGTTTCGAGGATGCTGCTCGTAAAGCCATTGCAGTGGGATGTGCATCTCGTGAGCTCGCATGGGACCGAACCCATCCCCGTCGAAATTTTGGCCGTCCTTCTGTATCAGCCCGCTGAAGCCGTCTTTTAGCATGCTGTGAGCAAGTTGGATGTATCGATGCATGGCATCCACAATTCTGTCTTCTTGAGAAGGGTCTGCTTGGGCGTATTGCTACGACAATTAGCCGGGCTGCTCCCTAGAGACTCTCAGAACAGCAGGCCGTCCCGGCCGGGACATACCATCAACCCCAATAGAAAGTAGCAGCGTGCCCATAAGCCTCGGGATTCAGGGGTAGTCTCAGGCCCGAGCCAGCCATCCTTCTGCTGGTGATCAAGGACATAATCCATATAGGAATAGACTTGTCCCTTAAGCCTCGGATCATCCAATCCGAAGGCAAGAGGTACGAGGCCATTGAACCAATATGGAGATGCCTCGTTAAGCACGGAATACTCTGTTGAACCGCCTATCCACATAGAGTCGTGGACAAAGCGGTAGAAATCGAACAAGTTACCGGCAAGTCCGTGAGCCTCTAATTGTAATTGGTCTTTGAACCATCCTCGCGGCTTGATAGCGCCGAGGGGGAAAGACTGATGTATCGGCTGTACAACTAGTCACGGATCAGCTTCAAGTTGATGGCATAGAAGAAACCACCTTACGGCTTGGCTTGTCTCTGCTCCTCAAGTAATTATCTACGTGTGAATCGTGAGGTAGCCCGAAGCTAGGTGCGATTAGAAGAAAGGCGGTAAACGCCTTTCCTATAAGTGAAGCAGCCATCTGTATAGAAGAGCTCGAAATAGCATGAGCATCTAAAGGAGGCACAGGACAGAGCAAGAAATCTATACGCAGCCAAAAAAACAAAAAAAGAAGCCTCTATAATAAAATGCCCACGGAGGTAAGACGCGATATTAACGGGAATGCAGAGCTGCTGGCGTAATAAAAGGAAAAGAATGCGGCGCATAGCTCCACAGAAACGCAGGTATATTATATGATAGTCATTATATGTAGGTATGTTGTATGTTTATATGATAGGTACATCCTCTTATTCTCAGATCCGCACGGGATGGAAGGACTGGCCAATCCAGTACATGCAACAAAGTCCACCGGGGACAAAGGGGAATCGCGTAGATGCCCCCCATGGTGGATGATAGGCAGGAGGTAGGTATGCAGGAACCTTACTTCCATTGCATGATTGTACATATGTGTCTTGCGCTTTCCTCGAGGTTGGGCGCGTACAGGATTTGTAGTTAATATGTACGTACCTAGGTACCTACCTAGGTTAGGTATGTAATGTAGGGCTACCTATGTTGGTCGCATCACGGGGTCGTACCGGCATATAAGGCGCTTTCTCCAAAAATTAGCGTATCCTACCCGCCTGTCTGCCTTAGGCGGGACTTGCATTCCTTGCTGCAGCTTTGTTAGCTTTTCCCCTCAGCGGCCGTTCGGGCCCTTGGCGCGTACCCGTGACAGAGTCACGAAGTGGGCATAAATTATTTAGGGGAAATTAGCAGGCAGCTAGTTTCTGCTTTAGCATAGTCTCCCCTGAACATCTTCCTACTTTTCTTTTACGACTCTTTGGTATACCCAATACTTCTGCTTTGGTTTCCTATTCCTGCACTCACATCACAATATGTGATTGTGCTACGTATCGTACAAGTACTAAGCTATATCCGTAAATCGTGTATACCAGTCCCCTCGGATACGTGTTTGCAAGATCCGATATATTGGACATCATCGATGTTGGTCATTGTCTGTTGTTCACGCCAACAAAGAGAGTAACGCTGACCCCGCCAGCCCACACAGAAGTAATCCTCTTCCCCACAAGACTCCACGAGGCGGTCAGGGGGGCGGGTCCGGGGTGACGGGTAGTTCGGTCATAAGCTAAAGGTGTAGCCCCGGCGCTGAGATTGGCTGAGATCGCGGGGGATTATCAAGGGGGAAAAGTTGGGGGAGATTGTTGACCTTGGCCGGGATGCCCAATACGATCCTGCCCTCTAACCTAGCATCCTACCTAAAACATGTTTAGATCCTCGAGATCTAGATACAAGCTTCTATATTGAACTTGGTATGAGTGGTATTATTCCGTATTAGTCCCGAGCTTGACCTACAACTTGAGCGCCGTGACGTAGGCTCATTTGATATCTCCCGTCTACAGACATGAACAAAAATACCGCTAAACTCGACAGATAAATATGCAACATCACATGTCCACTTCTCATATTCTACCTTCCATCTTAGGGAAACCCCAATCGAGAACAGGCAATCGGTTCGACAGCTTCTCTTGCTCGCTACTACGCTGTATGCGCGCTTATCTTGGTCCTCTCCCACCGTTGGGTTTGGCGTCAGGTTCCTTGACTTACACGTGCTGCAACACGCTATTCCAATCTCAACCTCAACCCTAGGTATGTACTTGCCTGTCCAGTTCGGGTTGTATATTTGCTAGTCTTCCTATTCTTGTGGGCTAGGGACCGTCAAACAGAGTAGGCGATAATTGACATCGAAACAACGACAATTGTTGCAGGCCAGGCCTCATATCGCGGAAAAGAGATGAGCAGAGAGGCCCAACACTAAGCCACTGCATACCGCGCGATCTTGCCGATACGACATCAAACTACGGTGAATTGTATCGAAGTTTTTCTGAGCCTTCTGTGCTCTGCAGATGCACGTTATGCTTCTCGACCAGCCACATGGCCAAACTAAGCGCCATCAATCTCGCATGTGAGACAACATATTGGGGCTTATGTAGTGCAACTGAGAACTCATACCTGCTTGCTCCAAAGTCCGGTGAAGCTGAGATATTTGCGGAACTAGCATTTGTTCTATTTAGATTGACGGCCGTATCCGTGGTTCACAACTACCGATACCAAATAACAAATAATAGGCACGTGGCATAAACAATAGCAAGCTCGTAAAGCATGGAATGCCAATAGGCAATAATAGGAATGCTTTGCACAGGTACGAGGTTTAGCTAACGATATCCAAATGCGCGTCACTTACATTAGTGCAATGACACGCCGCATCAAATGGAATACCCCTTTTAATTGGTATAAGATGCCTCTTCCTCCAATTCCAATTAGCTACAGCTCATACGTAGAGCAGGATGAGATGGCTTATGCATATAGGACTTGATCGCCCAATGATATTCAACCTTTGTGATCTCACGCTGATTATGAACTTGCATTGCAAACCGAAAAGTGCAACGTCAACAAGCAATATCTTACCGCCGAGCTAAGGGGATATTTGATACCAACCAACGTAGCCTTGCCTTGCCACCCGTGTTCACCAGTCTCAACATAAATAAGCGTATAAGACGCCAAGCCAATATAATCTAAGACCTCAATTTAAATCTATCGTCACTCCCTTGGTAGTAGCTGGTGGCAATGATCAGACATACATATCATACCATTGTAACCGAATGTCGCGAAGTGTCAGTTGCTCGTTCTAATTTGCATAGGATACCAAGACACTGATGTATCATAACAAGTGATATGACATGACTTTGTTCGCCTTGTTAATATCTCGAGCGATGCGATTAAGGCCCAAGCACCACGGCTATGGTAATGGATAGCTACCCTCAATTATTATCTATATTTCCAAGCGTGGCATCGTCATTCTTACCCCCTAACCTCTCCAGACTCCTCTATATGGCTGGCCAGATCCTCTTGAAAAATAGTCTCCTGACCCGCCAAAGACTTGAAGTATTAGATCCCACTTAGTTATCAAGTATCCTAGAACTAGGATGTACGATTGTCGCTCACTCGTAGTGGTATCTAGGCGAATATATTTGTCGTGTTAGTATATTAGAAACGAGTTACATCATGCAGTCGGAGGAGAAGCGGCTCGTAACGTCTCCGTAAAGCTTCAACATTGTATTCGCGGGAATAGATCGTTCACGATACAAATAAGGATCGGCGTCTTATGATACAGCGAAAGGGAATGAATATATTAAATGCGTTGGAAAAGAGAAAGCTCCACACGATTCAACTTATCTTCTAACGCCACAGCACTATCATCCCATCTACACGCCAATGTCGCTCTAAGCTCGCGGAGCTGGGGACAAGACCACTATTTATCTTGGCGCTCATTAGCTACCCCTGCGGGGGTCAGCGACCAGCCAGTGATAGCTTGCCATCTTATCGTTGGATGAGAAGCTGGAATTACGTCAGGTAACTGATAGATAGGAATTCTACTCAGTAAAGAAGCGTCAGGTACGGCTGAATTACTCAGGGACGGGGGAAACAGGAACAATTGGTTCGGTAGCTATGCCTATTGTATTGCAAAATGACCTTCTAGAATTCCGCAAGAAGCCTTCGACGAGATATCATTGGCTACCACCCGCAGCTTAGGGGCTTCCAGCGTAATGGTGGCTGGATTTGATGATGCTGATACGATATCTCACGAAGCCACCGGCCACCTGGGATCTGGACGGGTTTTGGCATTGATAGGACATGGCATGGGCCAGGGATACGAACGGAAAGGTCAGATGACGGAATGAGACGGGGAGGGTAAACCGGAGGGTTTCGCTAGGGAAAAACAGCGGCTATCAATGAGTGAGCCTCGTTCGCATATGTGTACAACATCCGACGTCCCTCCCGATTCTTCCCCCCAACTTCACACATAAATAGTACATAATAAAGGTATGTAATATTTCTCAACGCAGCGAACGTAGGAGCGAGTCATTATACCAATCGATATATCCCTCACCTATCTACTATGTAATGGGGATGTCTATAATTTACGACAGTAGGATCAAATAGGTCAGGGCTGTTACTCTTCAATAAACAAAGACATCCTGTCCGATTTGCAATCCCTGTTTATATACCTAACATAGCAAACCCCTCCAACTCCTAGAAACCGCATAGCTAAGACCGACGTCCGTCGCAGATCCATCCACGATGACTACACCCGAAGTATCCCACGGCCGCGGCGGCGCCGGCAACATCAACCCGGACGAAACCAAGTACGTCGACGGCGAAATCGTGCGCCAGGGTCCCGAAGGTAGCCACGGCGACGGCGCATTTAGTACCGGTCGAGGAGGCAAGTCTTTCTCTATTATATCAGCCAGCCACCCTTCCAACGTCCCACTAACACCCCCTCTTACACGCAACAGGCGCAGCCAACATCGCCGACGCCGACAAGCCGCCCTCCGCAATGCGCGCGGACAAGGATATCGTCCCCGAGGAAGCGACGCGCCCATCTATCGACGGCGAGAGCTTCCACGTAGGCCGCGGCGGCGCTGCAAACGTGCACCTGTCCGAGCAGGACAAGCAGAAAAAGGAAGAGAAGCACCACGGCGCCAGCAAAGTCGTCGATAGCCCGGCGACGCCCGGCACCGCGCCGAACTTGAGCCTGGCTGATAAGCTGAAGCATAAGATCTTTGGGGTGTTTAAGAAATAGAGAAGCTTGCGATGTTACAGGGTTAGGTTAGGTATGATTGAGGGTTGGGAAGGGATGAATGAATGAATGCGTCTATTACGTTGGGGGTGGGTTGAAGAGAGGAAAATAAGGCCTCCTGATTCTTTGCTTAATATTCTTACTGGCGACTCAACGCTGCCGGTCGCGATTTCGACTTGATTTTCAATGATATCCCGTTTTCTACGTACACTCTGTCCAAAAGGCTACGCCGCGCGATCGCGATATTTACTTCAGACCTACTAAGGTAAGTGACGCTTCGAACACCAAGGTTTAAGCACGGTCCTGTATCTTCGGTGCGTCTAGGGATATACAGTCTTATATATCAGATTTGGCAATATATACAGTTAAATCACGAGGTAGATTCGCTAACCCCCGACCCTTTCCTATTTTTTTTTACCAAGCTTCGCTTATTTTAGGGCGCTGACGACGGCGTTATACGCGGGCTTGGGGTTGAAGTTGCTGTCGAACAGCAGGGGATTGGTGCTGGCTCTCCAGGAGTCCTGTTGCGTCTGCGGTCAGCACATACCTACTAAGATTCGGGGAAAGGTGGCTTGTTCTTACCGGGTCTCGGACACCCCAGACGGTGATACCGACACACTTGGGCTCGTCCATGCAGGCCTTGGTGACGGCGGCGTAGTCGTTGGCGGGAGCGGTCTGGATATCGACTTCGGTAAATGCAACTTCCTTAACACCAGTGGCGGCGAGAGCCTTGATGGAGGCGGCGGCTTGGCTGGCGAGACCGGCGGTCAAGTGGGCTTGAGATCCGATGCCGTCGATGGGAACGCCGGCAGCGATCCACTTTTTGACGTGGTTGACCATACCCGTGGTGAGCTTGGCACTATACCGTACGAAGTCAGCAGGTGCTCGATAGAGGAGAGTCTTGAGAGAAAATCCATGGCCGATTAATCCATATCGAGGGCCTTTACTCCCGGAACAGCTCGACGCGTAGACATGTGCCCTTGTCTAAAGCATACACGAAAACAATGAGATATATAGGATATACGTACTAGTTCGGCTGATCGAGGTTGTAGTCATTGATGTACAACTTCGCATCGGGGTCAGCCTTGCGGGCCGCTTCGAAAGCAATGCGAACGAAGTCCTCGCCCAGGACATTAGAGAAGACCGACTGGCGCAAGGAACCGTCCTCGTTGAAGATTTCGTTCACGACATCCTAGATACGGGTTAGCTCACCTGTATCAATAATTTTCGCGCCGCCGCGGTGAGACGAACCCAGGCGTAGATCTTGCCCTTGTACCGCGTCACCAGGGTCGTAACGTGGTTCTCGAGGACCTGGGTGAGCTTCGTCTTGTCCCTGATGTTGGAGACCCAGCCGGGCAGCTGCGAGTGCCAGCAGAGGGTGTGGCCACGGATGGTCTTGTTATTGGAAGTGGCCCAGTCGACGAGGTAGTCGGCTCCGGCAAAGTTGAACCGGCCTTCGGAGGACTCGGTAGCATCCCACTTCATGCTGTTCTCGGGGGTCACCTGGCCGAAGTCTGCCTTGATAACATCGGCGGACTTGCCGGTCGACAGACGGTTCTGGTCGGCGCAGGTTCCGTAGTATAGCTTTCCCTTGGCCTTGATCAGCGCATCGATGCTGTCGGTTGCCTGCCGCTCGGCGAGCTCGGTGGGAGCAGCCAAGGCCGCCAGAGGAGCTAGCAGGTATAGGAGAGTAGACTTCATGTTGTCGGTCTTTTCGGCACGGCTGGGTACTGGGTTATTCCGTGAAGACTACAATGAAACTCTTAGACGGCGTAACGGTGGCATTACCCAGGCTTTATAGTTGTCAATCCAAGTACGACGGAGGATAGCACCCGTGGTAGGTAAGGCCAGATCTGGCTCCATAGCCACCCCCATCAAAATAATTCTTGGAGATTCCACGGCGGTAAAATAGAATAGCATAGTGGTTAATTCCCAAGACGGGAATATTGCTTGTCTAGAGCCCCTTCCTCATCTTCCCCTGTACCAGCAAGGCGAGATTGAGGGGCGACCGGTGACAACGGCCCGCCAATATAACAAGCGCTATACATGTAAATGCTGGCAAACCGGAGCAAGGAAGCGCAGTTGTCTCGACGAAATAACTATACGGCCCCGCGAAAATAAACGCCGTGGGGTGCATCACGCGATAATAGCCTAAAGCTAATGCTGGTATCAAGTATATATGCCATCATTATAGGACAAGGGGTTTATGAACATATGTATTTATAGCAGACGCTCGGTGTCAAAACTCCGAAACAAGGCTTGAAAACATCTTAGAGTCACGAGCTCATGCGTACTTATCGGGAAAGGACTTTAGCTTAGGAGCGTTGAAAGTGATACGAAGAGGTTTTAAGGTCGAAGAAGATAGAATAAGGAATTAGCGTAGAAAGACATCATAGACACCTTCACTGGGGGAAGGCTGTTTTCCCGGTAAAGCATTTTACTTGCTCCCAAGTTACCAGTAACTGATGAATATACCGCAAGTTGTTTTGGGGCAGAACATAGCTAGATTATGTCGTTAAAGCTATAGGATCCGGGGATATGCAAAGGAGCCTCCATAGATGTCAGCCGACACGTGGTATAGAGAGTGGTATGTTAAGCGAGATGGCAAAACGTCACACGCTCGATACCGCTTACATTATACAATAGCCATTTAAATTAGTTGGAAGGCAATAATATAATGGTAATATGCTACTCACGTCTAGACACAATGTAACAACCAGCAATCTATAAAGCAAGAATTAGATGAATCAGTTGCTAGACTCGGAGAAGTGGGACAGACTTGGTCGTCCTAGATCCTAGTGTAGACCGAACCAGCAGGATAAGTAACTGCTAAAAGGCTTGGCTGGTGTTGTTTGGTTTTGCTATGCTAAACCTAGGATCCGAAGGAGATATTTGCTTAATCGAAAAACCATCCAGTAAGAATGGCGTCCCATTCAGGAATACAACAGCGAGTTAGCTACTACAACTACATAACCAGTCTGAATAATAAGATTCTCGAAGCTGCTACAGTTTGTTGCTGTATACCACCCAGCTTGGACATAGTCCTATTATTTAATCCGATTCGTCTTAAAGGGGGAGATCATATTGTTTGATGGGAGTTTCTTTCTCTTCTTGTTCTTTTCATAGTAGTTAACCAAGGGAATCTTTATCACTAGGATTGGTGTTATTTGGATGGATAGTGAGGGTCGGGCCGTGAGCATCCCCAACGTCCCATAGGGTTCCATAGGGTTACCTAAGTGACGATCCTTGCCTTCAGTTTTGCTTCCTATTTCCCCTGCGACGTCATGCCTTGTTACTTGTGAACCATCATCGGACCATGAACGAGGGGTAGCGTGTTAGAAAGCAGCTTAGCTTTTGGGTAAGGTATGCGCCTAGAGTGGTTTGTACCAACGATCCGTCCTTTCTTTGTGTGTGTGTGTGAGAGAGAGAGAGAGAGAGATGGCCGTCTTGTCTCCTCAATTATTCATTCATAATTTATACATCTAGTCTCGACCGAACTGCTTCCTCTCATGATTTCTGCTACAAATATCGGGTTATACCGTGTGCTGAAAGTCAAAAGACGTTCGTTTTCCCAACACTAGGCGGATGCTCTTAATCGATTATGATAGTTGGATCAACCCGCCGGTAGATCTTCCGCGTTTAATAGGCCACCGGGCGGGGAGAAGAGGTTCACCAGAGGAGCGGACCAAGAACACGACAGAACAGGTCAGCCTATTGACATTTTTACGTTTACGTTAACCGATTCAAGCTTTTGCGATAAGGTTAGGTGCGGCCTTTCTGATTTCTGATTTCCGATTTCCGATTAATTATTATGGAACATTAAAGTTGACCGATTGGGGCTCAGAGTTCTCCAAACTGGACCCGGCAGCAACCCGGACATTGCTGACAGCGGCAGCCAGCGGGAGCCTTTTAAGGTTTAGGCCGGAAGTTTAAGGTCAGGGGCCCCCTAATGAGGCCCCTTCCAGCTGACTGGTACCTAAACTGAGTTCAGTGTAACGCGACGCCATTTCGTCACGTCCCTTAAACCTAATCTACCGCTTCCATCCAATAATGGTCCCTAGGAATGATGACCAGCTTCGGCGCCCAGCTCCAAATTCGCGCTTACTTTCAGTCCAGTCCGTCGTCTCTAAATATTCCCTTCGCTCTCACTCTTCCTCCTTCGAAGCTGACGATGAGCGATCGACATCCACCGAGTCAGGCAGAATGACACCCACGCCCAGCATCGAGAATGCCTCCCCCCTCGGTCGCTATCATGGCGAAGACACTCGGCCAACTAGTAACAGGGAGCTTGCTGGTTGGTACATGTATGCCTTCGCCGCCGAAACCTACGTAATATGCGGTTAGTAGATCTAGACTCTTCTTCCTGCTTACTAGCAGCACTCGTAATAATGCTGACCATCACTAGCCATCTGTGAGTAGCTACCTACCTCTTCTCCTTAGCATCCGCACAAGATTATGCCTAGTTCGATATCCATCGTATTCGAGAACTTGCACGCGCCGTCGTCACAACTACCCGTATATAACTAGTAAACATGAGCTTACCGAATGTGAACAGCTTCGTTTATCCCGATTCTATTAGAGAGCTTGGCCAGGGAAAACGGCGTGCTCTTGAGGGATCGGGAAAGTCCCTGCACGAGAACTTCGGATGGCCCGTGTGTCGTCACCGTCGTCGGCGTCGAGATCAATACGGCTAGCTTTGCTATGTATACCTTCAGTATAAGCGTGCTACTCCAGGCGTTACTAGTAGTCAGCATCAGCTGCGCGGCAGATCACGGCAACTATCGAAAGCGTTTGTTATTGACATTTGCGTGGATTGGAAGCTTTTGCGTCATGTGCTATATATTCATCTCCAAAGAGATATACATATTCGGCGCGCTGCTGGCTATCATCTCTAACACGTCTTTCGGGGCGTCTTTCGTTCTATTAAACTCCTTCCTTCCTCTCCTTGTCCGCCACCATCCGAAAGTATTGGAGTCGGTAGCCGGTGTATTCGAAGATGACGACCCAGAACCAGATACTATGATCGACACTCATTCTCGGTCGACATCCCCTACTCTCGCCGAGCACCCTCCAAACAATCCGACGACTCCCTTGCTCTCGCGAAATGACGGCAGCTCTGACATCCATGACTTGCGACGAATACCTACTCACGAGGAGCTTACCTCTATTGAGCTTCAGCTGTCCAGCGAGATATCCGCAAAGGGGACCGGGATCGGCTACGGCGCTGCATTGTTCGTGCAATGCGCATCCATATTAATATTAGTGAGCATGCATAGTTCTGTTTGGTCGCAACGGGTCGTGCTATTTTGTATCGGGGCTTGGTGGGCTATTTTTACGATACCAGCAGCTATATGGCTCAGAGCTAGGCCTGGGCCTCCCCTCGCAGAGAGCCAACACCGAGGCACCCGTGCTTGGATATCTTATATTGCCTACTCGTGGAAGAATCTATTCCGGACGGTCAAGCTGGCACGACATTTGATCGACGTTGTCTTATTTTTGGCTAGCTGGTTTCTGATTTCCGACGCTGTCGCGACGACATCTTCAACTGCCATATTGTTTGCAAAGACGACCCTGCACATGGAACCGTGGGCGTTAGGGATGATCAACGTTATATCTACGACTACAGGTGTCGTGGGTGCTTTCGGTTGGTCGTTCGTCTCCAAGTATTTCAAGTTGCGACCCCATCAGACTGTGCTGAGCTGCATTGCCCTTTTCGAAATCATACCTATCTACGGTCTTCTAGGCTACTTGCCTTTTGTCCAACGATGGGGAGTTTTCGGGCTTCAACAGCCGTGGGAAATGTACCCCCTAGCTGCCGTTTATGGTCTTGTCCTCGGCGGGCTTAGCTCATACTGTCGATCGCTTTACGGAGAACTGATACCTCCCGGCTCTGAAGCTGCTTTTTATGCGTTATACGCCATTACCGACAAAGGCTCAAGCATATTCGGACCTGTTATAGTGGGAGCTATTATAGACGCATCTGGTGAAATTCGACCGGCATTTTGGTTCCTGGCAGCGTTGGTCAGCCTTCCTGCACCATTTATATATTTCGTCAACGTCGAACGTGGCAAGTTCGAAGGAGAAAAACTGGCCGAGATAATCGAGGGCTTTAAGAGCAGAGATGATATTCACGAGGGCAGATTTGGTAACGGTGTTGAAGGTCGAGGGGTTCTTGACGCTTACGATGGACATGATGAGGAGGAGGTTGACGGTCGTGCGAGTTCATAATACCCCGGAATTATTCAAGCGTACTTTTATGTGAGGGTCTATCCTGCATAGCGACGGCGTTGACTCTTCTTCATTTACGCGGGGAAAGATTGGATAATCAGTCCTACTTATTAGATACCTCGCTCAGTTTTCACCTGGGGACCTAGTTTAATCGAACACTACTAACAACGCCCGGCAAGTTATGTAGGGGCCCTTCCTTGTTTAGCATACTGATCGCGATATCACGCAGAAACCGGCCAATACCATTACGTGTTGTAGCCTATTACAGCCAACAGCCAACGCTCAACGCTAATATAACACTCCTTGGCCCCTAGATCTCAACAGTGTAGCTACATAAATTTAGCAGGCAATACTGAAGTTGTTAGACTTGAATAACTGCCTCCTTGCTACAAAACAAAACAGCAACTTTCAAAACTCGAGATACTTTACCTCGTGAATCGGGTGATGGAAATCTGATCGACATTACCCACCGAATATCTGTAGCCAATGCTTTGGGCTTATTGGTTGCTAGATACGGTAAGTACATGTACGATGCGGTAGACTATACCAAACTAGGCTTAGGACACCTATGTACATGTACCTAGCTTTCTAGGCTTTGAACTTGGACCTCCACTTGCTTCCCGTTTCTCCTCTTCGTCTTCCCCAAAATCAAAACACAATTCGAAGCGCAAATTCGAGCTGGCAGTGCTGCTTAGGTGGTGGTGGTTCAATCGGAACGCGAATCGCGCTATTACGATACCTAGGTACACGTAAGAAATCAACTTATTACTGACAATCACCTATATGACTACCTATATTATTATTCTTATCCCTTTCCCCTGTTCTAAGGTTAGGTAACTAACAGCTACTTGTCCATCTCAGGCCCGAGCCGGCATCTGTTCTCGAGGTGTCTAGACTCTACTGCGTACTCCTTTGTCATAGTATCCACGTCCCGGAGCTCTCGTCTCGCCATTGGAACAGCTATGTTATGATTCGGCCCCCGGCGCATTGTAACACGGTGTAGAGTAGGATCTCGACAAGTTAATTGAGAGACGCGCCAAGCTACCAAATATTTCCCCCCTTCCCCGCCACATCCGTTTCCGGCTTACGATTTCTCAATCGCATCGCTATCGAATCTCATCCAACGTCGCGAGCTTCGTCCTCGATACACATAGGCATAGGGTCAGCTTCGATATTGTTGGATACGCGCCCGCACTCGTTTAATAGCTTCCCGCCACACTTTTTTTTTTTTGGTTAGATATTTATATTGGTTACGCGGAAGATAAGATTTTTTTCCTTTTCTGACCGCAATCGATCCCCTTACCAGCCATCGGTTTCGTATTATATAGCCTCCGTTTGCACATCCAACCACCTTATATATAAATAAGTTACCATTCAAGATTCGCGATAATGGCGACCGCTCGTAAACGCCCGCGCCCAGAGCCAGAGGAGAGCCAGGCAGAATGCCCTTTTAGCGTTATCCATCCCGACCCAAACGAGAAGGAAAAGAAGGCGAAGCGTAGACGGCAAGAGTCCGAAGACCATCCTCAACCCAAGATATTGCTTCAGGCGTCCCCCTTCTCGCCTATGGGCAAGTTTAAGGATCACAATAATACCATGGACCGGCATTATCAAGTTCAACCATATCAGAAATGGATGGATATGACGCGGTATAATAGTTTCGTCCGTAAGTGCCTCAAACTGTTCGTATCTCGCACGTTATACTCAAGGATATCTAGTGAATGGTGTCAAATACTGGAGCGAGGGTTTCATATTCGTTGCCAACAGTTCGACGATCGAGCGCCAGAAAAATACGGGTGAAACCCTACAGCCTAGGAAGAAGTCAGACGACGATTGGGTAGCAAGAATCTTGGAAATTCGAGCGGCTGATGAGCATCATGTATATGCGCGCGTGTATTGGATGTACTGGCCGGATGAGTTGCCGGTGGGCACGCAAGACGGGAAGAAACTCATACAGGGACGACAGTGGTATCATGGCGCAAATGAGCTGATCGCGTCCAATCACAGTAAGGCTTAACACGTTTCCAAGTCTATTATAACTCACTCCTAACAGAGCATAGTGGATGTGATCAACGTAGTCAGTGTTACCGCTGCAGCAACCGTTAATCAATGGGACGAGACGAACGAGGACGAAGTTCAGCCTGCACTCTACTGGCGCCAGGCTTTTGACGTCCGTAGTATGGAGCTCTCTGTAAGTCCGGCTCATTTTCTCCTCTTTCGTCAACTAACAAGAAATAGTCTGCAGAGCTGCGCTGCAAATGCAATCGTCCCGAAAACCCGGACAAAAGGCTGTTTGGCTGCTCGAGCGAGGAATGCAAAAAATGGCTTCATGATGAGTGTCTGATTCACGAAGCACTTTTGAAGACGTACAAGCGCCTAGGAACCGATAAACCACATAAATCCACACCGGTGAAGGAGGAGGAAGCTGGCGAGGCGGCTAAACGGCCACTAAGTCCCAGCGAGACGGGTGCGGCACAAACGGCCGAGCAATCGATCGACGTGAAGCCCGAAGAGCAGCAACAAACGATAAAACTTGCCGACGTCGAAAACGCCCTCCCGGCCATCAAAGCCGAAAGTGCGAGTGTCTCCGTCGCGGCCTCTAAGCCCAAGCAAAGAGGGCGACCCCGTAAGTCAGAATTGAACGACCAGGCGGCAGCGAAGCCATATGAAGGATTGTTCGAGGGCGTAATACAAAGTGACCTAAGTCCACCGGTCCTCGAAATCACAGATCTCCGAGGGAGCGTCACGGGTGGAGACAAGTCGTGGATAGAACCCCTTCACTGCTTAATCTGCGATCACGAGATCCAGTAGGTGATTATATCGATGCGCTATACTTATTCTACGTGTTGCAAGTTACCTTAAGTTCGACGAGTATATATTCCTGTCACTTGTGCTTTGCCAGAGAGCCTTGTCCTTTCTGCTCGGCGTTTAGGGAGCAATCTATTATACCCTGCATCCTTTTTGCGGGGTGGCTGTTTTTGTATGTTCAGAGTATGAAACAAAAATCAAGTTGTATAAGCTGTACTAGCTGGAGTGGATTAAAGCTTTGGGCGAAGTTAGAATAGCAGGAGAAAAGTTGAGAATCGTGGGCACCTGGGAGTCTACAGTGGTGAGTCAGGTAGACTTAATAAGACAAATAGGTATTATTAGATTAGTCTACTCGAAAGATGTAGTTGGTATGCCTATAGTAGTCAGTCAGTACGGTATAAGTAGCACCTACGTACATAGGTAGTTATTATAGATTGACTTTTAAGAGTTGGATCTATATATGGTTAGCATTGATAAAAGTCATCCGAAACTCGCCATGAAAGGCGATAAGCCAGACTGTAAACAAGGAATTTTTAAAATTAGGATCCGAAGACTACAAAACTAAGACCCAAGAGGAAGATGTCCTATATGGACTTAGAACTTATATGGGAAGGTCCTCCGAACGCCATGCGAATTGCCTAGGCATTTATTTACTTGTTAATATTATGCTTATTGTTCTTGAAAGCTACCTTGAAAGCTACCTTGATAGTTGTGTTTCCGAAGCAATGTGAAAGATAATTGTAAAAGATACATGTACGTAGCTGAAGCTCTTTGGAGCTTATTCCTTTTAGCTTATTCCTTTTCCAACTTGCAGCTAACATAATCCGTACAGCTCCCCCTACTTGAGGTACTTACCGTGTAAGGAAACGACCCACTTTTCGGCCGAACCCCACCATCGATTGAAACGCCAACTGCAGCCGACTTTCAAATGTTCCCCCTCCAACATCTTAGAAGAATATCTATCTCAATCACTACTCCCTACACTCTCTTAGGTTGTCTGGATTACCTCTGGAATTATTACGTCGTAGAGCCCTTCGAAGAAACCGCAAACAGAATCACGAGTCCTTTAAGAGTCACCATGGCCGACCCGTTTGACTCGGCTCTGTATGCATTCCCCTGCTCTCGCTCTCGCTCTCCCCTCGCTGCCTTATTCTCTCTACCCAATCCGTATAGCAGGAGACATATATCTATAATACATATATGCATATACGTATGATTAATGCTAACGTTCTCTACTACACCAGCGACCTTCTCCGACGTCTCAACCCCAAGCATACGACCGCACACCTAAACTCCCTGATCCACCTGGCACCCGACCTAACTGAGGACCTGCTCTCCTCCGTCGACCAGCCCCTCTCGATCCGGCGGTGTAAACAGACCGGCCGTGACTACCTTCTATGCGACTACAACCGTGACGGTGACAGCTACCGCTCGCCATGGAGCAACGAGTTCGACCCGCCGCTCGAAAGCGGTGCTGCTTCTGCCGCCAGCTTACCGTCCGAGAAGGTTCGCAAGATGGAGGTTCGCGCCAACGAAGCCTTCGACCTCTACCGAGACCTCTACTACGAGGGCGGTGTCAGTAGCGTATACTTCTGGAACCTCGACGACGGCTTCGCGGGCGTTGTGCTTTTGAAGAAGGGTAAGTTTGGCTTGTGAATTTTCATTATTCTTCTATCCGTGGAGCATGTGCCTAGGGTTCATGCTCCCTTATGCTATTGGCTCTATACATGACAGATACGAGAAGTGCTTTGAGTTACCCCGGATTCTAAGACGTTGGGTCTAAGAATAAGCGAAAAGGAGGAGTAACATAACCAGGCTCAGACTCGGAGGTTACAGATCTTGCATTTCACATCTGAGACCTCGAAGCTAGCACGAGCCGACTACGGGAAGACAGCCGACATAATTGTCGGTGATATATATACTTCCTCACCTACCTCGAATATGTGATCTCCGCGGCTAATACATTGTACCCGTATCAGAGGCCAGACCAGGCAGCGCTAGTGAGGGTGCTTGGGACTCGATTCATGTCTTCGAGGCGATCGATCGAGCTCGTTTCACCCAATATAACCTAACATCCACCGTCATCCTATCGCTGTCTACCAATTCGAACAGCCTCGGAGACATGGATCTCTCAGGCAACATGACCCGCCAGATCGAGATCGAACTGCCGGCGGAGAGCGAGGAGCAGCAGATTGCCAATATCGGGAAGCTCGTAGAGGATATGGAGCTCAAGATGCGAAACCTGCTGCAGGAGGTCTACTTCGGAAAGGCCAAGGACGTGGTTGGCGACTTGAGGAGCGTAGGAAGCTTGAGCCAGGGTGCAAAGGACAGAGAAGCTCATAAGGAGCTCGTCGGAAGCATGATGCGATGACGGGTGACGGGTGACATCGAATGATTAAGATGACACTTCTAAGATATGATGATACGGAAAGGTTTACTACGTCCAGGCGTGATTTTTAGCTACGGGAGTCTCGGACGATGAGTATGACAGCGATGACGAATAGTTGCACGGCAGCAGCAGATCGGAATGATGACCAGTCGCAGGGTCTCGGAAAATATGTCTGACAGTCTGAAACTTGGTAAGTTCGTGTATGGTCCAGGGGAAACATCTTAGATTAGACGTGAGGCTTTGTCTGGGCATAATCTCCCCCCAACAGTTTTTAGTTTGAGAGATCCAAGGTCCCCGCAAGATCTTTCTTCGATCGTACGATCCGTTCCGGCTTCAGGCTTCAGCGCGGAGTACCTAGATAATAATATCTCGTTCGGCATAAGCATTTTATTATTATACTATGAGATCGGACGATACGTAATTAAATCTCGTTTCCCGAGTCCAGACTTCTCGATGTTCGATGATTGGTGATGCACGAACTTATGGGCCTTCCTGTTTCGAGTGAGACAGCGAATTCGAGAACGAGAGTGACCCAGCTAAACCCCCTTACGTGCTCCGGATGTAATTCCGGCTGCGGGAGACGTACATGCAGTAGCATCGCAGTCGAATCGGACAAACATGGAAAACGAACAAGAGTAAGGCAAAGTTTGGTATGTACGTATGTACGTATGTACGTATGTAAGTTAGATGAGTATATGCGTGTCTAAGATAAGAGGGGGCCGGGAATGGAAGCGTGGTGACCGGTCAAGTTCGAAGTTGTGGAAGAAGACTCTTCCGTCTTGGACTCATTGTTTCAAGGACGACGCAAGTCGACGCCGCGTCCATGGTTTCCTTCTCTTTTTTTTTTTTTTTTTTTTTTGTTTTCGCGATATTAGACTGGGCTGGGCTGGGCTGGACGGGTGGGACTGGGTACGTTACTATTGCCGAATTAAACGAATGATCAAATCAATGACTTGCATAGAGGTATCTATCTAACCCGGCCAGTTCGCGTCGCGACCGTTGCAGATACAACATTACAACATTGGTTACTACGACTCTGGATGTATGTAGGCGGATGGTAAATAGGGGGGTGGAGGGGGAGGATCGAGAATAATTTTGGTATTTTGGGTATTTTATTTTATTTTTTATTCGCGTCGCTTCGCATTCCTTACCCCTTGATGGAAGCATTAATTGGGAAGGGAACGACGGGATGCAATGGAACATGACCACGTTTCTGTATACACTACATACTTCATACATGTGCGTCGCCTGCTGCCGTTCGCGTTACATACCCCCTTAGACAATAAAAAATAAAAAAGGGGGAAAGGGGAAGGGGGGGGGGGCAAGGAGAAACAGGCTGGACGCGTTTCTTCTAGCCGATGATCTCTGCTTCCAGAAGGAATCCAGATCGCAGATGGAATGATTCGGGTTTTCTTCTATGTACGTCGTATGTAAGGTACAGTATGTAGGTAGGTATGTATTGGGACGGATGGAGCCGTCGTGTCGCGTGGCCGACACATTAGAGAGGTTCAGGTCTTGGATTACATAGGTAGTGTATGTATTGTATTGTACATACGAAATAGAACCCGTGTAGAACATTTTGTTTCCTTCCTTCTTTCTAGACCGCTATACTACCTCCACTGTACATAATAATAATAATAATAATAATAATAATAATAATACTAATAATACATACATAGTTCCAAGACGATCCAACTATCTAAAATACATAGCGTCATTAGAAAGGGGAGGTCGATCTGCGCGGTAAGGACCCCGTAAAAAGATGAAATAAAAAATTTTAAAATTTTAGCAGGCATATGCCAGCATTGGGGATTGGGGTTGGAGGTAATTAGAAATATGTAGTGTATGATTATATTTAGGTGGTAGATCTAGACTCGGGAACATGCAGGTAAAAGTCTGCGATAGAATACCAGTGCAACTAGTACCTTGTAAGGTATGTATTCTCGCCCCGTCCCGCCGAATTAGATACCCAAGTTGGGCCTTTCCTTGCCTTGCCTTGCCTAGTAGTGAGGTGGATGTTTGCTAGGTTCGGCGGACGAGAGGTAGCCGCGCCAATATGTCGAATAATACATACATACATAACATCATACTTACCTAGAGTGGAAAAGGACAAAACAAGACAGGACAAGACAGGACAGGACAGGACAGGACAGGACAGGACAGGACAGGACAGGACAGGACAGGACAGGACAGGACAGGATTTGTGATGCGACTCTACGTAGACTTACACTAGAGGAGACTCGGAAGACGTGAGAATTATTATCCTGCCTGCCTATGTATCATGATCATCCTATGTCCACGCGGCCGGCCGGGGAGGGTATCCGGTGCAGTAGTTGTATTATCGAGTCTGCTCTGCCTCTTCTCTGCGCGCTTCGGAAATTGTAGTCCACGTCTATGGTCTATGTATGAAGTGTACGAGCGAAGTCCTAGGCCAGCCTAGCCTGACCTAACCTTGCGCGCGTTGTTGTCCTTCTCCCCTCCTCCCGCTGCACGTCGGCACTTTCGTATATGGTCTGAGATTTGATATTTGATACGTAGGTAGGTACCTAACCTAGGTATGTAGGTATGTATGTACATACACAACGTCGCGAGTCCATGTCAGCACGCTTCGCCAAGGCCCAAGACCTACGAGGACACCTGAGGAGCACAGAGCGCAGAGCAAACAGGATGGTTGTTGTTGGTCGACGTTTACGCCCCGTCAGCCCGTGGGAAGATGATGTGCACTGCATGGAATGTTTCTAGAAGGATGCTCCGCTTTCGTATCTCTGCCCAGCCCACGTAGGATTCGCTCGGCTGGCAGGGCGATTTTGAGGGGAGGGGAGGGGAGGAGGGTTTCCGGGATATTTCTAATAGGGGGTTCGCTGAGCACGGATGTCAGAGGCTGGCTTCCCCTGGTAAACGTCGGCAGGTCGGAATAGAATAGATGCCTTGATATAGGCAAGCCCCTTGTTTCTAAAGATTCGTAGACCTGCAGCTAGGGCTTGCTTGGGCTTGCTGGGCTGGGCGGATGGCGCACGGGGTTTTCATATCAATTACATAGGTAGGTATGTATGTATCATTTCAGGGAATAATTCGCTGCATCAGCCAGCCAGCCGAGGAGAATTTACGATTGGCTGGGAAGGGATATTACATACACTATCTCTGGGCTTACACAGCAGCACGGTTTCGGTACTCTGCTAGAACAAACCTGGGAATCTTTTCGGGTCCCAGTATTGGCCAGTATTGGCTCAGTATGTAGTGCTTATGAGCCCTGCCGGGGTGGTGTCATTATGAGCTATGTATCCGCGCCGTGGATGCATCTGTTCAAGTACGGAATACAGGGACTATCTGATACAGACGATCCTAAAAGTCCGGGGACGTTTGATGTTCAGGTGATGATATGGAGACTTCTTGGCCGTACATCAGACGAGGTTTTCTCCGTAAGAGCCTCTTCTACCACCTGGGCTGCCATGACTGCTAGGTTGGCAGGTATGAATATAGTGTAAATATAGCGTACGCCCTGTAACCGCGTCGACAAAAAAGATGCGATACCGAAGCTGTCCCTGTCGTGGGAGTGGGCAGGTGACCCGAGATGCCTGAATGTCGGCCGTTTGACGCTGTATGGAACTAGGTCTATTGAGGTCTGGACTACGGAACGACTGGTGCCAGTGGTGGTGATCTGTATTTTAGTCTTAGGACTTGTCGGAAATGCGTGCGCAATAATGTGCAATATATGTGAGTATTATATACGTCTAAGACCGAATCATCGACCATCTCCACGACAAGATTCCACAATGCTCATGCGTATCGGGGACTATGTCCGCGAGAATGGAACCCAACTATCGGCCGTGGCGTCATCGAGACCTAGTAGTAACCTACTACCTTTACCTCGGGTCGGTAGGTATGAAGTGAAATCAAGACCGAATCGAGATTGAAGAGTGCCTAGCCTAGGTACCTAATGTATGTAGGCATGTATGTATAGGTATGTAGGTAGTAACAGCCGAAGTTTCTGTCACTAGTGTTATATATGTACCGATCGCGAATGCATTAATATCTGGGTACTGTGCTCGATATCAGATATTGTATGTGTTTCAAGTTTAGTAACCTGGTATTACGAAGTAGTGGTGGTACTGTGGTTAGCAGGTGAGGTAGTGTCCATTTTTGCCTCAGCTGGCTGGGTGCTATCTAACCAGAAAGGGGTGTACTTAATATATGTAGGTATGTACCTTAGGTGAGGTAACAGGGTAACTACCTCATAGGCAATTGATAAAGTTTGCTTCCCATGTCTCTACGATACGCTAACGTAGTAGCGTATTTCATTAGCGCACCTTCTCTTCTCTATCCCTATTTCCAGGCAAAGACCTCGTCTTAAACATCAAATGTACAAGACTGCGTACATGTAGTTGATGATGAAATACCTAAACCCTAACCTGGGTATTAACCTAGTTAAACATTCCCTCGTTCCTCATTTCTTATTACCATTTCGTTCTCGCCTCTTCTCCTACAAAGTAAGATAATCCAAGACATACATGTATAGTCTCATCCGTTAATAATATCATATCAACACCGAACATCTTTGACACCCTTTGAGTTGCATCGCATAATTGCTATAATTGTCCACTACGTGCGTTGCGAGGCGGTGGCCATGACCATCCATCCCATCCCATCCCATCTGCAACGTTATGTACGTAGTGTATAGGTATGTAGGTAGAGTGAATTGGTACATACAACCTCGTACGCCACCCCATGCGTTGAACTAACTAATGTACTGTAAACATTCATATCAGGTTTCTGCATTTTCTAATCTTTAATGAGAAGGTAGGTTCATGCGGTTCGTTCCGTTTTCTGTCTCTGTTCGCTGCTGCTCGACTGCTTGCTGACATACGTAAGGTACCTAAACCAAGCCTTCCCAAGCCAGAAGCCCAACCCCAAGCCTGCAAGCCTGCAAGCCTGAGCCCGAGCCCCCAAGTGGTCCATCTTTGAGAAGACAAGGGGGTTGCAGCCAAGGTACTCTTTTAGCGGTTACCGCAATCACTTGGTGCATAAATGAACCACAAGGAGCAACCTGCTGGGACTCCACAGCTTCTCCTGATGCTCCATCGACCATACCCATAAACCATATCCATACCAGCCCAAACCTGGGCTGCCGGCGGTGGCGGCCTTTCCATGCGTACCGATCTACAGTACGTTACATATTGATTTTCTCTTGCTTTTTTTTTTTTTTTTTTTTTTTTTTTCTGTTCACATCATGTAGGTTAGGTATGCATGTATGTATATATATGTATGTATGTATGTACATTTGACCTAAACATGCTACAATTTGTTCTCTGCAGATATCTCATACGTACATAATAATCCAAGCCTCCCCTGCGTCACATTGCACATACGACACATTTTAAATTTTCTTTCTCCTCCCTCTATCTGTTCTCGACAAGTTGGGGTTGCACTAGATATCAAAGTATCGAAGCAGTAAAAGTAATCTTGATTCCTTCTGCGGCCTATCTGCCTATTAGCTCTGTTCCGTCTATATAGGGCTGGTCTGCTCGCTTGGACTGGATCCGCCCTCACCCCCCTAAACCGCGAAATGAACCAATATTACTAGCTTCGGGCAGCTGACACAACCTTCGACGGAGTTGGACGGATAGCCCCTTGCTCCACCTTGACAATACAGACAGGCATTCCCTTGGGTCTTTAGTACAATACATAACAGCAGTGTCGGTGCTTTGTAGCTTGTTCGAGTTCAGCTCTTGAAGTCTCCAAGACCGGGAACTTTTTCCCAACAATAGCCTTGTCCGTCATTTTACTTCTTCACGATCGCGGCCCCTCGGAAGAAAAAAAAAATAAAAATAAAAAGTCGTCTGTAGCCCCGCGTCCGTGTTGCGCCTCGAATCCGTTCTCCCCGTTTCCTTCTTCCCTCTAATACACCGCAACCTATCGGGTTGCAATAGCGCACACAATGGCCTCAGAGAAGCCGTCGGTACTCATCATCGGCGGGCTTGGTTATATTGGACGGTTCTTAGCCCGGTATATACACGAGAACGATCTCGCATCCGAAATTCGCTTGGTAGATAAGGTATTACCGCAGCTCGCCTGGCTTGCGCCTGAGTTTGAGACTGCATGCTCCTCAGACAGATTCATACAAGCAGACGCAAGTAAAGAACGTAGGTCTTAACAAGCTTCGTTAAACTTTTTCTCCCTTTGGGCCGTACTAATTATGAATATCCCGTGTAGAAGCTTTGGCGCGGATATTTGACCGGCCCGAAGGCAAACAATGGGATTATGTTTTCAACTGCGGCGGCGAGACGAGATATTCCCAGGAAGATGAAGTATACAAAGTACGGTCTCTAGGTCTGTCGTTAGCAGTTGGTAAAGAGGCGGCGAAGAGAGGAGTGAAATGCTTCGTAGAATTGAGCACGGGTATGGTATACAAGGCGAATTCGGCGCCGAGTAAAGAGACGGACAAGCTCAAGCCTTGGAGCAAGATTGCCGTATTCAAACTGCAGGCGGAGGAGGAACTCGCCAAGATCGAAGGGTAAGTCGGCACACTCTTCAGTTTTTCCGAGAGGGCGGTCGAATCTAACTATAGGGCTCTTTTCCTGTACAGGTTAAATCTCGTTATCGTACGCTTACCCCATGTTTACGGCCCGTATGCATCTCAATGGGTGGCGACGGCATTGTGCATGGCGCGCGTCTACCAAGCGATGGGCGAGGACATGAAATTCTTATGGACCAAGGACCTGTACACAAACACGGCACATATTGACGATGTTACACGAGCTCTATGGTCGGTTGCCGCCTGGTACAACGCTGGCAAGGCCAATTGGGATGTGAAGAGCATGGGCCCGACGCCGACATTCAATGTGGTAGACAAAGGAACGACAAAACAGGGTACGATCGCCGAAATCATTGCCCAGGTGTTCGGTATCGAGACTGGATTCCAGGGCCAGCTTCTAAGTAACCTCGCCCGTCTCAACATGGACAGTGTTGTGGATGATGTCAACGACGATGTTCTGGGACCTTGGGCAGACCTTCTTGCCGATGCTGGGATAACGAGACCGGGCCCGCTGACTCCCTTTATGGAAAAGGAGCTGCTGAAGGATACGGACCTCAGCATGGACGGTAGCCGACTAGAGGCCGTAGTTGGATTCCAGTACAAACACCCAGTTATCACGAAGGAACTAGTGGAGGAGGTGATTGAGAGCTACAAGAAGATGAAGTGGTGGCCGTGATTTGAGCAACCTTAACAGGAGAAGCTCAAGAATATAACTTTACATACCCCCCTAACCCCCAACCCCCAACCCCCCAAGACATTATCCACTCGCCTTTTAAAGGCGAGCATGCATAAGCGGCCAAACGGCTATGGCGATCCCAAATCCTTCCAAGCCTGGGAAGGGGAAAATCTGGTTGCCAGTGATGACTCCATGATAACGGGTCGACGACGGATTTGGAATTGCAGGCGATGGTAGGCTGTCGTCTCAAAAAACAAACTTTTTTTTTCGGTGTACAGGAGCAGAAGACAGGCGACGCAATTGTATTGTATGAATAGGATATCCCTTTTTTCCTCCTGCGTTCCCTTTCGTCAACAAATCATCATGTCCGTGTATAAAAGTCCTAGGCGTATGGGGGTTTTTAACCGTACTTAGAGCCGGGACCTAATTCATTCTAATAAGAACACATTAGAGGCTTAGTTCTAAGCAATGCTATTGACTTCCATGTAATATGGAGATCTTGTACGCGAGCAAGTAACGTTCCAAGCCGCGCAGCCAGAGCGTCTATTCTTCCTCGTTGGTTACAGTATAAGTCTAAGTCATAGCATACATTTACGCGCCACCTACATACTCTCGCAGCCGGAGATCGGCTAGTGAATACATGATCCGAACCAGAAGATATTAAAAGTGCAATTTCAACATCTCCGTTCCGATGTAAGCCACATCGGATGATGTACTTACCGTATACCTACCTCACTAGAATAACATTTCCAAGACGCCGCTGTCGATAGTGGCTTCCTTTCCATCCCAAGCCCGCTTATACCTACCTAGGTACCTACCTAGGTATGTATATTAGCGTGCCCCGCATAGAGAAGAGGTACAGTACATACATACCTACATAGGTAACCTAGTAGCTTCGCATAACCAAATCAGGCAAATCGGCCCCTCCACAGAACGGCCGCTTATCCCTCAAACCCTCAGACGCAGGCTTGTTGTACCTTGGAGTGCGTCATGCCTCGGATCGTCCCACGATTGAGTTGATGCTGCAGAAGCATATGATCGCTGCCAGATACATAGACATACATACATACATACATACATACATACATACATACATACATCCTAGACGATCGATCGACTTGGGATTGATTTAATTGTTTAATTAGTCAGGGCGTAGAACGTGAGCTATTTGTTTCCGTTTCTTCTTGTTCTTGGTTGCGATACCTTCAATCCCATTTTTAAGCTTCGACATCGTACAAGCTATCCCGCCTAGCCTATCTAGCTAGCTTTATATACACAAGCTCCTCTTGGACTTTTTTTTTATTTTTTATTCTTTAGTCCTAGACACAGCCCTCTAAGACAATCAAACGCTATGGCGGCCCCGGCATCCAAGACAATTGGCGATCTGAACGGGAAGTGGGTTCTGGTAGGCAAATCTACTATTACCACTACCACTACCACTACCACCGTCCCGAACCATTCCCCTCTCCCGTTCGGAACGTCCGTCCTTGCACTAACTCCCTCCTCGTACAGAACAAAACCCTCTCCGACTCCGTCGACCCCGCCCTCTCCCTCCAAGGCGTAAGCTGGCTCGTGCGCAAAGCCATCGGCGCCGCCACCGTAACCCTCGAGACGAAGCAGTACCAAGGCCCCGCGACGCCCCCCAACACCAGCGCCGAGCTCGTCACCCGCATCGACATCCAGCAGGTCGCGACCGCCGGCGTCAAGGGCACCGCCGAGAACCGGTGTCTGGACAACGAGTTCCGCGAGCACAGCGACTGGCTGTTCGGCCGCGTGCGCGGGCGCACCCGCTGGGTCGGCCCCGAGGACCTGGCCGCGCACGTGGGGCCCGACGGCGAGGCGCGCAGGACCGGCGTCGTGCAGGATGATTTCGCGGCGAGGGATTGGCTCGAGGGCGAGGGCGAGAAGGGCGGGCCGCTGGGCGAGACGCACATGTTGAATCATGTCGAGAGTCTGGATGCGGGGTGGACGGCGCTGCAGGTCTGGGGGTTCCAGAACGTGGGTGGCGAGAGGAGGTATGTGCGGAATGTGGTCGTGGCGAAGAACGGCACGTTTGTCAACTTTAAGATGGTGTACGACTGGGTTCCCGAGTAGTGTGTTGCATCCTGGAGTTCCTCGGGTGTGAGGCGTTCTCCATCTAGCCGTGAGCTGGGGCGAGCTACTTGAGCGAGTGCTATTTAAAGGGGTAAATAGAAATGTCTATATTACGGCATGATTCTCCATGTTGGTTCGCAATCTGGAGCATATTACGTACAATTTGCGACTTTGTCTTTGCTCGAACGTGGCCTCCATCTCATGTTGAACGGAGCCCCTATAGCATAACTAGCACGAGGTGTTGAATCCCTCAATGCAAGGAATGCTCTGTAACAATCCCGAGCCCAGCGTGATAAAGCACCTTCTTCCTATAGCGCCTTTCCCTCCATTGCCCGATCTTGACCCATTACTTGCCATACCCTCCGAATATCGAACTCCGTCTAGATCACGTCGATTAACTCCTAGGCGCTACATCCACTCGCTCATCCATCCGTCACGCCGGTCTTCTCTTGACGAACTCCTCCAGGTCACTCCGCGTGGCAACGCCGAGGACAAACCTCCTATCCTCGTCGGTCACAACGGCAAACTCCTGCTTCTGGCCGATGCCCGACGCGCCGCCCTCGAAGAACTCCTCGAGCTCCTCTAGCGGCGTGGCCATCGTGATGACCTTGTACTTCTTGCCTTTGCGCTCGAAGTGCGCCATGGCTTTGGAGATGGGGTCCCCGGGTTTTACTTTGCCCGTGTCGAGCTGCGCCTGCAACACCGGTATGGCGACGTAGCCTAGCAGCGCGCGAGTCTCCGAGTCTACGATGGTCAGGTGCGTGTAGTCGCGCTCGAAGGATGAGATTAGGGCGAGCGAGACGGGGTCCGAGGGGTTTAGCGAGAGAGCTGCGGGAGGCTCGAGATCTTGTACTGTAGCCTAACGTATGTACTGTGTTAGTATTCGGCTTTAGTACATCTAGCGTTGAATAGGAGATGCGTGAGTATTGATATGGTGTTCGTGTTCGTGTTGTATATAGTATTAGACTCGGGTTCTCAGGGGGGGTGTGACATACACCTCTATATCGGGAAGACCATTTCGATACGAAGGGCTTGCCTCCTAGAGGAGACGGGCCGACGTGCGCAGAGCTCTTGATGGTTTGCGCCATGTCTAGTTATATGTTGTGTATAGATCGGAGAATGCTGTCCTTGGCAACGAGCTTATGGAGGCGGTCTATCCTCTTCGAATGGAATAAAAGATTTGCCTATCTTCGGTAACAGCCTCTTCGCCTAAAGATAGCCTCGTAATTACAAGGTCTGCCTCACGAATATCAGAAAGGTTAGGCAGTTCAATGTAGGAGCAAGAATTTTGGATTTGCTTGAGTCTTTGTGGAGTCTGGGATGACGAAAGATATCACGAGCTATGTACATAGGTACCTAGGTAGGTAGTCTTCCTGCCAATTTCGAGGTGGGGGCCTTCCTGGCCTTTTGATGCCCCACGGTAACACAGTCTTCTTTTAATTACATCTTTACGTCGCATATGTTACTAGGTTAGATATCTCGCGCAAGAAGTCAAAGTCACAGCAGATACCTCTATAAATCTCAATTGATCCAGTGAAGTTGAAAGGAAAAAGATTCAGGTCATCTTCATATTTACATTAGGTAGGTACCTAATACATAAACGAGCTTATCTGTCTCTGTATGTATACCTACCTACCTAGGTATTCAATGCTTTACCCCCCCACTAAATCGGAAAGTCTAATCAACCATTGGGGCAAGCTGAGAATAGGTAGGTACCTACATAGGTAGGTAGGTATTCTGTAACAGGGTAAGCTCCTACCTTGCCGACCCCTCCGACGTCACTAACAGGATATGCCTCGACAAGGGAAGGAATCGTATTGGACGTTTGGACTACCTTGGTAGTAACCATACCTTATCTCCGGAGAATCCTTCCCTCAATCCTCTTTCCCTATTAAATTTGTGAGCCTCCAGAAACCTTCTCCCGATCAACATTTCCTTCTGTGCAGCGACAACTGGATTCGCGATCCGAATTGATCGGAATAGAATAATCTACCCAAGTGAAACGGTATGTTACCCGTTAAATCCGCTAACATCTTGCGGCCTCTTATTCCATTGAGTTGTTATCCAAGCTTGGAGATATTGCGCCGCGGAGCAATGGACTTCAAGGCAACAGTTGGTATTGTTGATAATGAAATGTCTCATACTAACCGAGAGGCCGTAGATCGAATCGGTCCCAGTCACGATGTCATACTTATTTCCTAACCAGCATGTCCTTCACCAGTCCTTCGGCCCGCCGTTGAACACCAAGGCGCGGACTACTCCGGCTGCCAAGGCTACTCCGTACCAGGCTCGTCCGGAGCTCTACGCAGCCTACTCCGTCGTTGACGACGCGAAGAACAAGACGAAGCAGCTCAGCGCCGAGGCTCAAAAGGAGCTTGACAAAGCTAGCAATGTTGTCAAGGGTGACAGCAAAAAGCTGGAGCTTTACAGCCCTACTTTCTACGCTGCAGCTACATTTGGTGGTCTTCTCGCCTGTGTAAGTGAACAAACTCGTCACGCAATCGCTTCCGAGAACTATCTCTCATGATAGAACTATAGGGCCTGACTCACACCGCCGTCACTCCCCTAGATCTCGTCAAGTGCCGTCGGCAAGTTGATGCGAAGCTGTACAAGGGAAACTTCCAAGCATGGGGCATAATTCTGCGGCAAGAGGGTATTCCGGGTATCTTTACTGGTTGGAGCCCGACGCTGTTCGGATACTCGGCGCAGGGAGCGTTCAAGTACGGCTGGTACGAGTACTTCAAAAAGACGTACTCTGATCTCGCGGGCCCCGAGAACGCGTACAAATACAAGACGCTACTATACCTATCTGCTTCTGCCTCCGCCGAGTTCCTTGCTGATCTCGCCCTGTGTCCATTCGAAGCCGTCAAAGTCCGTATGCAGACGACAATACCGCCACCGTACAAGGGTACGTTCGACGGCATCAGCAAGATCACAGCGGCCGAGGGTGTTGGTGGACTGTACAAGGGTCTATACCCGCTCTGGGGTCGTCAAATTCCCTACACCATGATGAAGTTCGCTTCCTTCGAGACCATTGTCGAGAAGATCTACGAACGCCTCCCGGGTAAGAAGAGCGACTACGGCACGGGGGCCCAGACAGCCGTCTCCTTCACTGGTGGATACTTGGCTGGTATCCTCTGCGCCATCGTCTCTCACCCTGCCGATGTGCTAGTCAGCAAGCTCAATGCGAACCGCAAAGCCGGCGAGGCTTTCGGCGCCGCCGTGGCCCGAAATTACAAGGACACGGGCTTTATGGGACTGTGGAACGGTCTGCCGGTCCGAATTGTCATGATCGGTACTCTCACCGGTCTCCAGTGGATGATTTATGTAAGTGTCAAATATTGCCTTTTTCTGCGGGAGCAAAATCCGTATTAGTTAATTGGGTGATGTGCTAACGACTCGATAGGACTACTTCAAGATGTTCATGGGTTTCCCGACAACGGGTGGTGCCGCGCCGCCGGAGGAGAAGTAAGGTAGAAGAAGTACAGAAAGCGAGGCGGTATGAGAATCATCCAGACGGATGCGTTAACACATGCCTTGCTGCGATATTCGCTGATCCGATCCGACTGGTCGGCCCGCTTCCTTCATCGCGTAAATATTAGTAGTCGAGTTTGCCTAGGTTCCAGTTAGGGGTCTAGGCCTTTGCGTTGATTTTTGCCCTCCCTTACGTATATAGTTATTTTGTATCCTAGCAAAGTTTCCTGTTACTGCTGAATATCCCCATGTCACAATGTTGCCTTGGACTTAGATAGTACGAACCAGTTACCTCTCTACTCTTAACGAGACGTTGTTTCTAAGTCATGTACGCCTATTAAGTATGTATCTACGAGTAAAATTAACATAACCAAATGGTACATCGTATGATATCTCAGAAAGACCCCTGATAAATCACCCCTTGCAGGACTACACATTCCAGCGAGTGGGCGCTAAGTGGAATGAAAACTAATAGTAAGAATGCTGATGGCACGTTCTAGGCTTCTTTGAGATTATGAGCTTGACCGCCCGGTGAGTCTTCTCATGTGTAGAGTAGAGCTAAAAGGCGATTTGTTGGGATAAGTCACGGCTCTTCCCTACAATATATATAAATTTATAACATATTAATATGAGATTCGTCCCTTAGGATCGAATTAATAGCACCGAGTGGCCAACTGCAATATCTATCAGTATATAGATAGGCGAACACCTGATAATATATATGAAATGCAACGTTGATAGGTGATGGTGACAATAATCATATCATGGTGGAGCGGGGTATTCAGCTGCCATGATTTAGGTTGTCTGTATTTCCTGGAAAAGGCCTCAAGCGCACATCAGCTCAAGGTCGCACGGAACGCACGCGGGTACGTAGCCCGGATTCTGTACTGGCCTTCTAGAAGGCGCCTTACGAATTACGAAGGGGGCAGCAGCAGATATTTCGCAGCTTGGCTGGTCAGCCCTTGCAGGCCTGCCACATGGACTTCAGACCGCGCGGAGCGGGATTGGGCTATGGACGCCCGCGCCGCTGCATTCCGTCATCGCGCGTTTACCACACCTTACGGCTGCAGCTCGCTCGTGACAGGTTTGCTCGTTGGCTCGCTCCCGATGCAAGGCGGCGCTTCTTCGGTTCTGTCCTGCGTGCTGATCGTCTTGGGATCGCGTGAGTGACACAAAAAGCCAAGAGTTCATTAGTAAGAATGGCTGCGAGAGCTCAAGCAAGCTGCGGCGTCTCACTCTTTTTCACGTCAGTTGCCCTCTGGGCTGACGTTCGTATTAGCGGTTAGCCAACATCACTTGACAACGACAGCGGGAGGATAGGTAAGCGCACGGGGCAACATTACGATGATGATGTTGTTGTTGTTGTGTATGTAGTCTGCTTGTTTGTAGTCTTCGTTTTCCTGCGATCCAGATAGGATATTCGGCCGAATGCATTCGTCAGCCTTAGGGGCTGATTTGCTATTCGTGGGCACTTGCAGGACCGTATTCAGGGTCATGGAGCGATTGTCGCTAGGTAGTTAGCAACTCTGGCAGGCCTGGCAAGTTTGGGTCAGGTTTGGGTTTAGCATGGCGAATTATCTCCGTTCTTGTGTGGGAGTTTACCCTCTTGCATACCGTATGTCCGTCATGACCGTAGTTGGCGGCTAATAACCCCACAAAAGTCGATATTCAGACAGACAGACTAGAGATAGTATGCATAGTCCTAAGCTAGGTAGTTGGTATCACGCTAAGTGAACAGGGAACCGATGCCTGCGGAGAAGAAGCCTGATACGATTTGCGGTAAGATGCAAGTTACCGTCTTACATACTGCTGATAAGTCATGTAAGTGATGTGGGAGTCCATGGCATTGCTGTAACAGTTATAGTAGTATGTACTTCGTAGTCGTTACACTTCTGCATCAATAGTGAGATCGATATACTTCCTATCCCCGTCTTAACGTTGCCGCCCCTGAGTTAGGAAGAAGGCTGGAAGCACAATGGAAGTTGTCTGTATGTATCCAAAGCATTGGGACCAGTCGTCCCTAGTAGCATCATGTTGATCACCTTCCCCTTCAAGTCTAGAACTTTTAGAACGGTCGAACCACAAACGACGAGGACGCTTGGCTCTGCTTAGAAGCGTGGTAAGTGGAGCTTGTTGAGACATAAATTGCAAAAAGGTTCCCAAGAAACTCCTATTCATGGGTGGATGTACGTACTTGATTCCCCGGTCCCCCCACTTTGACAAAGTCGCCGCTTGCTAATTGCGGTAACGTCTTGATATGTAGGTCTTGATTTTCAAGGTCGTAGTACCAAGTTGAAAAGTCCGACTACGACGCGGCAGAGAAAGCCGTTAAGGAGGACATTCCCGAGTCGAAGATGAGTAAGTAAATTAGAAATAGTAAACAGGCACGATATGTATGTATGTAGTAGACGACCTAATATCGCAGCCTCGCGTAATGGAACATGTAACCAACTCGAGCGTGCTGTGATTTTTCTCGTAGTTCTCGTAGTCCTCGACGCAAGCAATGTGAATCCGTTATGGGAAAACTGCCGTTTTTGGAACCAGATCGAAAGCCCGACTGGCTGTCACATCGAAACCGAAACTAGAGCACCAACTTTCTGTTACCCATACCAACCAGAGAGGCCGGGAAATGTAGGAATATGTGTATGCAGAGGCTATCTTTGTTGGGTAGGTTGTTTAGGTTCAGATAGGTAATCTTGGTACCGAGAGACTATTCTCATCCCACGTAGTTTGATTATATAGTAATAATGAGAAATGCATGCACCTTGTGCTTCATGACGACTGACGACTGACGACTGACGACTGACGACGTACTACGGCTTGTACATAGGTATTGTACATATTTGGGCTTGTATGGATTTGGAGTTACAACAAAAAGTTACGACAGCAGTTACACGACGCGCTTAATAAAGAAATGTTAACACGGAATACAGAAATACAGAAGACTCGAATAAAAGAAACTACGGTCCCCAGTGGAGAAATGGCTGGGTACCTACCTTAGGTACCTATTAGCCCGAAGAGTGCTAGTTTCTGGGGGTTACCCCTTAGGTACATGCATGTATGTATGTAAGTGTCTGGTTAAGTCAAGGTATTACCCCATCTTTTCAGAATCTCCAGGCTTTTTTTCCCAGTGCTTTCTAGTGCTCCAGTGCTAAAGTTGTGGGTGTTGGTTCAGGGTGCTTCAGTTGTACCATTAGCGGCACGACAACCCGGTCATACTTCCGGCTCCTTCCAATCTATCCCCCGATCGAATCCTCTTCCCATCGAACCAGCAATAGTCACTCGCTTTCTCTTTTGATTCTTAGCTGGCAATTCCTTTTAACAACTTCGACCTCGTATTCCCTCTCGCTCGACAAATTACCGTTTGTCATCTTATAAGTTTTGCCTGCGCAATTCGCTTACTTGCCGCATAAACTACAAAGGAAGTTGTCGGCTCGTCTAAGACGTTCGAACGCCTACGTACCTACTTATTATACAGACGCTCTCCTTAGTTGGCGACCTCGAATAATACAGGCTTTGGAACGACGAACAATTCCAACATCCTTCACTCACACGGGACCTGCGGCTTAAGAAGCGCGAACTTATATCGTCTAGTGCATTATCTGATACCCGAGAGTTCCTACTGTTTACTGCCGAAGCAGAGTCCTTCGGATGACTATCTCTATCGACTTCGTCCGTCCTCGCTAACCCCCTGCCGCGCTCAGACGCTGGCTTGTCTCGACCGAACTCGCGCGATACCGCAATCCGGTCGCCTCTACGCTCGCGATGGCGAGTTTTCTAAATAAATGGAAGACCAGCGGCGCTGTATGTTACCGAACTCAAGCTTAACGCCGAGTCGGATGTGTTCACTTGACAAAGTGCACCTCTGGGGTCTCGAGCTATGCATAAGGCGATTGTTAGACATGCTGATGTGTGATGTGTTTCTAGACGGCCTCGAGTTCGGCAGGCAAAGACGGACCAAAAAAGAAAGAGGAGACTCCGCTAGAGGTCACCCCGTTAGAACGGATGCTTCAGAATGCTGGCGCGCCCAGGCAAGATGGAAGCGACAAGTTCTTCGGCATGGAGAATGTAAGTTTGCCTACCATATAACTACATGTATATACCATCATTTTCAGAGTAACACTAACTTCAATTGCATAGTTCGGAAATACTTGGTAAAGACAACACGTTTATTTTATGCATTGAAGGCCATGATCTAACCAAGACGCAGCTATTGCAACTCGATCGTCCAAGCCCTCTACTATACCGTACCATTTCGAGAGCAGGTGCTTAAGTTCCCGCCATTATCACCCTCAAATACCCCTAACGGAAACCGACCTAGGGTTAACGTCCAAATCCGAGCTCCGGCTGTGAACGGAAGCGCGCACGGAGGCGCAAATGCGAAGAAAAGCTCTGTAGCTGATGCGATGGAGAAGAGGAAACAGATTAACTCTGGGCAAATCCAACCGATTCGGCCAGAGGATAAACCCGACACCCCCGAATATAAAAAGAAGCAAGCGATGCTGAAGGGCCCTATATTAGAGTTGGCACAAGAAAGCCACGAAACTTACGGGATGGATGAGTGCACGTTCACGGGCCTACGAGATATTTTTATGACGCTCGTAGATAGTACCGTCCGTACTGGAGTTCTTAGTCCGCAGCGCTTCCTGGAGATCTTCAAGCGCGATAACGAAATGTTTCGTAATTCGATGCACCAGGATGCGCACGAATTCTACGGGCTCGTTTTAAATGATATAATATCGAACGTCGAGAGCACAGCTAAGCGGTTACTTAACCAGCAGGTCTCTTATAGTAACGGTAGTATTGAAGAATCGCTCAAAGCAGCCTTGGGAGCAATTGCTAAGACCACCTCGAACGGTATAAATTCTCCGGGAACAGGCTGGGTGCACGATATATTCGAAGGCGTGTTAACATCAGAGACGAAATGCCTCACTTGCGAGACTGCTTCTCAGCGGGATGAGACGTTCCTGGACTTGTCGATTGACTTAGAGGAGCACACCTCAGTAACTGCGTGCTTGCAGAAATTTTCGGCCGAGGAGATGCTCTGCGAGAGAAACAAATTCCATTGCGACAATTGTGGAGGCCTACAAGAAGCCGAGAAGCGAATGAAGATCAAGCGACTGCCTAAAGTGCTAGCATTGCACTTAAAGAGGTTCAAGTATACGGAAGACTATAGTCGGTTGCAGAAGCTGTTCCATCGTGTAGTATACCCGTACCATCTAAGGATGTTTAATACGACGGAGGATGCCGAAGACCCAGATCGGCTGTATGAACTGTACGCTGTTGTTATCCACATCGGCGGCAACGCATACCATGGACATTACGTCTCGGTCATCAAGACGGAAGATCGAGGTTGGCTGTTATTCGACGATGAGATGGTCGAGCCCGTTGATAAGCACTACGTCCGAAACTTTTTTGGGGACAAACCCGGTATGGCCTGTGCATACGTGTTGTTTTATCAAGAAACGACTTACGAGAAGATGCGGGCTGAGCAGGAGGCGGAGGGTCTTGAGGAAGTTAGGATCGCCAGCGAAAAGGCTGGTGTTGCTCAAGAAGACGGTCAGCCGAACGGTTCAGTTACCGGGTTAACAAGGCAGCTAACACAGCCGGCTCGGCCGCCCGAAGAGCGCGAAGGGTTGACCACTCTAGATCACGCTGCTACGGCACCTGATATGCTCATCGATCCGGCTGCTCCTTCTCCGGCGTTATTGCCTCAGCTAGACGGTGCGGTACCGCCCAGCCCCTTGATTTCAGAAAGAACGGATACGACCAAGGGCGAAACAAGGTCAAAAGAAGAAAGGAACCGAGAAAAGAAAGAAGCCAAGGCTCAAGAAAAGGCACGGAAGTCGGCGGAAAAGGAAGAGCTCAAAGCCAAGGAGAAGCGGCGCAAAGAGGCCGACGCGCGGTTGCGCGAAGCTCGCAAAGCTGAACAGGAGGAGTTCAAGAAAGCCATCGAGGCAAGTAAGAAGATGGATGAAGAAGACGAAGCCAGCCGCAGAGAACAAGAAGACAGTGTTCCGTCTCTGCAGAAGCCGGATAAGGGTAGCAGATCCATGTCAAGAAAGAGCTTCGGGTTTTTAAATAGAGACAAAGCAAAACGGGATATCCTAGAGGTTTTGCCCGAAAACAAACAGAATGGCGAGAGCGCGGGGCCCAGCCACGACAAGCCGGAGCAGCAGTTCAAGCTTAAGAAGAGCTTCAGCTTTAGTCTTGGGCGAAGAAAAAGCCATAGTACCCTCTCGTAAAAACACATAGGAGTTAAGGGAATATCTTTGACGGTATCGTTACTCTTCATACCCTAGCTAATTAGCGCAGGGGATGGGGCATATACGGAGTTTTGGGGGTATCAAAAGAAATGCAAAGGTTCTTGAGCATTTACGGAGGACGCGCGCCAAAGCTGAGATTCGGTTTGGATACTCTGTAGAACGAGGTTGCTTCTGTTTCTCAGTAGCACTATGAGCGTGAGGTCTGCTCACGTTGTGATGGATATTCTGTATAATAATGCCAAACGCCGGAGCTCATACCCCTCGTAATAGCAGAGGTACGAAAAAAAAAAAGAAGAAAAAAAGACAAAGCTTCATCGTCATCATCTTGGACCGAATCTTGATTGTATAGAGTTGACTTGACGTGTTGCTGTCACTCGAACCCTCCCTTCGCACGACCGCGCGTCTCACATTGCCGATCTCATTTTAGCCATATTACACCAAACCAATGTGTATGTACACCCAAACGCCTGGTCGAAACCGAATGCAAGCCCCTATACGTCCGTCGTCGTTCGTAACACCTTCATATCCCCTCTAACCCAAGACCAGCTCGTAGAGTATTATTAAAGTGTTGATCGCTATTAGAGGAACTACTCTGCTGGTTAGCCTGGCGTTATTATCCCATAAAGCGACTCCTCCCTCGCAAATAGGCCAAGCACGTACTTCTCATAACCATCCGGACGCTAGCAATTAGGTTAACGACTTTCGCCTTTACGCTTTGGGTGTCGGGGCCGGCGCCGAATGCTGGGTCGAAGGAGGTGGACGAGAGGTTTACTAGGTACAGAGAAGGCGTTAGTACAGGGCGATGGGTCTTGTATAGTAGGGATGCGTACTGCGTGCTAGAAAGCGGTCTTCGGACAGAATGGCGATTGCGTTTATAAGGAGGATAGAGACTACGATCGCATTAGCTGCCGGTTTCCAACAAGGCGTCTAAGAGATGCTATACCATAGAGTAGGTTCCCGAGAAGAATCATTTTGACAGGCTAGAGTCTTGGGCGACGTGTTATAAATTTGGGGAAGCGCGAGACTGCCTCTGTCAAAGGGCGATAACTAAATCAAATGTTGTAGATATGTATATCTGCATGTGCCTATGATAGTAGGTATGTAACCTAGGTACAAGACAGATGTCGACGGTGCGGCGCCAAGTTACGGGAACTGTCCATTTGCCTTACGTAAACATACCTATATGACTAAAATATTGTGGCGGTGCTTTACCGCATCAGCCACGTGCAACTCAGAAGTTCGAACAGATACCTACTCCTTACACAGACTTCACGAAAACGAGATGAACTGAGTAGTACAACAGCAGGTCTGTCGATAAAATGGGGGTTTGAAATTATAACCTAAATCCATGCGTTCGTTAGAAATTGATATCAATTGAGTTTCACATCAGGTGCATCTCTGATGAATACATACCCTCACGTTCTCCAGATATAAGCTACCAATGGCAGCCCTCGGTATGTTATTGGTATCACGGTATTTACTAGCGACATAGTAGCTTACAATGGTAATAGACTTACTTCTGTCGCTGGCTATACCGACCTTAATAATCATACACCTCCTGGTGGCTCCATATACCAAGGTTGAAGAGTCTTTCAACATCCAGGCAACTCACGACATTTTGGTGTACGGGACGCCCACTAAGGACGTGTATCAGCGGCTCTCGTCTCAGTATGACCACTTTGACTTCCCTGGTGCTGTCCCTCGCACCTTTATTGGCCCAGTTCTGCTAGCGGGGATCGGCCAGCCTATCATCGCGCTGGTAGGCTTCCAGTATGCACAACTTATCGTGAGAGGCATCCTGGGGCTCTTCAATGCCGGAGCGCTGTTGGTGTTTAAGTCGAAGGTGGAAAAGGCGTATGGAAGGTCGACTGCGAGGTGGTATGCGTTATTGCAACTTGGCCAATTTCATATCTTGTTCTACGCTTCTAGGACACTACCTAATATGTTCGCTTTCGGCTTGAGTAAGTGGTTACTGAGTTTTAAGGGGGGTTTTTATATTGACAATTCATAGCGACGCTGGCCTTTTCTCAACTAATAGGAGGCCCATCCCAAACCGTGCAGGCTTGGAGATATAAATTAGCTATTGCGTATCTCACCATAGCTACCGCCGTATTCAGGTCCGAGTTAGCAATTCTCATGGTGACCGTTACCCTCCATGGTCTAGCTTTCTCGCATATCTCCTTAGTAAACATCATCCCTGCCTTCGTCGTCTTCTTTGCCATGTCGTTGTTACTCACGATACCAATCGACTCTTACTTCTGGCAGAAGCCGCTGTGGCCGGAACTATGGGGGTTTTATTATAACGCCGTTCTTGGTTCTTCCTCTGAATGGGGCATTTCTCCCTGGCATTACTATTTCATATCTGCCTTACCTAAGATCCTCATGAACCCGTTGAGCTTGAGTCTCCTCATTCCCTACGCACTTTGGAACGCTGGGACGAGAAAACAAGCTCAATCGTTAGCGATCCCTAGCCTTCTGTTTGTGGCGATATACTCTCTTCAGCCGCACAAGGAAGCTCGTTTCATATTCTATGTCGCACCACCGTTGACAGCAACAGCGGCTTTGGGGGCAAATTACGTCTTCACAAGACGTAATAAGTCTATCGTCTTTTTACTTATTTCCATTGCAATAGTTGGCTCGGTACTTGTCTCGTTCGGCCTTAGTACCGCTATGCTTATCATATCTTCTCTCAATTATCCCGGTGGCGAAGCGCTCTCGGAACTTCGTGGCCTCGTTACTTCGTCTTCCTCGTCTGATCTTCAGACTATCATGGTTCATACGGACGTACTGTCATGTATGACGGGAGTAACACTCTTTGGGCAACATCCCTATCCCCCTAATGATCGGCACCCGGCGAATGGATTGACGTTCAATTACGATAAGACGGAAGATGAAAACACCTTACGGAGCCCATCATTCTGGGAGAAGTTCGACTACGTGCTCGCCGAAGATCCGGCTTCGGCTATCGGCCCTTGGGAGATAGTTGGTGTGGTGGAAGGTTTTGCCGGATTTGAGCTAATCAAACCGAGTGCACCGTCCGACGGCGACATTGAGAATGGCCAAGACAGTGTATTTGGCAGAGGGGCTCTCGTGAGAAGGGTGAAGAATGCCGTTAGAGCGCTAACTGGTGGTTGGTGGATTGGTCCGAGGATGGAGCCGAAAATACACATACTCAGGAAGATGCGCGAGGGTGAGGCTAGACGAGCTGTGACGGAGTAGGAATTTCTTCTGGTAGATAGGCAGGCTGAAAGTCGAAATCGATTGCCGAGCTCGGCATTCTATCCCCGATATGGCTTTACGGCCCGCGGACCACATCGGATGCGAGAAGAAGTGGGAATGGAATATCCGGTGGCACCGAACGCCGCCCCGCTGGTGTGTGTGTAGTGTAGAAGAAAGGGGCTGACAGGACGTTACGATAATATGTAGCACATCGCGGCAGACCTATCTAGATTTACCATAACGTTTACAGGTCCGCCTCGTAACCAATCTAGCGAGCCAGCCCAACACCATCAGATCGGCCGTCTCACAGCCCCCGATTTATAATGTAACCCAACGTAGCCTTACGCACATCTAATTCTAATTTTGAAGCGCTCAACTAGCCTCGCCATATACCGGCATCTAGACATTTGAAGGCCAAGCATATATTTTTATATCCATGTGTTGTAATCCGTACATAGGCATTGGCGGTCGAGAACTTGGACCCGCATGGCATCCGTGTTTTAGCAAATTAGTTATACGTACAAAGTAGACTGATATTTCATATTTTACGAGCAAAGATATGTTGACGGGGAGATACACGAGTAAGAAAGGGCAGGCATATGGTAAAACCCAGGGGTCTTGATTCAAGAGGATAGGCTATTGCTCAGTATTAGGGACCTCCTAGGATATGTACATCAGCATCCACAATGTGAAAATCAGTGGGAGCCGAGGAGGTAGAGCAATCCAGACCGGCGGCTATGCGCGTCTGTATGTAAAGCATCTATCTGCTAGTAACGAGTTCCAAGGCTGGGCTGCGGTGCGGTTAAGGCATAGTATTTGTAGAGATTCGTATGATACATTATGCCAATTTTTTTGAAAGGGGAAAATATCGTCATGAGCCTCACAGGCCAAGAGGTGCGTACGAATACATAAAGATGTGGAAGATGCGTGTGGTACGTTTTATACCTAGCGTCTCCTTTTAGCTGTCTCGTAACGGCGACGCCAAGAACAACCCAAGAGGACGGGTCCCCTGAACGAGGATATGTAACTGTGGTATGCACGTACTATGTAGGTGGGCGCCACATTACATACGTAGCTTAGGGTCCACCCGAACGTCAGGGTCTTGTTCAATTCGTCCTGATGTCTTGATAAGTTGCTTCGCCAGGTACAGCCAAGATGCATACAACCTGACGACCTCATGTAGGTACATAAATCCATATGTACATATGTACACGTACCTAATGTACAAATCTTGATAAACTTGCATCCAATTGAGTGCTACTACCTCCTATGTAGGTATTGCTCTTATTGCTCTTATTGCTCTTATTAGCTCCGGTCCCTTTAAACAGGTACCTAAGATTTTAAGATATATGCGCGTGTCGAGGACTGGGACGTCGGACCTTTGAAAGATGCGGGTTTCGTCTTAGTAGGTCCCGGACCCGGTGAGTTGTATGTGTACCTGAAACTTGGCCGATCTGCGCAACCAATTCAGCACATGTGCACCTATACAAGTAGCGGCTGGAGTACATAGGTACCTACCTACATGTAGGCATCTGCACCTGCAATTACCTGGCATATGTAGCTCGGTACCAACATTGAACCAACCACCAGCCAGCTTCCAATCTATACCAGCATGCGTACATGTATCTTATTACTTTTATGCACGTTACATTATGTACTCGAACTTGCACCCCCCAAACCTCAAAGCACCCCATACCTTAGGTACCTATCAGAAATAAAACGAGAGGGTACAGAGACGGGTGACACACGACATATTATTCATACAATTCCGTCTAACAAAGTAGATTGGATCCAACTTTCTTTTCTTTCCTGACCTTCTTGTCTATTGTCTATTGTCTATTGTCTATTGTCTATTATTCAATTCACCTCGGCATCACTTTGACAGTCTTGTCGCATCCCACCGCCACCTTCTTTGGCTTCAAATGCTTTGGTAGATTTATAGTGGGTAACAAGGACGAACTAACCGTCTGGCCGGCCGCCTGCTTGTGCGCGCCTCTGTACTACTGTACTACTACGCTGTATCATTATTCACCCCCTTGGCCCTTGGTGGACGACGATCACAGCCAAACTAAATAATATCTAACATCACAATCTCGCTTTCGAGAGCCCGTCGGGTGGAAACTGGGCACACAAGTAAACAAATACAACCCTCCCGACAACTTCTGCCGAAACTTCATATTAGTCCAGCCTATTTGCAGCCATTGCTTTACCTATTATATTCGATACATTCGACGAACACGCGACACCACCAAGCCATTCGTCTTATCAATTAACTTATTTTTTACGCTTCCTAGTAAATACTACTTCGCTTCACGATATCCCCGACGATTACTTAGCAACTACACGCCAAAACCACGCCAAATTGATGGTTTATCATCTAGACACATGTTGGTATACCCCGCGAAATCACGGCCGACGATGGAGAACGATGCACATAATGAAGGCTCCCGACGACGGGATCGCATAATGGGGAAGCTGTTTGGCAGTAGCAGTGTTGTCAGGGACAAAAAATTGTCCAACGAAGAGAGTGCAAACGAAATATCCGACTTTCTTGGTCACTCAGACCGACTGACCGTTTCTCACCCCGTTCCTCAGCCGTCAACTTTTCCTAGGGGTCCACCATCTCTGGCTCTTGATACGTCCAAAGCCAGCCGTTTCCCGCAAACTCTAGGGGTCGAGAACGAATCCCAACAGCGGGCACGATCACGCAGCCCTTCCCGACCGAAGAAAAACAAAGGGCTCGTTGTCCGGTTCGCCGATAATTACCCCGAGATCATTGGCGAAGGAGGTGACGAGTGCGAGACTGCCGTTGCCGAGATCGGTAGGAGGAAGAGATCTAAATCTACACCAGTCTCGGCACCGATACCGCCTACGAAAGAAGGCCATGAATATGCCAGGCAAGTTGGGGCATTTCAAGAAGCACAGAAGAAGGAAGACGAATTTATACCTGGCCCTATACGCCGGACCCAGACAGGCTTTTCCATGATCTCAGATGTTCGGTTGGAGGAGCCGGGGCCTGCCCCTATTCCTAATTCATCGCCACCTAAGCCTCGTGCCGTTCCTGCAGGCGAATCCCAGTCTCGTTTCTTAGGTGCCAGTATCCAAAAGGATGAAAACCGCCGCTCATTTATCGAGATCCACCAGCAGGAGCAACGGCAGGCTGAAGGAATGGCGTTTGCAGAAGCAACGCGATCTGCTAGCGCCAACTCTCACCACCAATGGGACGACCAGACTTCTTCACCCGAACCGGTCCGGGATACGCCGCCGCGCCTCAAGCAAAGTCAGGTACCGACCATGCAGGAGCCGACGCCACCTCCGGAGAGAGCCTTGTCTCACCGGGACCAGTCTTCAGTATCGCCTTCGCTGCAAGATTCCATATCTTCGGTATTGAGAACTCAATCTACGAGAGCTCCCTTGCGGCCTTCACCCATACCGCAAGCATCATCGAAAAGTCCTTCCACCGCATCACCAGCATCCCCCTACCACGAACTACCTCCATCGCAAATCCAACCTTCTAATAGATCAGCTTTACCTCCTTTGCCTACTCATGATGCGCTGCCAGACTTCGACATGATACCCACTATGTCACGACGACCAGTGTCACCCGACGAAGTACGCGTCAGAACAACCCAAAACGCTGACAGCCCTACGTCCCTGTATTCAAACTCCGTTCATTCGACTCCCGATGTCTCTCACAAAGCAACACCGATTACGCGGAATCATTCACGTGGATTCCCACCTTCTCCAGAAAAAACTACTCGCAAGCTTCAAGAGGCGGTAGTTGCGCCTGACGTTGATGCACTAGAATTATTTATCATTCGTACTAAGCACTTGTACGAGTTGTTCCGTCTGCACGCGGAGCAATATAGGCCCCTGGGTACCTCCCGGCCTGACGATATGTGCCGCGCGGCTCTGTGGTGGTTCCTGAAGGGAAGAACAGCTCTGGAGACAATTATTAGAAGTCGTCCAGCAGACCCCGACGAGCCTCGCCTTCTCATAGCCAGGTATCAAGCCTATACGGACTTGGCAAAGGGGTACTGGCTATTAGAGCATGCCCTTCCCGAGATTGCGGAAGGCAAGTATAGCCCCGTAGATGGAGAATTGGGCGAAGTTAGGCAAGTTTTGACATCTAACTTGAGGAAACTGTCTGGGTCTATGAAGCGAAATGGTTTCCTACCGCCCGAGGAGCCTTTCCTCCCGCAGACAATGGACAAATCTATCTGGGTAGAGTACCCGGCCGTGAGCCAAGATATAGTCGCCCTTCTCAATGGAATCTGGGGCTCGGCTGTTGCCGCCGTAAATCAGCCAACTCGTTCTATGGAGGCGCTGGAAGCCCTCCCGATCGGCGATACTACTAAATATTTTAATTTTGGCCGCGTGATGACCAACGTATACTTCATGGAGCAGGGTATGGACTCGAGGCAGGCTTGCTTCCCTTGCATGTTGTCTGTTGTTCGATCGCAGAATGATCCCAACCTCAACTTCGTTATTGCTAGTCAAAACGGTTCCGTTTCTTTGCGGGTACAGACAGACAAGAATGCAGGTCTAACATGGCAAGATGTTAAATGGAGACCAGACTCTCACCAGTTGGATGTCAAGCTGCCTCGAGGCTTTATGCTTGTCATTGAATGCTCGCAGCAAGACTACCGGATGCTATGGAGCATGTACGACTTCAGCTCCAAAGTCCAATCTTACTTGTATCAGCGAAAGGATGAAGTCGTGAAGCATACTACCATTCTTCGCGGCTTTCACTATTTTGATGCTAACCCTCAAGGAAGGACGTTCCCTAAGGAGCCTATAGGACAATGCTCTATAGGGTTGTTCGAGAAACTCCTCAAGGAGAATAGTCCGACTGGACCCAGGACCTTCCACCGGGGTTTCCGACTCGCCGTGGTTACCGGGCCGAGAATACGGACGCTAAGCGGAGTAACTCATTTGTTCTCGCCACAACTTCCCGTCAAGTTCGCCCTATTACGGGGCGAGCAACGCGCCCCGGTCCTCCAACTGGATTTTAATGACGGGAAAGACAAAGGGCGGATGGTTTTGACGTTCGACGATGATCGAGAGCGCGAGATGGTATTGAAAATGATCACGGGGACATATGTCAACCAGGACGAGGACATTATCACAGAAGTCCCGTTGGAGGGTATGAACATATCAGACGGTGTCGGTGATACAAAGGGAGGCTTTCCGGCTATTCAACGCCTACCTTGGCAGCGTGCTCGTATCATCAACGATAAATACTCAGAAGTCCCGCCAACGGTATTGGCGGAGAAGCTCAGAGTTGAAATCGAATCGTTGGACAAAGGCGGAGTTGGTGTGGTTAGCACCATTACGGACCGAGTCAACGTTGCGCCTGGCGAGCTGAAGCTCAGGCTTGGTACCAAAGATATTCTGACGCTGCAGATTCTACGGCACGCACAGGTCGATCTGACTGTTTCCATACTAGAGAGCCTTGTACCTCGAGAATCACATCGCGAATTTCAGGGTTTGCAGAATACGATCCAGCGTGGGCCAACAGTGCGTACCTACAGGTTTCCGAGCTTTCGGGACTTGCATGCATTCCAAGCGGGGCTCACGGGATACTCGGTACTCTTCGACGGTATCGCTGCGAGTCTGAACATCTCACGGCGAAGGATGGTAGTACCCATCCACAAGAAATGGGAGGCTGGGACTACGCGAGTTCAGGTGGTGCAGCAAGAAAAGACGGTTCAACTGCTAGCATTTTTTGAAGATTGGCACCACGGACAATGCATGGGGTTCATACTCAAGGGAACCGACGTGTTCGAGTCGTTCAACCGAAACGGGAAAGCGGGCTTGAAACTAGCTGACGCCAAGTTCCCGTTGCCGAAGACTCCGCATGAAGGCGGTGACAAGACGGATGAGATGGCATTCCTGTGTCTGGACATGCCCGATTTTGCTGGCGAGCATGATGACATAACGATATTATTCGAGGATAGTTTTGGTAAGTTTAATCACGTCTTGAATTTGGGTTATTTTAGGGACTGACGCAATTATACAGAAAGAGATAGACTTTGTTCGGTTCTACCCGCGCCAGTCAAAGGGTCGCGCCTTAGTAGGGGAAAATGATGGAGTTCGGCACGATTGAACGAGAACATGATTCATGCAGATGGTCTGCATAAAGTTTGCACCGGAAGGGCGTTGAGTCCTGTAGTAATGCTATGTCAAGATACCCCCTGCGGTTATTCGGTTATTCGAGCAAAAGAGAGGTGCTCCCCGAGAGGCGCAAGGAAACACAATGGCAACAAAACGGCCTGGCCGACAATCGGCTTTTGCATCTAGACTTTGATTGTTGAAGACGGTTGGAACTGTCTGTACATATCTATTAAACTGAAAGCCGGGTTTGAACCTCGATAGAAAACCTCTGATTTTTATTAAAGACCTACCGACGCTCCAAGCTTTTGTATTGGTTGAAGGACTTGCTTATTTAGATGCCTAGTCTCGGCCGAAGTAGTGTAGATAAATGATTAGGTACACCAGTGCACCCACCCAATTGACGTACGTCATCGTTCCCCCCCCCCTCCCCCCTGAACCTCTTGGCCTCCAGCTTAGTGGATACTTTAGGTAGGTAACCTACCTAATCACCAATGCCTAAGATTTCCAACTGATTATTCGGGTAGTGAGCTGAATAGATGCATTCTACCCGTGGCGGATTGCTCACTATCCCTTGTTAGTTCACAAATCAGGCATCGTTATTTGTGCATGTTCAAAACTAGGCTGCTGTTGGCTTGATACCTATGTAATATGTATTTGCTCCCTCTTTTTTTTTCTTCCGTAGAACCTTTCCTTATAATCTATTCTTCCTGATTCTACCTTGGTTGTGTTAGGTTAGTGTCAGTGAGGTCATCGGTCAACCCCCTGTGCTTTAGGGGTAGGTTGAACCTACTAGGTTCAACTGTAAGTACAATACATACAAGGATCATTAATCGATAACAACCCGACAGCCTCTCCAGCGGTCTCCAGCGTGGGGAGGGGTACATACGGTATACTGTACATACTTTATGTAGGCTTACACAGCCCCGTCTAGGACCTTGGGGCAGGACTTACAGGCAAAGACTTACAGGCAAAGACTTACAGGCAAAGGCAGCGTTACCCTTCAGTTGCGACCCTTCCGGCCCTTTGTCGATATTGTTCGACAACCTTACCTGCAACATTCATTGCGGGCAAGCTTCTTTAAGGTTATATTTCCCCCCCTCTCCCTTATTAGGCGCATTCGATATAAAGAGAAATGCACGCGGGAAAGATCGCGTCGGGTCTGACCCGTCGTCGCCGGACGCAGTCGAATGCTAGTATGTAATGGTTTTTTCCTTCTGCTTCTTCTAAACGACGTATGGCGAGTTCGGACTGCATTTGCTTATTGGCGCATTGCACCCTTACTCTTTGCTGGATATTACCATTTGCTCTGTTGGGTATACTGGATCGCTGACACTTATGTCGCCGTTGGTAGGTAGTAGGTCGTCCGGGGATGGCGTCGATGACGATGACACCTCCATTATAGAGCCCGAGCAGGGCAACGGTGAGTTTATTCCATGTTTTGCGGGTTTGCGGGTTTGCGGGTTTACTACGACTAACGGAATGGCTTGGCCAGTCTTAACACATATTATCTCGCAACTGCGGCCTGGCGCTGATCTGAGCCGAGTTGTTCTGCCTACGTTTATTCTCGAACCCCGAAGTATGTTAGAACGGATCACCAAGTGCGTACTCCAAAAACATTATCTTACAGTCTGCTATGCAAAGCTATGCAAAGCTATGCAAAGGCTAACAATACAAAATTATAGCTTCATGTGCCACCCGGAAATGCTCCTCCCTATCCCTCATATCGAAGATCCGGTCGAACGTTTTGTCTCTGTCGTCAAATTTTATCTTAGCGGATGGCATATCAGACCACCGTATAGCTCCCCCAGCTTCTACCCCTAAGCCCACTCTATAAATCACCCGGTATTTACTAACATACGAAAATAGGGGAGTCAAAAAGCCTCTCAACCCGATCCTCGGCGAAGTCTTCTCGTGCTATTGGGACCTGCCTGACAATACCCGCGCCTACTACATCTCGGAGCAGACGTCGCATCACCCCCCTAAGTCGAGCTATTTTTACATGGCCCCCGAGCACCACATCCGCATCGACGGTACTTTAAAACCTAGGAGCAAGTTCCTAGGCAATTCAGCCGCAAGTCTTATGGAGGGAATCGCCGTGCTTACCCTAATGAATAGGGGTAAAAATCCTAAGCAAGGGGAAAGATAGTACGTGAGATCTACGAGGCTTTCGCACGAAACGTGAACTAAAAGTATCTCCATCTCTAGCTGGTTAACACAACCTAATATGTACGCGAGAGGAATCCTGTTTGGGAACATGAAATACGAACTAGGCGACCACAGTGTAGTGCGGTGTCCCGAGTTAGGCCTCACAGCTGACGTCGACTTTAAAACGAAGGGATGGGTCAGCGGTACGTACAATGCGATTGGCGGCACGATAAAGGACGAGAAGACCGGACAAGTGCTCTTCGAGCTGTCTGGTTTATGGAGTGAAGAGATGTTTGTCAAAGATGTTAGGGTGGGTAACTCGTAAAAGTGTTACCTCGTCGCTATCTAACGCTACATAGAACGGGCATAAGGATATGTTCTTCGACGCCCGAAAAGTTAAACCTTCGAAACCGCGCGTTCGACCGCTTGAGGAACAGGACGAGCGAGAGTCGCAAAAATTATGGTACAAAACAGCACAAGCAGTAAGGGACAGGAATCACGAGTTGGCGACGGACGAAAAGACCAAAGTCGAAGACCAGCAGAGAGAGGAAGCAGCGAAGAGAGCCGCTGCAGGCGTAGAGTGGCATCCGCGGCTGTTCCGAAGGGTAGACAAAGACTACGGCGGCACGGGCGAGGACATGGATCACTTAGAATGGATTATCAACGCTCATATGTGCGTGGCGCCCCCGTAGCCGACGGCCCTTTCGAGATATCAATACTAACCCTAGACCTAGCGATGCCACGACACCTGAGAAACAAGCCGAGCAGATCATGTCGATATACCCGGTCATACCCGGACAAAGGTCCTGTGACTGGAATATAATCCCGCCGGGCGGACATCCACACCCGTATCCTCAAGCGGCCGAGAAACAGGCACAGATCCCGGCTCCTCAAGGCGAGACGCAGGATCTAATCGACTTCGGCCAGAACGATACTAATACGCAAGCCCAGACAATGCATAATGCTCCCGCGTCACCGCCGCTCACCAAGACGGCTAGTCAAGAAATCGCCGCGATGCTGCAGTCGACGGGTCAAAAGGCGGAGAACGGCCCGCTGCTCGATTTCACAAGCGATTTGAAGAACAACCTGCCGCCGGCCAAGGGTAACTTGAGGAAGGAGGATTCCACAGATAGTAATAATACGTTCTTCGATGCCGAGGGGTGATTGGTCGATTGTATCAGTACAGCACATATAGTTCAGGGGGAAGTCGAGGAAAACACCAATGCTGTGCCCTCGCGATTACCCGTTGCTTTGGGGCTCCCTGCTTTGCTTCGCCTGGATTGAGCTGTTTTTGGCTGCGGGGTAGAGGGTTCATGAAGTTGAGTTGCATAATTATTGAGCAATTGGCTGTTTTGGCTGCTGGGTGGTTATTGGGTTGGTGGTGCATGAGCATGCTGCATGTAGGTATCTTGCTTTCTGGCAATAGGGGCAGGGTAGGGCAAACCACTAGGTTTAGAGCCGGTAGACCAGATATAGTACGAGGAAAAGGAAAAGGAGACCCTGTTTAATGAAGTTGATAAGCTACGTGGGCTTTACGTGCGGAATATCGTGACTTCTATCATGACAATAGGATTCAAGTGAACAGATAAAGGTAGACTAGACGTATTGTCTTGATTTAATCTTTCTGGGGCGGCTAATGAATCGAGTATTTTACATATGATTGCTCCGAGAGCCTTTTCCCTCCATTTCCACTTAAGCACAATACTTGTCTTAGGATCGAGAACCCGTAGGTAGGCAAACGATGCCGTTTCACGTATAATTGAGAACAGCCTATTTACTCACTCAGCATATCTTTTCCCTAATAATGCAGTGTTAACGCAGAGATAGAGAGACGAACCGGTCCAAGGGTATCTATCCCGAACCCTGCGTATTTCTGACGCGGGCGCGTCTCGTCTCGTCTCCTAGTATTAATAGACCGCACTCATGCTTGTGCTGCCACTTCTCCATCTCCTAGCTTCCTTCTTTGTCTCGATCGGGTACTAACTTCGCTCTCTCATAAACAAGAATCTCAGCCTCAGCCTCAGCCTCAGCCTCGGGGAAACGATCGATCTCTGCCCCCCCCTCCGGCCCCGTCTTAGTAGTAAATAGATAGTACAACACAACAACAACAACAATAACAATAATAACAATAACAACAACAACATCCTGGCTTAATACCGCTTCCGCGTGGGCTCCGGGCTGGGGCTACGACTAACGCTCTTGGCGTCGCGGCCCCTCATCTTGAGCCACTTCTTGGTGGAGAGGGTGAGCTCGCGCTCGAGCTCTGGGGAGGGGTTCTTGCGGTGGATGAAGTTGCAGAAGCCGCCGCGGACGCAGCCCTCGCCGCTGTTGAGGCGGCAGCAGGCCTCCCTGAAGTCGGTGACGGGGCTGAGCTCGCAGTAGACGGGGCGGCCGGCGTACCAGCGGGAGTTGAGCTCGTCGCAGGCCTTCTGGGCCGAGTCCTCGTACTTGAAGCGCGCGTACACGTTGCCGACCAGGTGGTCGTTGGTGTTGTCGCACACGACGAGCTCCTCGAGCTCGCCGTACCGGCACAGCTCGCACCACAGGTCCTCGTAGAAGGCGTCGAAGTGGTTCGCACACTGCTCCGGCGTCAGCCGCGCCCGCGTGTCGTGCGCCGGGTTCTGGTACAGCGACGGCAGCAGGATCGTCTGCGAGTACGACGGCTTGACGTGCTTCCTGCTGCAGCGGTCGCCGTGGCGGCACGCGCCGATCTTGTAGTAGAAGGAGCAGTTGACTTTGTCCTGCTCCGTGCCGAAGATGGAGGCGAGGAAGTTGGCCATTTTGATGGGTGGGTGGCCGGGTGGGTGTGTTTGTTGATTGCTTTATTTTTATTATTTTTATTTTGTACCTTTTTCCCCCCCTCCGAATTGATTGATAGCGGATGAGTATTTGATTACCGAGGATCGAGGATGGGCTAGTCGAGGGAGGATATTTGAATTGTCGCGTTCCTTTGACGATGATCGCGACGATTGATCGGTTGGTTGGATGTTGTATTTGAGAGGCGAGATTTCCAACGAGTCTGGCAGTAGGAAACGCTGCAACGGAAGATAAAGTTTAGAGCTTGAAGTTAAGTGGAGCCGGAATGCAGGTTACAACACAACCAAAGGCTTGGCAGTAACAAGGCTGGCCAATCATAGTATGATAAGGTACACACCTATGAGCTTACCTAGGTAGGTACCTAAGGTAGGTCACTCGCCACATCTAGATACTTCCACAGCCACATTAGCCCGGATAACAAGATTAGGTAATCAGCCTCACCCGAAAGTTCATTCCGTAAACCCCTTAACTATACTATATTAGAGAGATGATATGAAATAACTAAAGTCTAAAAAATATGCTATCCTCGTTTTCCTGTAGATCGATATAGTTGATTCATGTTATGTATAGGTTATAGGGTGCAGCATAAGCAAAGTGTTATTATAATAATTAAACTAAACATATTTTCTTATAAGATACCCTAGTAAACATCGTCGTGTTAAACGTCTCTATTCAACCCCATACTCCGTACGAATCTAAGATGGCGGCGCTGTATATACTAGCCAATTATTCAAAAACGCTGCCTCCCTATCCCCTATCCCGGGACGCTGGTGTCCATTCCCCGTATACCCATTGAAGTGTGTGCGCGTCGCGGCATGTGCGTTCTATAGTGCTGAATGAAAATAATATTGATAAGCATTTTTAGTCTGAATGGTGGTGCTGCTGAAATCTGTTCGGCCGGTGAAGCAGCCAAGAAAATGAGGACCTTGGCGGCCCGGTGACATGGGCTATCGCGCAAGTACCCGACATGTTGTTGAATATGAATGGGCGCCCACGCCGATTAGGGCGGATCAAGATACTGCACTTGTTCCGAACTTTGCCCCCATCGTGGGACACGTGTAACATATACACGATACCGAATATCGGCAGTGATTGTCTAGACGATTTTATATACCCTCTTCGCGATCATAAAGCAGCCAAGGCCGAATAGTAGCAGCCCTGCGGTAATGGCGAAGAACCACTTCAGGTCGCCCTCGTACTCCTGACCTGGGACCCAGACGTTCATACCCCAAAGACCGGTGATGATATTCATAGGCAGAACGATAGTACCGAGGACAGTCAGTTTGCCTAGAACATCGGCGGTCTGCTCCTGCCGTTCATTCATGCGGATACTGATTTGTGCGATGTAATTGGCATGGCAACGGGCGAGAATCCTGCTCAGGTTAGTTGTAATTGCAAAAGGGGGGGGGCCAAAGGATTAACACTCACATTTCATAATGACTAAGGTTGGCCGTCATAGTCACGATATGATCTTGGATATCGCCAAGGTACAGCCCGATTTCGGATCGCGGAGCAACCTCCCAGTGCTCGTTACAGCGCTTTGCAAACCCTTTAATGACATCCGCCTTGTTTCCAAGAAGTCGGTATAAAGTCATAACCTTCTTCCTGCAGTCGCCGACGCGACGGAGCATATCTCCGCCGTTATCCGCATTCGCCTCGGTGCCTTTCTCGCCGTCTCTCTGCCTTTTCTCGTCAGACGACAAAGAAGGATCGGAGGGAGAATGGAACTGCAAGATTCTGTCGTCAATGTCGTCCACTTCTTCCTCGATGGTCTGGATGAGAGGGAGGTAAACGTCCGTGATGTCATCGATAATTGCATAGCTGATCCAGTCTGCGCTGAGGATCATAAAATCTTTAAGCTGGCGAACCCTGCGTCGAACATTTGCCGGGTGCGGGGTCTGGCTGAAATGAAACGAGATTACACCTTCGCGGAAAACCACGACGTACATGTTGACCGGCTCGAGGTGATTCTCTGATTCGGCGTCCTGATCGAAAGACCTGTAATTGACGAAGTAGTAGTGTCGAAATAGTTCAACCTTCTCACGTTGTTCCTGGAGCATGATATCCTCCGAGGTTAGAGGATGAATCCCGAACGCTTTGGCGAGCACCTTCATCTCCGATTCGGTGGGGCTCAAGACATCCAACCACCATACGGGACGTTCGCCGTATCGAGGCTGCTTCGCCCCGTTTGGAAGAGGTGATTTGACGCCGGAGAATGGGGACTTGGACCGGAATGGGCTGGGGTCACCCGAATGATTTCTAGAGGAATTCGCAGACGTCGAGATTTGTTGTCTAGAAGCTGCACCTGGATTAAGATCAGATGTTGTGAAATTTGGTGTGAAAGATGGCTGGCGAGAGAGTCCTCTGGTAGTTGCGGCGCCGTTTCTGGTTAAATTTGGAGCCTGGGCGAGAGGCCCATCATCGTCGTCATCGTCATCATCAGATGAATCGGATAGTATTGGAGGATCTGGGAGAAAAAGTTCCTTGAAGCCTGCGTCTGGTTGAACAAGCTCCGATATGCTCTGACTGTGGATCGTGCTTTGAAACTCCTCATTGAAGTAAGTGAATCGATACGGAGCATCTTCCTCTATTCGATACCACCCCTTATGGATCGGCCGCAACCTGCCGTTCACCAATTGTGGTTCCGTGATTTTCTTCATTCGCCTTTCTTCGCTACGATCCTCCTTCTCGATCCGGGACCACTCTTCGAGGATGGCCAAATCCGGCCACTTGTTTCGTCTTCTGCGTCGGGCCCGAATACTGCGGCTGTCGCGAGCTTGTTGGGCGTCCTCGTCGGCCAATTCTGACATCCCCTCTTGAGGAAAGCAGACATCCTCCTGTGCCTGCAGTGCAATTGTATGGCGTCTCTCAAAGGGGGAATGGTCGCGAAGCGGGTCGTCGTTCGATTCCAGTATGCTATCGGGGCGAGTTGCATCCTCTGCAAGATCATCTCTCATCAAGATATCCCCAAAGCTCATATCCAGGGGATCTGAAGGCCCGAGCGTAGGCGTTCCGGGAATGGATGGTGGATAGTTGATATTATATTTATCAGATGGTGTCACGGGAACCATTTGGGATTTCTTTCCCGATCTGCTAGAACCGGGACGACTGACGGATGTATCGTTCTTTCGCCGTCCATCTCCTGACCCGTAGCCTCGCGAAGAGCTAAGATCCTGTCGCGAGGAGCTAGATAATAAAGGTACGGTCTCGTTATCATTCTCATCCACTTCCTCCACTTCCTCGTGATCGTGGCTCTGACTACTCTGCATGATACGCGATCGGCTTGATTGCGGCATGTGAAGGGAAGCCGTGAGGGTGGAAGGTCGTCGTGGGCGAGGATATTGATGCTCCCTGTATTAAATTAGTTATGGTGCTATGGTGCTATGATGGATATAAATTGAAGGCGGTAACAAACCTGTGGTCGAGAAGAGCTTCGCTGTCGATGCTTGTGTTACTTAGGTTCCTCCCACGCATGTAGAAACCGGCCCTGTTACCGCTGTGACTGGATGCAGGTATAGCTTGATCTGGAATGTTTTCTGGGGGAGCAGCAAATGACTTCCGTCTCGCTTTCTTGTGCTTTCGTCCTGCACGATGCTTTTTCTTGGGTGTTTGGTTGGTTGATGCCGTCGCATTGGAAGAGATCGAGGGGTCAGCAGGTGCGCGAGAGGAACCGACAATAGGAAACTGATTGCTAGACATAACGGCGGATATGCATTCTCGTTGTAAAAAGTGTAATAAGAAATTGGTTGTTTGGCAACAAAAACTCGGGGATGAAGTCGAGGTCAAGTTTTCATAAGCGAAGAGAGAATTGGGGGGGGAGATTTGAAGCTAGAGCTTAGCTCTTCTGAGTTCTTTAGCACATTCTTAGCACATCCCTCGGTGGTGATGTCAACGGAAGTAGGCGGGTACCTATACCTAGGCGTGCAGAATGCCAACCCTGCAAGATAAGCCTTGGTAACTTCCAATTTGGTCGAGAACATTAAGTGGGTAAGGTAACTTTACATAATCCGTAAAGGGCTTGCATTATGCCGAATGTATAATATTAGCACTATGTATGTACATACCTAGCTTGACACAAATTGTCAAATGCTGCTTTATGTAGGTACACGTACCTAACCACCTAACCTAATGTGCAGCCTGCATGATATAAAACTGCGTTACATTTGGGGTTTGGGATTTTAACGATTGTAAAAGACGGCATTGCTTTGTTCGTTTCGGTTCGTCTTGTTCTTCTATCGACTTGCAGGCAATAGATTATAATATTCCGGTAGAACCAAGATACTAGTATTATGCTATCTAGTGTAATCAAACATAGGAAACATATCATTGTAATTGGGGTCATATCCAGAGTTCGTATTAGGTCCAAGATTAAATAACGGCAACTCATCATTGTGGGACTGGAATAATCCGTATGGAACTACGAGAACCGGAGGCCGAGAGACCGTGTTCTACGAACCAGAATACGAAAGAGTAAATTATTGAAAGCTAAAGCATATGTTCTAGGTACGACGCCGAAATATATCCGTTGAACTTTTAGTGCCACTCTATTACGAAACATGTGTACAAGTTTAGCTCTCGAGATGAATAGAAACCCAGTATTGGATGTGTTCATATCGTAGATTTAGTATTCGGCACTGCGTTATCGTCAACGCCAAATCTTAGTCTCCTGTGGCACACCAATAGCGTTATTACATACAGTGCGTAGTACCAGCCCTACTCCCTCAAGATAGGGCGCGATGCCTTGTGTTCCGAATGCCTTTGTACCTGAACCGTAACCTGAACGCCAACTTGAACTGTCCGTGGGGTATGAGAAAATTGACAGAAAATGACTATATCTCATGGCTACCAAGGTGCCTAGCGTCTTTGGGCCATCATCCCCGCTCTTAGAGTCAAAATCTGTTGGCGCTCCGCCTCGGGAAGCTGATCGATCATCTCTTGTGATAAGTTCATGACTGCCTGCATTAGGGCCTCCGTATCCTGCTGCGGTGCCATGGCCGGCGCGCTAGCTGTAGGAGGCGCATATCCAGGCTGAGCAGTTGCTGCAGCAGGCGGCGCATACGGTGCAGCGACTGGGGGTGTGACCGTCGTGGCGCCCGTGTAGGCGGGGGGATACCCGGGTACGGATTGTTGAACTGGGGGCGGTGCAGCCGAAGAATCGACAACAGAATGTATAGCTTCGGGGGAGACAAGACCCATTAATAATAGAGCTTGGAAGATAGCGTAAGATAGCTGTGGCGCCTGCTGTAGTAGTTCCGTCGCGCGGCCTGGGTCGGTCGTTGCTAGAGATTTCATCTGAGAGAGAATATCGAGAAGCTGGCTGGGGGGTAGAGTGTTGAGCGTTCTAGAGATAGCATCGGTAGCGCTCACTCCAGCAGGCAACTCTTTTCCGGGTGGGAGAGGGGGTAGTGAGCCCGCGGGAACAGCCTGAGGGACGATATACGAAGCGCCATTTGCGGGCTGGCCAGTAGTCGTGGATGCGCTGTTAGAGTCATCGCCATCGACTCGACCTTCCGTACTGTAGTCGACACGGAGCTTCCGTCCCATGATTTCGTAATCGTTTAGGTTGCGAACTGCTGAGGCTGCCGAGTCTAGAACGAGAAATAGTAAGCATGGGCACAGTGTACAATCCTAGTAGAGCCCAAGATCTTACCTGCGTCGGGGTACTCTGCAAATCCAAAGCCCTTGGGCCGACCGGTATCACGATCATAAACGAGACGGAAGTTTAGGACTTTGCCAGCAGTGCTGAAGATGTCGGTGATCTGCTCTTCCGATAATCCATAGGGAATGTTTCCGACGAAGACGACACGCGACGGTTGCTTTGTCGACATTGTTGTCGAAAGTGACTCACAGATGAGAGTCGAAGGAGAGTTGTAATATAATGGAGTGAAAGGGAGAAGAAGAGGCTGCCGATAAACCAATTGGCTCAGTTACGAAAGTGAATTGGTTTGGTTCGGACCAAGCACAAGGATAAGGTCTGCGTCGTAGCTTTGAGGATCGACGTTTTTGGTTATCGATAAAGCCTATGTAGAAGTCGCGGTCACTAATGCTAACGCGAGCACGGGCCGCTTACAAGTGTACCTAGGTCCATGTATTTCAGCTCCATTAAGCCTTACGGTCTTAGGTCATGGTAAAAACTGCAACATCGGAGGGGAAAAAAGCCGGAACACGATTGGTTAGAGTTAAGAGCTTCCAGATCTTTTCAATGTTCTAACACCACATCCTCATTTGTCACTACATCACCAACGAAACCACCACCATTCCCATTTGACATCGCATAACCCTGCCCAAGATGTCGCGTTCTCCAATGGACGACTATGTGGAGAGGATGCGATCGATGGTGCGCCAGAACCGAGGTGGATTTCCTGGTGGTCGCCCTCCTCCCGGTGCGGGTATGGCAGTAGCAGCTGTCGGCTTAATTGGTGGTGGGATTTTTCTGCTGCAGAACTCTCTATTCAACGTCGACGGTGGTCACCGAGCTATCAAGTACCGGAGAATAAGTGGTGTCAGCAAGGAAATCTACACTGAAGGTTAGTCCGGCCTGTCCGGGTTCCTAACTTCTGTCGTACTATATAAAATGCCATGCTCACACGACTACCTATAGGAACTCACATTATGATCCCTTGGTTTGAGACTCCGATAACTTACGACGTACGAGCGAAACCGAGAAATGTTTCGTCTCTTACCGGCACCAAGGATTTACAGATGGTTAACATTACTTGTCGTGTGCTCTCCCGACCTAGCATCGAGGCGCTCCCGCAGATTTACAGGACGCTCGGACAGGACTACGATGAGCGAGTTCTGCCTTCTATCGTGAATGAGGTTCTAAAGAGCGTGGTAGCACAGTTCAATGCTAGCCAGCTGATCACGCAACGAGAGAACGTTGCTAGACTGGTTCGAGACAACCTGTCGAGGCGAGCTGCACGATTCAACATCTTATTAGATGACGTTTCTCTTACGGTACGTTAGGGGTGCTCGAATGAGGGCAGAATATTAATTTACTAATTTTTGTTGTTAGCACCTTGCTTTCTCCCCGGAGTTTACTGCCGCGGTTGAAGCGAAGCAGGTAGCGCAGCAGGAAGCTCAGAGGGCGGCCTTCGTCGTCGACAAGGCGAGACAAGAGAAGCAGGCCATGGTCGTTAGGGCGCAGGGTGAAGCACGATCAGCAGAGCTTATTGGAGAGGCAGTCAAGAAGAGCAAGGCGTACCTCGAGTTGAAGAAGATCGAAAACGCAAGAGTCATTGCCGCCCAATTGCAAGAAGCAGGTGGCAGAAACAGACTGCTACTCGACTCAGAAGGTCTTGGCCTAAATGTGTTTAGCGATGACCGTAACAGCAAGTAACAGGGACGAGCGGCCAGGAGTAGCTAAAATCTCCACTGTATGTTTAAAATAATACTTGTAAAATACGGATTTACGAGTGCGTCCTGCTTTATAGCCTCAGGCTTCGATGAGAAAAACAGCTTAGTGTTTACGCATACAACGATTTGCTATATTCAAACTACATCATAAGATGTTCTGAACCGACCCCACTCGGCTTACACATGAACGGGGAGCATTTTATAGGAGTGTGAATATGATTACTCACTTACCTTAGGTAGTCGTTCATGTTGGTAAACATGTTGGTATTCGAAATTAAGAGTTTGATCTGCTTAACTTAAGTGAAACATTTAGATATACGATACGGGCACTTACATAGAATAAACACATAAGTACATGTACCAGCCATGGGTCCATTGAGTGAGTGTGCAAGTTGAAAGCTGCTTCAGGTGGGGTACATACCTACCTTATAAGCCCCACATGCCCAGGTAGACACCCCACTATGCCCGAGTACCTCTTTCTCTCTCGTCACTTATCATTAACCAACCATACTAGACGCAACTGTCGACGTCTTATTCCTCCTTTCTCTCGTCCTACACATACACATACACATACGCTGCCGCTTACCCGCAGAGACAACATCCTCAAAACTACTTACTTCTAAATCTAAACCCCCAGGCCACCACCCTCCAACACCACCAAGATGATGATCAAGTACGTCGCCCTTCTCTTCTTCGGCACCGCGCCCGTGAGGCCGGACGGACGGAGCTAACAACCGGCGCAGAGTGAGAACCCTTACGGGCAAGCTGATCTCGCTCGATGTCGAGCCTACCTCCAAGGTACGCTGGCCTATTTTATCTCTTCTTCGTTAGGTTAGGATGCTAACTATATATCTCACCCCCCCCTAGATCGAGGATGTCAAGAAGAAGGTCGAGGAGAAGGAGGGAATCACACCCGATCAGCAGCGACTTATCTACGGCGGAAAGCAACTGTACGTCCTCCTATCCTCTCGATATCCCGACTACTAGTTCATATACCCCCCCCCCCTCCCCCCCCCCCTCTACGCAAACAGTTATAGCTAATCCCACGCGATGCACCCAGACACGACCAGTTAACCATGACGGATGCCGCCATCGTTCCCGACGCAACTCTACACTTAGTCTTGACCCTGCGTGGCGGCTGCTGCTAGACACCCCCTCCGATCCGAACTCTGGATTCCAAACCCCCAACTCCCAGCCACGTATTCTGTCATACTGCGCCCTCGATACCCAGGCAGCCATCACACCTCCTACTTCTCAAGCTAGAGTCTGCAGCAGTACCGGCAGGGATGACAAGGTCTACGACGGCGTTTATGCGGGGAATTATTAATAGTGCTGCCGTCGGCAAAGATCGTGGACAAGCCTGCGCATATTGGAACTTATGCTCCCTGCTGTTACGGAAGACTCCTGTTCCACTAAGTAGACTTGGCATCGCGGAATTGCCGCTAATACATAGACCATAAGTACGCGGACCCACGCGCCTAGAAGTAGCGTTCCGAATTAAGATGAATTACATGAATCTTGACTACTGATCTAGCTGTGACAGCACCAGAGGAATTCTTAGAGGCGGTGTTTACTAAGTCTCGACTGTAATTTACGATAAGTATATGTAGTAGTATGGTTTACGTTACGTAGACACAAAGATAGGCCTAGCTTTTAAAACCCAATGCGCTTTATTATAAATCACTGCATGTCTATAAAGCCCATGGCTCATGGACTAAATGCAAACGCAACACATCTCATCCATTACTTCCCTTCCGTGGTAGTATATATCCATCCTCCTACTGCCGGGCCATATGCATGCCAGCCTCGGATGCCGTAATATCAAGAGATGATGAGCATCAATATTATACCCAGTAACTGGCCTTCTCTGTTTCCTTGAAATAAAGAGAAGCAAATCCGCAACGCAGCCTTTCTCCTTGCAAATGTCATATCCTCTAACGCCATGTGTAAATCATCGCACCCTCGCAAGGGGAATCGAAGAAAGAATAAGCCTGTTGCACAGAGAAACGAAAGATCTGGTATTATCGTTATGTCCATCCTATAGTAGAGAATTCCTCGATATTAAAATGATTTTAAAAGTGGTTGAAAAGAGAAAGTCTCATGGAAAGTGTCGAAAGTGTCGTATAAGTTTACCGAAGCCGGCTGCTTAGCGGTCTCTTGTATTGATAGATAGAATCTTGCATACGTCTTGTCCCCTAATGAGCAGTCTAGAACCCGCGGTAGACATCATGTCCTTTAGGACATTCGTCGGTTCTTCGGCTTCGGCTTCATGAAGATGTTAGGCGGATCCTTTCGCTTCTGCCCAAGCATAGGTTTGGGCTTGGGTTTAAGGTCGGCGCTTGAGCTACCGGTGCTCGCATAGGTAGAGCCCCCTGCGGGAGGATGCGAGGAAGCTGCTTTCGATGACATCGAGGGCCGTAGAGGGGGAGAAGATGCCGTGTATCTGGCCGGCGGCGGAGAAGATGCTGATGACTTGGAAGCCGTCTTTTGCGCAGGTGACTCGACGGGAACAACTCTCATAGGGTTGTTCTTCCAGGAGTGACCCATCTTCATCCCAGCGAGACCGGATGAACCAGATGCGCGAGTAGAGTTAGAGCTGGGGAGGGATGAGTGCGAGGAGGGCTTGTTTTGAGAAGACATCGCGGCAGTCTTCGTGGGTTTAGGGGCATTTGATGTAGAAGGCGTGTCGTCGTCAAATAGATCCTCCAACTCTTCAACATTCAAACCACCCCCTTCCTGGACCTCATCGTCGTCGTCGTCGTCGTCGTCGTCGTCGAACTGGTCGTCTTCATCAAATTCGTCGTCCGAAATAATAGTCGTTTTCTTCGTAGTAGTTCCGTTCTTCAATTTGAGCAACCGAGCCTCGCGTTCCTTCTGCTCTCGCTCCCAGCGCTCTCCGGTACGCGACTGGGGCGCTTGAATTCTCCTTGCGGTAGGCATAGTAGGAAGAGTCTTGATCCGATGCTCCTCTCGCATACCAAGCGGAGCTTGAACGATCTGTCCCCGTCGGACCGGTAGTTGGCCGGTGGGAGTCATGAGCTTATTTCGGCGACTGATTTCGGCTGCCTCCCGTCTAGCCTTCTGCATAATGCTCTGGGCCGATGTCGTCTTGGTTCGCGATCCACCACCCCATCGAAGACCGCCCACGCCAGCGACCTCTCGTCCGCCCACGCCTTTGCGACGACCTGGGGCGGGACCGAGGATCCTTGCGTCATAGTTGATAACCTTGCTGGCCTTCTCCTGCTTCTCCTTCTTAATGGTCTTCAGGCTAGAAGTCAACTTCTCCAACGCGGCGCGCTTCTCCTCAACTTCGATCTTCTTATATTTGTCGTATATTTTGTACCATAGGGTAGGGTTGCGTGGTTCGAAGTTGTGCTTCTTTACTTGGTGAGGGAAATCGCGGTTGATGAGGCGCTGCCAACATTCGGCGTCATCGCCTTGGATGTGGGGAGATTTCTCCTCCACTTCTCGCAGTTGCGCGGGATTGTCGATCTTCAAAAGGATAGAGCGAAGAATCTTGTAAGGCGCGCTACCTACGTCGGAGATGTCTAGCGAAGGGCCCATTATGTTAGTGTTGTTTATAAAACTTGTAGGTGAAACAACAATCGTGCGCTGTGGTAAATTGGGAAAAGAATACAGCGTTTGTGGGTGGAAAATAAATGGTAGGATGAGAAGCGCTTTGACGATATGTGGGATAATGATGAGGTGGGATGATAGTGAGGTGTAAGATACAACATTGACGAGATTAGTGACTTACCTTTGACGTTTTTGATACACACGGTAGTGCACAGATCAACCAATGTTTTGACCATTGTACTTGTGATTCCAAGACGAAAAAACAATAAAATGATGTAGTCACCTAGCCTAGCCAAGCCGCCGAGAGCGAGTTCACGAACTCGGATTGTTTATTATTCCCTTGTTTGTTGTTTACGTTTGTTTGCTTTGACGATGAAGTAATAAGTCCGATCAAAGGGGAAGGCGTTCCGAATTGAATATGTGGTATCTCTGGGAGTAAATATGGAAGTCGTCGATTAGGATATAGGCTATGAAGATATCCACATAATTGGTCTGGGGTCGGCGACTGTTTGAAGGTAGTGGAGGAAGAACGTCGGGATTTCTATAGGTAGCTTAGTTCTCGTCTAGGAAGTCTCCGATTCGTTCTTGTCGAGTATGCTATTATCGTCCTTGTCGTTCTTAATAGGTTATCCACATGCTTGGGTCATCCAGGCGAATCAAGGGTTCCAAGCAGTAGCGACGATCTATTAGAATTAAAGTAGTATATCGGTAGGGATAAACATGTACTATACAGTTTCTTGGTATTATAATTGAAAGTTAAGGAGGTGGCTTTTTTGGAGCTCCAGCACATTGTTTCTATACTCGTACAAAGACTCAAAGGAAGGAAGATGTAGTTATGAAGTTGGAGTTGAGGCTGACACGTGGGTCGCTGATCTGCGATACTAACTTTTGTTTGGTGGCCCTACCGGTCCGAGAGCACGCTATATTACGGTTCACGCTAGGTTAGTATATTACTTAATATTAGTGGACGTTGCTTATGTTTGGCTATTTACGTCTTAACCTTTGCGTCCACTAATACGCACATAGGTAATGACTAGGATATGCGCCACAGGCCACAGACATTCTACATACCTAGTAAATATTGATAACGTATGACTCAAGGGCTAATGCTATACCTAGCTCTATACCAATTACTCACCATATGATATTAAAAAAGCAGCTACTAATATCCACATAACTATACTACATACAAGCTTCGACTTATTTGAAAACAACGCTTTTGCGATGTATTAACTCAGTAATATCAGACTCTGTCGCCCGAGAGCTATCTAAGGCTAAATCATAATCAGAATGCAACCAACCCAGCCCGAACCGAATGAAACTCCCATCATGATTTTGACGACCAATACGCCCGCGGCTGTTGGTATCTCCCTAGCCCCGTATCTCCCATGCGCCGTGACACCGTTAGACTATGTTTGTTAGAACCACTCGGGAATATCCCAACAAGTGCAGCGAAGTATATACATGAACCATTACTTCATCTTTATCACCACGATCACCAATTACCCGGTGGCAAGCAATAAGCAATCATGCTGCCGCCGCTACAGCTCGAGAAGGCGTAGCATTAGCAGGCTCGGGTTGATCGGCTTGCGGTGCTTGTTCTTGGTTTGCAATTTCTCCGCCGGCTTCTGTCTCGGCCCAGGCTCCCCATAGACCACGCTTTCCCCTGACCCGAATAGGACCGCCAAGCGTACCTTCTTTCTGCTCGACTTTGATGGCATCCTTGGTTGCTAATACTAAGCATTCGAAGAACATCTTCGTAGCGTCCGCCTTGGTTGTTCTCCCTTCGGGAAGGAGGTCCTGGAACACTACTGACTTCTTCCGCTTCTCTTCATTGGTAGCTGCCTCTTCGCCGAATAGATCTCGGAGTATGTGGACCGCATGCTTCGTACCCATGGAGACTGGGCCGCTATCAGCGGGGTGTACTATAGGAGCTGTAGTCTCGTCAAATGCCGGCATCGGGCTTCCTTCACGGGGCTGATGATCGTCGTCGTCGTCTTGTTGTACGATAGTGTTGTCTGCGGGTATCTCGAGGATAGTGCCATCAGGGGCAACACTGCGATCACCTAAGCCTGCATCGGCAACAACTAGTCCGTCGTCGTCATCGCCTATGTCCAAGCGAGGCGATTTAGATGCTCCTTGGTCCTCTTCTTCGCCAACATCAGCAACGCCGCTATCTCTCTTTCGCTTTAGGTCATTGACTGGCCTGATAGAATCAAGTGATAATAGTCCCCTTAGCTCCGGAGCCCAGGCTTTGCTACGGGCGTCGCCCATGATGCTAGACACAAAACTGCCACTGTTCTTCAGCTCAATTAAGGCTAAGAAATAAGGATCTCGTGAGATAAAGGTAGGTGCCTTTAGGATATTTTCGTGACTCTGTTGCTGTTCCTTAATGTGCGCGCTAGTAAGCTGAGTAGATGGGTCCAGCCCAAAGATCCTGCGCTTCTTTGACCTCTTCTGAGGAAGGGGTTCGGGCTCCTCGGGCTCTTGGCCCGGTTCGTAAATACTGGTGTTGTTCAGGCGCGTCCACTCCTCTACGTCCCGGGCTACATTCTCATCGATATCCGAAAGAGGAGACTCCGAAATGCGAGCTCGATCGAGGCCAAGAGCACCACCCATCTCAGGCGCTACTGACTGATCTCCAATATTGAACTGGAAATCATCGTCCATTGGAATATCGCCATCCCCGTCCGCGATCCTAACATTATCGTCTCCAAAGTCCAGAGTCAGCGATGGCTCGCGGTCCGCACCCTTTGCCGGTGGCGCAACATCTAGCTCGCTAAAAATATCATCTTCAACCGCTCGAGGTGCAGGGGCATCTCGACCCATCTCAATACTCTTGTCCCCTCGGGGTCGCTCGTCGATATCCATTCCAAAATCCAGGTCTAACTCCAAGTCGTCCATAGGAGCAAGTGCTACCTCATCCTCGTCCATATGATCGTCGTGTAAGAACTGACTATTGTTGAAATCCTCTTGCAAGTTGATATCGCGATTGCTCGGCCGGCCACGGCCTCGAGAGCCCGCGCTACTTTGAGGGGCGTTTACATCTTCCATCTGGCCGAGCAGCCAGTTGGCATCTGGTGGCGGTAAAATGTTCAAGTTGTCGGCAGGAGTAATACGATCAGGAAGCATCAATGCCTCCCGGTTTGGCATATTCAAATTCTCTGGTATATCATTGTTTCCAGTAGAACGAAAAGCCTACCAACTAAGTTAGTAAGGCAAGGGGCATGGGGCAACCCGTATGGAAAGACGACTAACCATTTTAATCTTGAGCAGAGCTTCGTTGCAATCATCGAGGAGATAGCGGGCCTTCCGACTGTAGATTCGGACAACACCAAGCAAGAGCTGGCCACTTAAGCGGAGCGCCATCGGCGCTTGGTTAGGAGTGATTATGGCATCGACACTGTCAGGCAAATTGGACTGCAAGATGTGAGTTTTGGAGAGCTTGCGCTCCAAGTTTGCCGACAACCAGACTCGGGCCAGAGGCCCTGTCTTCTGAAGCAAAGTCTCAGAATAAAACATCGCGACAGCGATGACGGAGTGGCTTGGAGGAGCAGATGGTTAGGATGATAGAGAAATGCAAGGCAACCAAGTAATAATTATGACATTAAAGAAATGATAAGGGCCTTGCGGGTGCGACAACGCGTTAGGGTCGGGTCCCTTGTCTGAGATAATGACGAAAGGCGGGAGGTATCGGGTGGTGTAAACAAGGGAATAGGAGCGCGTTGTTTTGGGCGCAGACCGCGTTGGAAGCCAGCGCTCGCACCGACTTTTGCTAGTTTGAAACCCAGAGTTTAATCGGTGCGACTGATGCGCAATCGTAGTATTGCGCGCGTAAATGGGATTGAAGTTACGAGCGATAGCAAGTATATATTGAATAGGGTGGTGGATGTTTGCAAGGTCGGAGAGAGGGCAAATGAGTTGAATGGAAAGACTGAAATTAGAAGTGGAGGGGATCTTTGGGGGGGGAACAGCGTAGGAAAAAGTGATTCGAGATTGGGTCGTCCACTGACCGCAAGCGAAAGATTGCTGAACAGGGCGACTAAAAAAAATCATCCGTTTCCCTGCTTAAAATCCAAGTGGCTGGAGGTCTACTGGGATACATAGTGGGGCAGCTAAGGTGAATAACTCTTCTAATTGGGTTTCCTGTGACTTAAACTACGGCTTTTAATTGGGTATGTCCAGGCTGCTACCTGCAGACAGTGCTGAATTGTACCTCCCCAGAAATCATGTTGGAAAAGTGATTACGAACGTGAACTGCAACTAAACCCTTTCCGGGTCGAAATTCTGTGGCTGGTAATACTCTGCATTAGATGTCTTAAGTACCTAACCTAGTCTACACCTTACGGTGCCTTTATTCAAGATTATATATATCTCTTTCTTTAAAGATGCAACTCGTACGCCTTTAAGCTTGTTTAACTTGATTTATTGTGACTATATAATTGCTATTTGGGTATAAAGTCTTATGCCAACACCTCAGTATGAAGTGTGGATAAGTACCTAAACTGCGTTTACATATACCGAGTTTCAAAAAGTTACTTACATCTACTACCTAATGTAGGTACCTAACATTAACTATCACGGGAATAAGTGAGTAACATGCCAGAACTATTGTCCGAAAATGCAAATATTCGCTCGTTTTATAACTTTTGAGACATGCGCCGCTAGCGGTTTTTAGAAACCATATTTATAGCTTTCTGTCGTATAACCTATAAACTGAACACCCTTAGAGCTTTGCAGGAATCTGGTTCTAAGCCGGAAACGAAAAACCCGCTATAGCACAAGCTATCCCCTCTTCAATAAGAAAATCTATATCATTAAGCTATGTCATAATATAGGTATGTTAGGTTCCCAGAAGGAATCCCATCAAGCTCGGGACTGTCCTATTCATAGGTATGTATAGGTACCTAGGTACCTACTTAATACGCAACATGAACTTTTGGTAACCTGTAACAAGATTGTATCCCTAGGTACCTACCTCATAAAAACTGACCTCATAAAAACTGAGGTTGCTCATGGTATGAGGCTGAAGGTCTGCAGCCACGCAGCACCACTGCAACAAGGGGCTAATCTTGCCTTAGCGTGCTACCTACGATGGCGCTAAATGCTACGTTAGGTAGGCTTGACAGGCTGGCAGGTACGAAATCGGCAAGCAACTTTCCAAGATCCGAGCTTGCCTTACAGGGGCGTTGCACTCCCAAAGTATTGGCTGTGGCCCCAATTTTGGAAAAAAGGTCCACGTCTTCCAGATGCGCATTTGACCAAAAAGTTCGCCAGGTGCGATCTTCTTTAGACATCATTAACAGACGTCACTTTATTCAATCTAGCTCGTTAATATGCATTCTTCTACTACTTTATAATTCTACGAGTACATTTTTGCTATATTCTCAAGCAATCCCAAGTTGCTGGTGTGTTCGTTAATGTAACTAGATCTCCCCCCGATGTGGCACTGCGTTTCTGCGATTCGCCCGTCGCCCTCGTTCCCAAGATGCCATGGCCATGGCGCGATCGCGAGACCGATAACGAGTCACTACTTCCTATAGCGATACCCAACATTAATGGGATAGACCGGGACTATAACCAAGATGGAGACGACTTTGACGAACGGTCGCGGTCCATCACTAGAAGATCGGGCCATGCCCGTACCACATCTGCTCAATCACGGGTAGGTTTTCCTCCTGGGGACACCTCAAACGATGGCCCAAGAGGTTTTCCTTAATGGTTTACCAAGCTGCAAGCTGGAATAAGTTGCTAACACATTTCATCGTTGCAGTCCGTAGCAGATGGCTTTTCTTTTCTAACACCTACCGAAACAGCAGCGCGGCTTCAAACCTCCTTGACTTACGGCCTCTCGCCTACCGAGGCCCTCTCGCGACTAGGAGACTTTGGCCCGAACGAGATCCCTCACGATCCCCCAGATCCGCTATGGCTTCGATTCATAATGCAGTTCCGAGAGCCTCTGATTATCTTACTCCTCGCCTCCGCCTTTCTCTCGATCTTCGTTGGTAATATGGACGATGCTGTCAGTATAACCATCGCCGTGACCATAGTCGTCACCGTTGGCTTTGTGCAAGAATACCGATCCGAAAAATCCATTGAAGCTCTCAACCATCTAGTTCCCAACCATGCTCATCTGGTCAGGGCGCAATCGGCGCGGCCTTCGCCAGGAATTAAGAATTCAACGTGGCCTCCCGCCATTAGCGACCCCGAAGAGAAACATGCCGGATCTGAATCAGAGACACCAGGAGAGGAATTATTGGAAGCTACGTCGTCAAAGGTTATGGCAGCCCAGTTAGTCCCAGGGGATTTGGTATTTTTCACCACGGGCGACCGTATCCCGGCTGACATTCGGATTACGAGAGCTGCCGATCTGACAATTGATGCATCCAATCTCACAGGGGAGAACGAGCCGCTAAGAATGACTGCCGATGCGCGATCCCGTAGTCATACGCCATCAGCGTTTGACCAGAGTGCATTACGACTCCCTATCCCGTCTGCCCTATCCCCCCCTTCGCATGACAGGGAAACCAAAGAAGACGCGCGCAATCGCGGGATTAATAATATTGCGTACATGGGAACTTTGGTCAAGTCCGGTCATGGACAGGGTATCGTCTTTGCTACCGGCGGCAACACCCATTTTGGGACGATCGCTACGAGTGTATCAGGCACTGAAAGCCCGCGTTCTCCCCTTCAACTAAGTATGGACCATCTAGGAAAACAGCTCAGCCAGATATCGTTCGGCATAATTGGTTTAATATCTTTAGTTGGGCTATTACAAGGCAAGAACCTCCTTGAGATATTTACTATATCCATCTCGCTTGCTGTTGCTGCAATTCCCGAAGGGTTGCCTATTATTGTGACAGTCACCCTAGCTCTCGGTGTCCATCGCATGGCGAGGCATAACTCTATTGTTCGAAAAATGCCAAGTGTCGAGACGCTGGGCTCCGTTAACGTCGTCTGCTCTGACAAGACAGGGACATTAACCATGAACCATATGACAACAGCGAAGATGTGGTATTTTGGCACGAGAGATCCGATTGATGTTGATTCGGATGACGAAGCAGCAGAAAGGACGCCTAATACCGCGGTACGAGGGATCCTACGAATCGGCAACATCGCAAACAATGCGCGCCTTACTCAATCCGCTAAAACCGTACTACCAGATTCTCAAGGTAGAGAATTTGCCCCGTATACGCGATGGGTTGGGCAGCCAACCGATGTTGCAATGCTCGATTTGCTCGACCGATTTAAGGAGCACGACGTGAGGGACTCGATTGGTCCCCGAACAGCTGAGACTCCTTTTAGCTCCGAACGAAAGTGGATGGGTGTGGTCATCGGCGCGCAACCTGGGAACAGCGACAAGGAATATGCCTATATGAAGGGCGCCATAGACAAGGTCCTCGATGCTTGCGACACGTTTCTTACTGCCGACGGCCGCGAGATTGTCATGGACTCTGTCCGGCGTCAGGAGGCATTACAAGCAGCCGAAAAAATGGCGGAGAGGGGACTCAGGGTCTTGGCGTTCGCGAGCGGTCCAGTCACTAAATCCTTCCGAAGCAAATCCGGGCATGGTGTTTCTACACGAAGCACCACGCCACTTAGTCGAGATGAGAGTCAAAGCCCAGGGCTGCCGTCTCACGAAGAATTGTATAGAGGGTTGACCTTCACCGGATTGGTAGGGATGAGCGATCCCCCGCGACCGGGTGTCTCTCGTTCCATCCGAAAATTGATGCGAGGCGGCGTCAAGGTCATAATGATCACTGGCGATTCTGCGACTACGGCGTTGGCTATCGGAAAGGAACTCGGCATGCAAATTGCTACGCCTCGTGAACACGCGCCAAACCAAGTTGCGGTGAAACCCGTACTCACGGGTGACGAGCTTGATGCAATGAGTGATGACGTCCTCGCGGCCGCGATTCAGAACACAACTATATTTGCACGTACAAACCCGGACCACAAATTAAAAATCATTCGAGCCCTCCAATCGCGCGGCGATATTGTTGCCATGACTGGGGATGGAGTCAATGATGCGCCAGCGTTAAAGAAGGCTGACATTGGTATTTCTATGGGTTTGCATGGAACAGACGTGGCAAAGGAAGCTTCCGATATGATTCTAACGGACGATGATTTCTCTACGATCCTTCGCGCCATTGAAGAAGGCAAGGGCATATTCAACAACATCCAAAACTTCATCACATTCCAGCTTAGTACCAGCGTAGCTAGTTTAGCTCTGGTCTTCATCTGCACCTGCTTGGGGTTCAAGACCCCCTTAAATGCTATGCAGATTCTCTGGATCAGTAAGTACTTCCGCTTCTCTATTATTATTATTATTATTATTATTATTATTCTACAACTAACATTGAATTCAAAGATATCATAATGGATGGCCCACCAGCCCAGTCTCTAGGTGTAGAACGAGTAGATCCCGATGTCATGTCCCGACCACCACGATCTCGAAGTGAGCCGGTGCTTACGAAGGCCCTACTTCAACGTGTTTTGACCTCAGCCGCCATCATTATGGTGGGTACCATGGTCGTATATACTCGCGAGATGCTAGACGGCGAAGTCTCACGACGGGATACGACAATGACATTCACATGCTTTGTGCTGTTCGATATGTTCAATGCGTTAACGTGCCGGTCAGAGAGCAAATCTGTTTTCAGGGGTGAAGTAGGCTTGTTTTCCAACAAATTATTCAATTGGGCAGTGTCATTGAGCATGGCTGGTCAGTTACTTGTTATTTACTTCCCGTGGCTCCAGGAGGTGTTCCAGACGGAAGCCTTGGGGCTATTTGATCTCATCAGGCTAGTCGCGTTAGCGAGCTCGGTGTTCTGGGCAGACGAGGCTAGGAAATGGTACAAATATGGACGGAGACGGTTAGGCGGATACAGCCACGCGGTTTAGTAATTCTAAGCGACGATGTCACATTATACGGGGACTCTATGTTGGATTATTCAAAATATCTAAATCTATTCATGAGTACCTATATCTATCACCATTTGTGGGGTTCGTAGAAGACATAAGTTGTCGATATTTCAACTCGTCTTGCGACCCTCTCATCTGTATCAGAAGCCACCTTCGCACGTCCCGCATCCTACGAGTATTGGCCTTCTTCAGCCCGTCATTCAGGGTGCCGTTGCAGGGGATCCCATCTAAGCATCGGCTCTCGTAGACTTCCTCGCCTTTTCTCCTGTCGATGACGGACCGAATTCCAGTGCTCTCGTTAGTCCCAGTTGCGGTTTGTTCTTCGGCGGTGTCCGGCTCTGGCTTTGCGATACTTTTTGCTTCGCCTCCAGAGTTCGCGAGTGCGGTTGTCTCGGCCATTTGCAGCGGAGTTGAGAGGAGTTACTACTTCTGGTTGTGGATTATATGTAGCACGAGGATTTTTTTTTATTGCTTAAGCTACTTTACCGAACACGATTGGTACTGGCAATCAGGTAGAGGTAGCTAGTTGTAAATTAATATGTTTGCTCAACTATGGGACGACGAAGGTGCCAGTTGAGAGTCTAGGTAGATATGACACTTGCAATAGTTCCCCTGCCGTGATAGCAATATGATCATGTAAATAGTTTAATAATTGTTCTCCTAGAAATTATCCCACGCCGCTAGCAGCGTGATGCATTGAGTCGGTAGCTGTTCGTAACCTTCTGTTCCAAAATCTCTCCAGGAGTTTTGTATAGGTACTTTGGAGTACTATGAGAGGGAACAGGCAATTCATATAGAAAAATATCTACATCTTTCTTTGACGAGCAGATTCTAGGCTCAAGAGATTGTGTCTATCGTCATACCACCAAAGGCGGTATGCAATTCCATTGGATAATCTTTCTGCATATACATTCTCTTAATAGGCTGTAACAACCAGCTTGAGGAGATGTGTTGATCTAAACAAGTAGAAACAGCTGATCTAGAAGCTGTTAGGGAGACAATGGGAGTTCTCACAATATACGTAGCAAGGCCTTTGTACCGTGTTCATTAGCTTAGGTTGAGCTTCTACTCTAGTTTCTTTCACTATACTTTGTCTTGTTGTCAACTATGGGGGTTGTGCTGTCTGTTTCTCACAATCGCTATGGAGTTCTAGCAAAGGTATGACATAGACATTTTTCTGCCACTGGAAAGGGCAAGTCTTTTCTCCCAAGGTCGAGCTACTCAGAAGCTACATGTAGACTTTACATACTGGATGGACTCCTATCTGATCCTTACCTAATATACAAATTTGTTTGTAGCTGTTAAGATGTTAACCTAGTGTGTATAGGCAATGAAGTGATAGCGACCCTCCCCCCTTTATTTATAGTTATAGGAAAGTTGCAAACCAATAGGCTCACCCTACAGAATATAGTTCAGCACCGATGACTTGTAGTTCCATCACTGCCTCAAGGCGCATCGGTAGGATCCCTATAGCTCGTTGTCAGCTTAGACTATAGTCCGTGGCATTTATTACGGGTGACTTACCAATCCGTAACCAGTTTCTCATCAAGCCCGTCCATTGTCTCCATATCCTCCGCAGAGATCTCAAAGCCACCTACCTGGACGTTTTCAAGCAGACGCTCGCGTTTTGCGCTCTTTGGCAAAGGGACGAGCCCGTGCTGAAGCGACCACCTATATAATGTTAATATCGATGCCCAACGTAGAAATATCCTCGTCATTATAGACTTGCTCACCGAACTAGTAGCTGCGCAGGTGTGCACGAGTACTTATTTGCTAGCTCTACGATGGTCGGATGCCTCATACGCATCGCGCGAGCTAGCGGAGCGTAGGCCTCAACGACGATTCCGTACTTGGCGCATGCGGCCCTGATATCAGGCTGTGTGTTGAAAGGATGGACCTCGATTTGGTTGACTGTCGGAGTAATCCTTGGATTTGACGCCATGAGCTCTTCTATCTAAGCTCAGTTGAGCGGTTAGTCAAATAAAGTTCCCTCTAGGCAAACGTCTTCTACTTGAAGGATAGCGACTAACATGGCCAACTCCGTAGTTGCTGACTCCACCTGACTTAACCTCCCCCTCATCGATCGCATCCTCAACAGCCTTCCAGCTCGTCAGTCGAGCCTCACGACCGCCATACGGGCTATGAAGGAGAAACAGATCGATATAGCCGAGCCCGCAGGCCTCAACAGACTGTCGTATAGACCGGCGCACATTCTGGTAAGATGTACTATTGCTAGCTAACTTCGAGGTGTAGAATATATCCAGGCGCGTGAGGTCCCCCGTGCTACCGTTAGAGCCGGAAAGGTATTCCCGTATAGCTTGCCCGGCTTCCCTTTCATTGCGGTACATCTGAGCACTATCAAACCCCCGATAGCCTGCAACCAACGCCCACCGCACGGCTACCTTGACTTCCTGGCGGCTCATCAAGTACAAGCCCAGCTGGATCTGGGGCATGAGCTTACCGTTCGGTAGCTGACCAACTCAACGTCAGCTGAGTGAGACGGGGCTTGCGATATACGCATTTTATAAAGATGATACATCACTTAAGTCTTACCTTGACTTTACTGGCTAGCGAGAAGTTGCTTGGCGACATAATGGCTCCGGGTTGTTAGATGCGAGTTTGGCGATTATCTAGCGCAGAGATTCATTGTACGGCTCGGAATTATTTAGGTTAACTTCAATGTTGGCTATTGAACTTAATCTATCCAAGGTGCCGGGTGTTGTTTCCCTTACCTCATCGATATCGACATCGACGTCACACCTGCCGTGCCTAACCTATGCCGAGAACGGCCCCGCCCGGAGGACGCCGAGTGGCAGGTCCTCCCGCTCATTTTATGCTATAAGTAGATATTTTAGTATATCTCTCTTATTGCTACCAATCAAAGGTCAATAATATCACAAGTTTCTGTAGTATTTCAACGTTTAACGTTCTGCTTGTCATATCGGTTTCCTACCTAATTAAGCCATAAGAGAGGTATGCAACCTTCTCTGCTGAATACCTCCCCTTATGGGTAAGCATATCTACGATGATGGTGTGATACTACCTACCTCTTAATACTTCTTCCATTCTCGTACTCGGGTTATGCTACAATGATAGTTGGTAGATGGACACGTCAAAGGCCGCATGCCGCAGTCTCTAAAACGTCTATTAATCCTGATATAAGTCGGCTTTCTTTATATTTTATTATTTATATAGGTATACAAGGATAAGACTACTTGGGTAGTAACTTTGATCATTATTTCCAAAGGATATCAGACAGGATCAGTTGACAGTTTTGTCTTGCTGTTGTCTAACACATTTTGCAGCGGGCATTTACAGTAGTAATAGGTAATGGTGTGAGAATGCCTCAACAACTACTCCCAGTCACGGGATGATTCCTATAGGCCGGCCGAAAGCTATCTCCGCTACTCGGCTTAACTATTGCGGCCATGATTCTGCGTAGCACAGCAGTAGGAAGCTAATGTATGGTAGTATAAAAGGCAAGCCCGACAAAGGTACCTAGGTAGGGAATCAAATAGGTAGGATAGGTACCTACAGGTAGGTAGGTACATGTAATATTGTCAAATGCAAGACACGACAGGACATGTCATGACATGATATGACATAGATGAGGAGAAAAGTCTTGGTTCCTGGGCTTGGTTCCTGGGCCTAGCTCCGGTGAATGTTTAAAGAATTCACCATCCTGTACTATTATGTATGTCTCTATTCAACCCATGCGGAGATCAAGACCTAAAATACATAGTATGGGGATTCTTGGGCATGATTAGGTGATGGACCTCAGGTCTCTTTATCGCTATCGGTTAAAAAAAAAATAGAAAAAATAAAAACCTAGATGTGGCTGTTGCGCTGTGATAGGTTCCATGTACTAAACGTGGCTAGTACTAAAATTGAGATCTTACCTTACTGGAAACGAAGTTAGGTTGCCTGAGTATCTTTGTACCACAGCAGCGACCCTGTACATGTAGGTAGGCGTTGCACAGGTAGGTCCAAATCACGCCAAGACTCATTCAGGCAAGAACGCACTGGTCGCTGTTGTTCTGTCCGTCATCCGTACCCGCCTTTGCCTTGCCTCGCCTCGCCTCGACGATTTCCTTTACGCATGAACTCATTCCACCTCTCGCCATTCTTTGTACCAACGAACATTTTGCTAAGCATCGCGTCTCCGCCATTCCCTTTACACTACATGCAATCCTCACCGTCGCTTTGCGCATATACGCCAAACACGCACTACCGAATACCATTTATTTTTTAGAGGGACCAAAGAGGCATTATTAATTCTGTTCCTCGTATCCCCTCGACTTTTGGAATTTTACAACAAGAACTCCCATGCGAATAGGACAAAGACGCTAGAAAAACTAGACTGCAACGAAAGGAGACCTCCCATCCCCGCCGACGAAATATACACATGCCTCAGAGCATCGTCGCATCGATATCTCCCGCTTGTTGTCCGATCGATACCGCAGAAGCCCTGGTGAGCCCAACTTCAGTCTCGCGCCGCGCCGGCGGAAGGGGGTTCGAGGCATATGATGCCTGGTGTCGTCATGATGGAGAACGGCGTTCGGGCGTCGCTACCCACAAATCATGACAGAGACCACGGCCAATTTGTTAATGGCAACGGGAATCACGCACCTCAGTCCGCTCCTGACCGACACAATGGCATATCTACCGGGGCCGGGGCTGGTAGCAATAACGGAGCAAGCTCTATGGCGAACAAGAAGGAACACGGCGACGCCGCGAATGTAGCGCAGCTACAGCGAACAGGCTCTAATCCGTCGCGTATGAACGACCTCCCAGATGAGATAAAGCACATTACAGATGGATTCATTCCCTTGAGTGTGCTGTTATCGCGACTCGCGCAGAAAACCCACAACCAGCTAGCGGATGAGATCGTTGCTTTGGCTAAGATGCCGGCGCCGTCCTCTGCTGTTAACGGAAATTCCTCACATGGTCCCTCCGCAACAGACGATACTTCACCCGAAAATCTCAGCAAGAAGACTAGAATTCTAAACTTCATCCAGGATAAACACGCCGAATGGGTAAAAGCGACGGTTATTGCGAGATGGAGCAGGAATGCCTCATCCGTCAGCAGTCTGATCGACTTGCATTCTTTTATCAGAATGGAGCAGAAGAGGTACTTTGATATTATGGCCATTATGGCAGATCATCGATGGTCCCTGGCCTTCGCGCGACTCCCAAACCCCGACCTGCGAACTGCTCTCCACGTACTTTCCACCGGAACCGCCCCCTGGATGCCGGACCTCAATTATATTGACCCTCCTCCCCTGACTCAAAAAGAGCAGCTGCAATGGATCGAAAACCTGAACACGCTACTTTCGATTCGACTCAATTTAGAGGACTACGATAATATCCCCTACCACTTTCGAGATTACACCATCGATTCTGGGCGCGTCACCTTTAAGGTTCCTGGTGAGTTCGAGGTAGACCTCACAATAGCAGACGAGGACTTCGAGAAGCAGTTCTGGTTCATTGACTTTCGATTCGATTTCACCCCGGCACCCTCTGAGCTATCCGACTCGATGAGAATGCATTTGGAAGGCAAAGTCAATGAAGTGCTAGAAAAAGAAGGTCTCAAGGGGTGTTATAAATTCCTCCACGAGCTGGTGCTAACTCACAAGATTACCGAATACCTGCGCCAGGCTTTCGAGCTGAATAGGAATCGTTGGGTGGATACCCTCAAGGTCGAGCGGCTTAACCGAGCTTTAGCTATTCAATATTGGGTCGGCCGCTACCCGCCAGAGGGCCCGAAGAGTTGGATCATCTTAGGTGTTAGCACCGGCAAGAAAGCAGATGCACCCGAGGATCCTAAATCGACAAGTCATCTTACCTTACGTTGGTTTAGGGATAATAAGGAGGTGAAGGACGTAGAGGTTCCACTTGACGATGCGGTTATCTCAACGGAGGATCTTTTGAACCGTGTCATCGGAAGACACATCGGACATATCCTTGGCTCAATATACTCCAAGTTAAAACCGAATGGACGATTTATCAAGCGGGAAGCCGGCCTTGCTCTAGATGTACAAAAGGACGACCCGGCTCAATCGTCCCTCAGGGTGCAGATAGGTTACGACCACTATCTGACCATTAGAGTCAGCCCCATCACCGGATGGTTCTCGATGAAGCCGCAATCGAGCATGTCTTGGAAAGGGGAGCACAGGTTAAACTGGTTGTCGAAAGATCCTATCCAAGACGGGGCTGGCTGTGTAGAAGGTGTAAGATGTCACTACGTCGTCGACGAAATTATCCGACGCGGAAAGAGCACAGGCTGGTTCGTCTGCAAAGCGCCCGTGAAAACGGAGGCTGTCAAGGAAGCATTAAGGTCACGGGAGGTCAGCCAACTTGTGTGGCTCAAGCGACGTGGTTGGGCAGACCAGTGGTATTTGATGTTAAACATGAGCTTAAGCGGGGATATATGGTGCTTGACGGAAGTGTAAGTTTTGAAGACCGCCCCTTTCTGAGCCTACGACTAACGAAATGCTGCACAGCTACAATCCTCCTACAGGAGACCCGCGAATCTCATCGTTTACCAAGTTACCGTTCAGCTCTTACATGCCAAACCTCAAAAGCAGGTTCTTCTCCAACTTGACCATCTTTACTGCTGCTATAATCTCTCATATAACGGACATGAGGACCCTCCATCAACGGCGAATCAAACACTCTACTTACGCTGGAATCAACTACGCACTTCCCCCGAGCTTGAAGGTTCCAGCCATTTTCCTAAGGCTTACGGATATATTGAGGCCACCCCAATCGAACGAACCCGGTCGACGAATTGCATCTTGGGCACACGACTACGTGCAGATTATGTTCAGAGGCGCAAGTGGCCCGTCTACTAAACCGCAGATTTCTGACCGTCATTTAATGACTATTGAGGGCACCGGGGAAAATGCATCGTTGCAAAAAGAGTCGTTGCATATATTCCTAGAAGCTCGGATTCAGGTTTCTAAACCTTCTAGGTTTGGCCTCCTTAAGGGACACGTTGAACGGGATGTAGCATATAGCAGACAGTTGGGGGTATTTGCGCTTCGTCTGGAGGAGAAAATTGGAGGCACAATGCTGGATACACTTGCCCAACGCCTACAGGCCATTGATAAGCTAGCCGACTGCATCGATGCGATACGCCAAAGCGACAGGGACATCCAGTGCGAGGAGATTACGCTTACAAAGATCGTGGTTAATTATACAGACCGACTAAAATCGGAGGCCGGTACGGCAGCGCAGCTACATGATCAGCGTTGGAAGGCGGCGTTAGAGCTGGGTCCGAACGGAACTAGGCTATTGTTCGACAAGGGCAACCCCCAGCTACGCGCCTTGGATCTATTCCGACAGCTTGTCAATTCGGACCTTCGTTGCGAAAAGTTACCATTTTTCTTATCAAGCACGTTGCCAATCCATCGTGCTTTAGATTCAGTCGAGGATGCTTGGGCTAGTCTCGAGATAAACAATCAAGGTCGCGTTGAAGTGTTTGTAGCGCACCTGGATTGGTTCAATATACGCTACCATCTTCCACCGAGTAGGAATTCACACGTCCCGCGCCGTTTGACGCTACAGATCCGACTCCAAAAACGTCGCGACAGCGTTGAATGGGTAATGTCCCGCGAGGAAGCCGGCACGGTCAAGAAACCCGATGACGAGTTTAAGCAGGCACTTGAAAAAGTCTGGAATGCAGATAATAAGGTATGGCATTCTTTGCTTGACGCGGCTGCGTGC